ACATCACTAGGAGGACCTATTCAAAGGTTGTTCACCTGAGAAAAAGGCACAGCCAAGCTCTGCTCTTACAGGATAAGACAGATCACAGACAACTTGAGCAAGCAAATGACTCTGTAGATTTGAGTAATCAGGGGGTCCTTAAAGATATGATGTGTTTACTGGACAGACCTTCAGACTGTCAGCAGGTTTTTCTGTAAACATAAACGTTGTTCATTGTAAGTTTGAAAAACATCTAAGCCTTAGACTAAAATCACACAAAGTTGAATTTATTGAGGTTGGGGATCAGTTTCCTTTTTTCTCATATGCCCTCCTATGAGACCTAAACTGTCGTAGGCATTATACCAAAACCAGTTTGTATCTTTTACCTTGATTTGAAACAGCACAAACACACGAGAGAAGCTGAGGACCAACTTAAACAAGCCCTGATGCTTGTGCACTAAGATAAGCAGTTTGTATGACTCTAACCTTTTAAACAGATGTTTTACAAAAAATTTACCCCACTGCCCGGTTGTTGCGAGTTAAGAAATTAAGAGCAGAGACAAAAAAAAGTTTTCTTTATTTCCAGGCTCAGAACATGCTTGTTTCTGCTGTACGGTTGAATATTACAGCATGGGTATATGATTGGGTTTCCTTCACATTTGGAGAGAGACAGAAACTGCATTTTTTCATTAATTTCTTTTCTCAACACTGAAGGTTTTGCCTTCATTGCTACCTGCAGTTAAACAAATCTGCCCCTCCATTACACCTCTGTGACATTAACATTAATGGTAATTGACGTTATAACAGGCCTTAAACAGGCAGTGTCAAAAAGACCAGCAGCACGGTGCCTAAATTTCCATTTTGTGACACTCACTCTGCTCTAAAAGCTTAATTGACTTCTGGCATTTTATTTTTTTCCTCTTGTTTTCCCTTTAGTGACATCAGTGTCTAACAGGAGAGATGGAGGTGCCAGCCAAGCATCTTATGATTGCAGAGAGTGATCTGAAACTGTCTCTTTTCATTGTCTGTTTGTATAAAAATCCTTGTAACAGACAGACTCTCAGCTCCAGCTCTGGGTCTTTGGTGCCTCTTTTCTCCTCTGAGTGTCATCATGTTTTTGGTTTTCATATCAAAATGAGTTTGCCCAGCTGCAACCCTGAAATTAAATTTAAAAGGTTCCCTCATCAACACTCAGACCCTGAAGAGTTATTTTCTAACGGAACAAAAGTAGCACAGCCACCTTCATTTGAGCATGTAAAAAGGAAAACAAATCACAGTAGAGCATTTTGGGAAAAATCACGTCTAATTTTCGCAGAATTACTAACTGTGGATGAACAGGTACTAGATTTTGAGCTAGAACAACAACTCCTACTCCCTACTCACTACGAATGCTTTCAGCTTGTGTCTCTGAGCTTCATGGAGGTCTTTACAGATGAACATTTCCAGGTTTCAATAACAGATGAGACTCAACTCCTGCTTGTACTATCCTTTTATCTACAAAGGAGTCATCAATGTCCTGAAAACATAAAAACTTCCTGCTATGTTCTGGAGAAAGAGAAAACAGCTGAGACAGTCCTTCACAACCTGAAGAAGAAACTTTTGAGACAGTGCAGCATGGAAGAAAAGCAGTGATCAGTGATGTGGACTTACCGGCTGCTGAGTGAGCCTGTCCATTTTCAACCTCCTGATAGGATGGTACAACCTGATGTCAAGGTTTTGGACATGTCTTGAAATGAGCTGTTCAAGGAACCTGGAAAACATGTCCGATTGCATGTGGGGTATTACATCTACATCCATGTATGTCAAATGAATACTCCTCTTAAAGAAAGCAAGATAAAGCTAACATTGGTGAGAAGAACGGTAATATAAGTCAACTATATTAATGACTTTAACATGACAATTACTTCTATCTACGTTGGAGCAGCCTTGGTTCTGGATCTAGACTGATTCCTCTTTGGCTGGGAAAGCCCGGCTTATTATCCATCTTTCAGACATGTCAGCCGCCCGTCACCGCCACATCCTGCAGGGCCGACTCTGACGGCAGCTGATGTGATGTGCCGAGCGGCTGGATTGACAGGCAGAGTGCCGGAGATGTTGATCATTTTTGTCAAGCTGAGACAGTAAAATGCTGCAGCGACCCATAAATATTGAACCTGCCTACAGGCCAATGACCTGCACCATCTGAATGTGGCCTTTCTGGCGAGGCAAGTGGATGTTAGAGAGTGTGCATTTGTGTGTGTGTGTTGGAGGGAGATGAGTGCATTAAGCTGCTGAGAAAAATGTCCGTTCAGAGCAGAGAGGGGGAAAGGTCACGTCTGCTGTATCTGGTGAGATGTTTTTCGAGGAGGAATAATGTAAAAATAAACACCATCAGCTCATACTTCACATTCACATTCCACTTATACAAATCAGGTTGCAAATAAGATGCTAAAGCACTGTGTATTGACAGCATTTTATTGCATTTTTCAGCCATCAGTGTCCATCATGTCAGCAACACATTCAGCAGCAGCAGGAAAGCAGGGAAACAGTATTTAGTTTGTATTTTTTTTCTGCTTCCATCCAAAAAGCAAATAAACATTATAAAGCATATTTGAAAGTCAGTTTTTCAGCTCCTATGAAGCCAACATAAAGATCATCAAATGATAAAACCATAACCCTGTATATACTATGGACAACTTGGTTCCGCCTTTCGCCAGTATACAGATTTGAAGCCGAAAAGCTCTCGGTAATTCCACGTTTTTTTCTCCACTTCCTGACACCAACGTTGCGCAGTGGCACTGTACGCATTCAGCGGGAGATTCCCAGAGAGTCGCTGTGATGACGCTCGGCTCAAACAGTGTAACCCCCGGGTGAGCTACGCGATCTTCGTACGCCCATAGGCTGTATCAAGTGTCAATCATAGAAAACATGAACCCCTTAATGAATTTTATAAATGGAGCTGTACAGAGAAAAAAACATGAGCACAAACCAGTCTTACAGTAACTACATGTCAACACCGCAAGCAGGGGGGAGAAAAAATTATATTCTGTGTAATTCGTTTCTCAAGTTTGTTCACCGCTCCATAGGGATGGCTGGAGGAGGCGGGATTTATGACCTATACTGCAGCCCGTCACCAGAGGGTGCTGTTCTTGTAGTGGCTTTACCCAGCAAGGAGACAGACGGCATTCATTCTATATACAAGCTTTGGTAAAACCCTTGTGAACCCGTGTTGCTGGTGGTTTCTGAGGCTCCACACACATCCTTATATCTTAATCGCAAATGATATTGAGACTTTTGTGTGTGACGTTGAAAAACTCCCCAGACTGGTTAGCGATGATAATTTAATAATGCTTTATCCCTTCCTTCCCTCCAGCCTCACCCTCTTGTCCAAATACGGTCATTCCTGGACAGCAAAGCGTTAAACCAAGTGCTTAAGGAGACAGTAAACAATCAATGGATGCTCTCATTGCAGCTCTGCCCAGTTTGTGTCTGTTAGTCATAAAGCAGCCCAATAAAATGACGTTTAAATGAGATTTTCTGATAAGCCGATGTTTTAATGCTTTTCTCTCAGCACAGTGAGATTTAATCTTTGTGAAACAATGAGGCCGTTACAGCACTGTCTTTGTGTTGAACAACATTATTCTGTAGGTGATTCATGTTATTCTTTCCCATTAACATGAGATAAACATGTTTCCCCCAAGCCTGACAGCAGTATATCTAAAACCTCCTGTCCCCCGTTCATAAAAAGAAGTCCTCCAAATGTTCTAAATGAATTAAACATGACTTAGTAATTGACTGTACATTATAAACCAGCGGGAGACGAGCAGGCAGAGGAAGACTTCGAGAGCTGCACACAGACTCCAGAGACTAATGAGCTAACTGCAGGGCGTTCTTCCTCATGTGACTGCTGTAATTGGGTCAGTCAATAGCCCTGTGTGGTGCTGCTGCGGCTTTACGGGAGCTGAGAGCCGTCTGACGTCCCGGCCCATGACGCTCCGTCCATGTGCGCCACAGAGCTGCCTCAGACTGGCTCTGTGTCTGCTCAGTTATTGCTCCATGAGTTACACCAAAGAAAGACTTTACGTAATGAAACCGCATCCAAGTCTTGCTCTTAGCCATGCTTGTTGTTCATTTTTTTGGGTCAGTGATTTTACCCTTTCTCACTCTCAGTTTAAAGAACATCTGTGCATGTTCCCTTTCAGCACTCTTTGTGCAGCAGAGGCTTGTGAAAATCTATTTTCAGATTCTACATTTAAAGAAGATGCACAGTCTGACGTCTGGAGGAATGGGTTCTGGTGTTGGGGGCTTTTCTTGGTTGTGTTAATCTTCATCAGGAACTAGCTATGAATTCTGTATGTGGAGAGGTAGACCACATCCTGGAGCTGATCACAGGCTAGTTAATGAGCATTCAGCTTTAACATGTCTATTAGCAAATATCTCTGGACTCCAGCTGGTACTGCAAGAAAAAACAGCATGTCAAAATAATATGCCTTGAATATCCTGTCTCTACAATGTCAAATTGTATTATTTTGTATTGCATCATAATAAATAGTATCATATCATATTGGATGATGTTGCTCCTTATCCCATTGTATCAAATTGTATGGTAATGTATTTTATAGTTTTGCACCATGTTGTAAAGTTGTGTTTGTTTTTGTGTTGTATCATATTTTAGTATCCTGCTATTTTCTATCCCATTGTATTGCATTGTAACATATTGTGTAGTTTAGTATTGCATGCAATTATGTTGTATAGTTTGGTGTCATATTGTATCCTACAGAATCATATCCTTTCCTCTTTAAGTTGTCCTGTCAGGGGCTGCTGTGCTAATGTATAATCTTTTGTCAACAAAGTTAAAGGAAGAAGACTTTTGCAGACCACAGCAAGCCATCTAAGGTTTGAAAGATGATGATTAAAAGATGATGACAGATGAAGAAAGCTCCCCTCCAGCCTTTCTTCCTACTAAGAGACCCTGTAGAATAGCATTTGTCGTGTATCTTGTCAATGTAGTTTTTCAGTTGTAGTTTATCTTTACAAATCCTCATTGAGAGTTCACTTTTGGGAGCCTAAATGCAAAAAAAAATAAATTAATAATAATAATAATAATAATAATAATAAAAGTTAGGCTAGTTTTAAGAATAAATAACCAAAGGTGATTAGTAAAACCAGGACTGAAATGGCACCTATCCTTTCACCTTGCTCATGTCTCCACATTTGACTATGTCCGGAAAACACATCAATTGTCAGTTTGATTTTACAAATTTTGGTGACCTCAGCAATAAGACCTCCTAATAGGCTGCATGATAATTGCACTATCAGCCCATTTTTGAGTATGAATGTGGTATGGCGCTCCTTTAGTAGGCACGTCTTTATAACCAGAAATAAGAAATAATAACTTCTAAATGATTTGCCAAAGCAACTTCTTCCAAACTTGACATATAGAGGCTAAATGTGACTTCTGTTTGCACTTCATACAGAGAAGCCTACAGCCAACTCACACTGTGCACACTGGAGTACTCAGCTGTGAGTGTTTGTGTGTGCAGACACTAATGAATGTTTACATCCAGTGCTGTCAGGCTGAGTGGGTGTTAACTTGAGATCTAGCGTACATTCCTTTCTAGTTAAGTGTTTGCAGCTCATCCTTTTTTTAAAGGTTTTCACAGTAATTATGGAGGTTTCTTAGCAGCTGCCCTAAAACCATATCTGAGTACAAAAACCGGATGAGAGGGTGAAACGGGAGGGGAGAGTACTGTTGTTTCAGTATGCTGAAACAAATCCAGTTTAGCTCTGAGGGTCTGCATGTATTTAATAATTTATAACCTTTTCATTCTAACATTAAACCTGGTTTTCACTTTCTTTTTTTATTTGCTGCTTTTCTTCAAAGTGTGCCATAAATTCAGTTTCTAGCATTAAAGACCGAAACCAACATGTTTAGGATTTTTTTTTCCTTCATTGTATTTTTCCTAGAAGGAAACCTAAATTCTTTATAAGTTAGAAGACTGCATGACATTTTGATGAAACTAAAATTAAATGGTTTGCAAGTCATTTAAAGCCTTCATACAATTGAGACTAAAAACAAATGTTATAACTGGAGAAATGTTTTGGGGTTTTTTAAGAAAAATGTTAGCTTTTTTAAGTTGTTTAAGTTGAACAACCAAATAAGTTGTGTAATGCTATAAAAAAAAAATCCGGAGGCACATCTCCAACTGCTGAGGTCCATTTTTAACAGGTTAGTAACATGACTGGGTATAAAAAGGACGTTCAAAGAGGCTGAGTCTCTCACAAGGAAAGATGGGAAGAGGTTCACCACTCTGTGAGAGACTGTGTGAGCTAACAGTTCAACAGTTTCTGAATAATGTTCCTGAGTATCAAATGTGAAAGAATGAGTGGATTTTGTCATCTACAGAATAAAATATTATCAAAATATTCAGAGAATCTGGAGAAATCTCTGTACAAACACATCTGCTGCCATCCGGACAATTACTTTTTCAGGGAAGACCTTCATATTTTAGCAGGACAATGACAAACCACATTCAACAGCATGGCTCTGTAGTACGAGGTCCTGCTGATCAACTGGTCTGCCTGCAGTCTTGACTTGTCCCCATTGAAAACATTTGGAGAATCATGACACCAAAAAAAGTAAAAAGGAGACCCTGAACTGTTGAACAGCTGAAAGCCTCTATCAGGCAAGAATGGGACAACAATTTCATTGGCATCAAATTTTCATATTTTTTAAGGTATTTCATAGCTCCATTTAATATGAAGTCCTTTTTCTTCCTTTAATCAAATATAGAGTTTTACTCAAATTCTGTTTATATCAACTGTTAAGACAGTGTCCCAGATTTTCAGAGTTTGTTCCAGCTCTAGATTACTCTGAAACTGCGAGCAGGATCACATCTTTACAAATCATGATGGTAGTTCTGCTGGGATTATGCTCCCCTGCAAAATACAGTACATATTTTGAAATATCTGCATAAATTGATAATGATTTAATCTTCTAAGCTTAAGAAATATTATTTAGTGGTAGTAGATTATTACAACCCCTTTTTTTCAAGCAACTCTAAGGTTCTTGCAGTAGGTTTGTGTATGCATGTGTTTCTGTATTTGATGATAAATCAGAATAAAAAAGCTCTCTGTCTGCAGTATTTGCAGAATAATTAGGGTTTCTGTTGCAAGCAGTGAAAAAACAAAACTGGGTCATTCAATCTGGACAAACAACTTTATTTCTGGTAATGCATCTATACACTGTACATTCAGTCACTGTAGTATATAAGCATAGCTATTTTCAAACATAATCTCATAAAGTCCTTTACTTTACAATATAGTCCGTGTCGTGAGAGAAGGGAGGGGGTCGTTGTTGGATGGTGGGATGAGGAAAAAGGCGTGAAACGATGAGGGAAACAAGGGAGATAGATGAATAAGCCAAGCTCTTTTTCATACTGTATATGTGGCATTAATAAATGGGAAAGCTTACATTTACCTTTTACATAAAAATATTTCTAGAACTGTAAGGTTTATAGAGTATTAGCAGCAGCATAGGGCTAAAAAGATACATGAGGATGAGGGGAAACAATCTGCAACATGGCGGGTCACGTGATGGTGACCCCGACTGCAATCTGATACTGAACATATGTTAAAAATATATATGAACTGGTGAAAAAAAGTCATTCAATATAAAGACTCTACAGTAAAAAAAAAAAGAGAGAAAAAAATGGGTTAACATGTTTATGTAGGGAATATTCTCTTACGCACTGCATTAACTGTTTTTGAAACATCTCAGTTAAAACACAAATTCAAAAAAACAAAAAAAACAAGACAGCTATTGTAAGAAAAGATTTCTTTTTGAAAAAGGAAACACCATGTACATATATTATACAATATCGTAAATGAAAAAAATATTTACATTTGTAAATTCTTATTCAAATCTTCACACTGGCTAGTATTTGTCTAGTAATATGGACTGTTATTGCTGCTTTCGGTCCATTATTTAGCAAAATGATTCTCCTTTAGAAAACAAGACTTTGTTAAACTGCTTTTTCTTTTTGCATCGGGAGAATGAAGAGCCAATGTCGGTATTGTCTCCCTTCTTTTTGTAGAAAACCATGAGTAAAGTAAACTACACATAGGCTATTAACTCTTTAGAGTGTAAAAACAACTATAAAATGTACCAATTTAAAGTCTGCCAAAGTCGCAGCTTTGTTGTTCTCTGAGCAACATCGCTGATGTCGGATAAGAAAAGGGCGTCTTCACATAATGCCCTCTTTATCACCCTCGACATGTCCACCTCAGGACAAACTGGGAATCAACAGTTTAGTCTTTATGTACAACCCAAAGTAACAATTCACCAAAAGCAAGTGGCTTTTCAAGGTCTTCTATAAAAATTGTTTGAACATGCATATCATCGATTTCAAATGAAGAAGAAAAAACACTCATTCAGAAAAAAGCCTGAAGCATCATCTAGCATTTGTTCAATTGTTCTCTGCATTGAAAAAGAAAAAAGTCTGTAAACTGGTTCGTTTTTAGGAATACTGATACAAAGAGCTGCTGAGCGAGGAAGGGGCTTTTAATTTGAAACCTGCAAACAGGAAGTTGATGAGAGGCCCAGCCCCGACAGCTTCATCATCAGTTTTCCTTCTCTGGAAACCTTTCGCCCACGTCCAGGCACTTGAGGTTGTCCAGCATTGCATTTAGACTCTTTTTTTTGTCTTCTTTTTTTTTTTCTTTTTTTGCAAGTGTGAAGTTTTTTTTCTTAAGAACAATATACGCTGTGTTTCTTTTTCATTCCTTTTCTAAATAAGACAAATTGCTTTATATTGTATAACACAATAAAACCCTTACACGTACAGTATCAATGCCCAATAACTGACTATATGTATGGCAAACTCTCTCAAATTTCATGCATAAAGAAAGGATGAGTTTCTATTGAAAAAAGTGAACAAAACAGACAAGCAATAAAATATCTCCACGTTTAAAACAACATCAACAACCAAAGGAAAAATAGCATTAACACAATGTACATTCTGATTGCATTGTACCCACTATGTGACGGCAGATTCACACCTCTGCCTTTGGAATAAAATCGCATTTTATTCTTCGAACATGTGTCTTGTTAGTTCGGGCTCCTCCCCCTCCTCCCTGACACGCTGTAACCCGCTGCTATCTGTGTCAGATATTTTACAAAATGTGACAACTTGAAGCTTCAGACTTCAGCGGAGCCTTTTTTTTTCTGTTTATTTACATACTTTGCCTTTAGAAAACAGAGCAGTATCACTCGCATATAATCAACAAAATGCTTACTGGGTTTATATGGTAGCAGTCGTGTATAATGATGTTCTCAAAGTAAACTGAAGACAATAGTGGGAGTACAATGCTTTTATAACAGTATTTTGTTATGACAAAGTGCGATTCATTATTGTAAAGTTAAAAAACAACAACATATATTTATATTTACAGACCTTAATTTAATTAAAATGAACATTTTGTGGTTCTTGCCAAAAGGTGTCCCATCCAGCCCACTGTGATTTCAGATCTGATGGTTTTACGGAGTGAGGAAACGTGCCGGTTTTATCTCTCACACTCACATCTGGAGGATTTTATCTTTACAAGATAAAGACTTCAGGGTTTGACCCAAATGCTTAAAATAACAAATGGAAACCAACGAGAGTGTGTGTGTGAGAGAGACAGCCACTGTTGGAGTTTATCCTCCCAAACAAGTGCTCTCTGGAAACTTCAACCCAGCATGATGTTATTCCCGATCCCTATTTCAGGGTTTGATCCAAAGAGGGAAAACTTCAACCCAAGAGCGAACCGCCCGCCGCTCAGAGAAATTAGACAGAAATGATTTTATAAAACAACAATAGGAGGAAAAGACGGGTGGCTTGACCTTCGGGTTCGATGTCCCCCCCTCCTCAGTGGACTGTTATGGCTTCCTGAAAAACCGACAAAACCACGGTGGCACTGTGGAGGGTTCATCTGCTTGTTTTGTTCATTTTCTGATTTATTTTTTATACTTCAAACTCCAATAGCACAGAGAAACAAAGAAACTGTCCTTTTTTTTTCTTTACATATCGCTATGTAGTCCCTTAAATAGCTTATAATGTGTTCCTCCATCTTCGCCGTGGCGAAGGACAGGGTCGGTGGAGACTTTTCAGGGTGAACTTTGACCCCTGCCATCCCGGCCACATCCACACCACCTGAGCTGTGATATTTCTCTTCTTCAGCTCACAGGATCACAGATATCTGTCTGATAAAATCTTTTCAGAAAGAAAACAGACATAACCACACTCGAGTGGTTCTCTTCACTCTCATTTTCCAGTTTTCAGGTCTATGAGTTCAGAAGCTGCGAGTTGTTTCCTGAAAAAGCATCAAGTTTCTTTGTCACCTACATGTCTTTCTCGAAGGAAACCTCTTGATTGATTTTATGGGCAAGAATGAGGACATATTTCTCTCTCTGGTTGGAGGATGAGTTTTTAGTTTTCATGATGGATGTTGTGATGTGGCTGGCCTGGACTCCTGGGTGTGTTCATGGTCCGAGTTGGGCAGGAGATGTCGGGGTATCATGGCGATGTGGGGGGAATGGTTTAGGGCGGTGAGGTTGGCTGTGGGGTTAGTTGTCAGCTGTAGTCTCCTTGGGCGTCCCCTCCTTGTCGCTGTTGGATTTGGGCCACAGTTGCTGCTGGAGCTCCTTCACCACCCTCTCCAGATGCTCCCTGGCCTCCCGCTCCTGCAGAAGGTCTGCTCGGAGCTGCTCGCGGTCGGCCTCGGCGTGCTGCAGCTTCATCTGGAGGTCCTCGATCTGGAAAACACATGGCAGGAAACAGCTGAAGTTACACAGCAGAACAGATCTGACTAAACAGCATTGTGGTGCTTGATAACCCAAGCAGGGATGAAGCTTTGAAATCAGGAAGTCCTGATAATGGGGGGCTCAATAGTTCAGCGATGAGTAACTGTCTTGTCCAATTACCAAACCCCTGTCCTACAGCCAATACCCAATCAAAGCTTGAGCAGATACAAGCGGGTAAGTGTTCTTTGTTTTTTCCACCCACGAAACGGGTCTGAATCAAGCTCCGACAAAGAATGTGGAGGTTAAATGTTGTTGCGTTATTTCTGAATCTGTAGAAGCAACAGTTTATGAGAAATATCGGCTGTTTTGATGGCTGCATCTCTAACTTTGTCTCACTCAAATTAGACCTGCAGCATTTAAATATTAATCAATTAATTTTTTTATCGGTGCAAAAGTAATTCCCAAGCCACCAGCTCTGCACCAACATGACTACTTTGAGCTGACATCAAATCTAAAACATGAAACTCTCTGGTTTCCACAGTAACAGGAGAACATTTCATGATGTTTAATTTTGAACATGATCAATAAACTGATGTTACAGTCACACTTACTCCAGCAAATCTGCTCATTTCAATCTCTTTTTGACACTGTGCAGAACTATCTCTGGGGAAAGTCAGATAAAACTTTTTAAACTTCCCTTTTTTTTTCTATTCCTGAGTAAAAATGGAGTCTGAACCATCTTGTTTTGCAGACAGGCTGCACTCTCTGCAGGGAGGAACACAGACGCAGCTGGAGAGCATAACCTCCCTCTTGTTTTGTCTAATCTGCATTTCCCATGGTGCCTGAGGGAAGTCGACGTCTCTTCCTGTTTCCTTTCAGAGAGGACTTATCGTACATCTGTGCACTCTGGGCTACACCCATTTATTTTCAACTGAGGAAAAGGAAATGTGGGTTTTTTTCTTGCCCTCATCTCTGCTGACCTTGAAAGCAAATGAGACAGTGATACTCTGAAACACTGCAATTAGTCTGAGGGTGTTGACATAATCGTCTAGACTTGCTACCATCACATCTGCGCCAGACTGCACTGTTAGCGTCTCGACATGTAGCGCCCTTTTTTAAGCTCATTTATACCCATGCATCGTAAAGACATATCGTGCTGTTTGACACTCTTTTCATGAAGCTCCTACTGACCTGTGCAGAGTATTTTGCACGGAGCCGTCCGGCCTCGCAGCCTTTATCGCACACCCTCAGCTGCCGGGCCTGCTCCAGCTCCCGCTTCAGACGGATCCGCGACTCATTGGCCTCCTTCATCTTCTTCTCGCTCTCGGCTCGCAGACGCTCGATTTCCTTCCTCAGGTTTCTCTTCGCCTCGGTCGCCTCCCGCAGCTTCTCCTTCTTAGCCACTCGCAAGAACTCCAACTCCTGTGAAAGAAAGATAGTAAATTCAAAGTCTATTCGCCAGAGTTTCGAGATTATTAAGCTCAGCGTCATGTAGTGCTTGTGTAACCTCTGTGAATGCCGATGGATTTAATGTGTCACACGGCTGTTTGACTTTGTGTCTGAGCTGTTGACACTTGAGAGCAGCGACTTGTTGCTGGAGGTTAAAGTGTCCATGTCAGTGTTTACACTGGGCCAAGTCAGGGGTTAGGGCAGAGTGTGGGCTGACAGAAGTTAGGTTTCCTTCCTCTGAATCATTGACAAAGTGTGAATGTGTGTGTGTGATTGTGTGTGTTACGGAAACACACCCTGAGCAGACTCATGGGAACAGAGCAGTAGGGACAAACATGTCTGTCATCAAGCTTTGTTGGTTCCCACCAAAAGAGTGAAAAGAAACAATCCCCATCACACCCTTTACTCTGCTGATGCTTTACGTAAGCGCTCGGAGAACACCGTTGGGGTGAGGGCGAGTTCAGCTGAAGACAGCAGGGATAAAGTCAGCTTATAATGGAAGCTGATGGTTCCTGTAGTTTGGTTTTTTAATCCGTGCTGCCTCTCCGTTACTCCTCTGACGGAAAGTGAAAGCAGAATTCTGTCACGCTGCAATCCCTCTTCTTCTCTCGCCCACACAGACTCCTTCGTCTGCGGTTTTTTGTTCTCAGTCCAAGACCAAAAATAAAAATGGAAGTCTGGCCCTTTCCCTTCGCAGCAACATCCGCTCTCATTGTTATCACTTGCCAACTCATGCTAAGCTTAGAGCCCAGCGATAACGACTTCTAATCCACTTCTGAATTATGATGCCTGAGAGGAGTCGTCTCCCTCAGAGCGCCGACTTTGAAAAAGTTTCTGTCTCGTCTGATTTCAAGAAGCTTAAGGTCTAAGAGAGCTGTCAGGGGCAGCTCAGACTGGGAAATCCCATTCTCTGAGCCAGCGGTGATACTCATCATGGCGCACTCACTTAAATGAGAGGAAATACTGAACAAATATAGAGAGACTCAATCAGCAAAGTGGGGGACCTAGATACTTCCAGTATCTTTTAATATCAGACTGTTGCTATGGGCAACAGAGTAGAATATTTTCAAAGATTGTTGGGATTAATCATGTATATAATACGTCAGAGAAATGCTCTTGTTGACTCAAACTGGACTGGGTGTTCTGCACATGCTTAAGAGTTTGCACGCTGGGCTTGGTTTAGTGTGAATCTGTCATCAAGAAGAAACAGAGAGAGGATGTAAAAGAGGCAAAACTATGGTGGTAAAATGTTCCCTCTACCTGCTGGAGGCTGCGTTTGGCCTGCAGAGCTGATCCCAGCTTCTCCTCCTGCTTCACCCTCATCTTCACGATCTCGTGCAGGAACTTCTCCTTCGACTCTTTGGAGTCCAGTCCACTGTCCAGCGCCTGCCTCAGGCTCTCCAGCTCAGACTCCAGCCCCAGCTCCGGAGGGGTGACGGCGGCTGTGATGGGTGCAGCCGCAGGGGGCGTACCCTCCGCTGACGTGACGGTGCAGATGGGCCCCTGGGCGCCTGGCGAGCTCAAGTCCTTCGCTGAGCTGCTGGATGAGGTGAAGGATGGCGAGGAGAGGGAGGACAGGGACGAGGTGACTGTGGGGAGAGCAAACACAAGAGAGGGTTGAGTTCAGGGAAGCAGAGAAATCTCGAGCTGCTCATTGAAGATATTTTTATCGCTTCTTTGCTTACATTCATCACGACTCTCCACCTCGATCTCCACCTCAGAGTCTTTGTCCTCTTGAGGTGGCGGCGGCGGCGGCTTGCTGGCAGCTGACGGTGGAGGGCAGGGGGCTTCTGGCATCGGGAGCTCCCCTGTGGCTCTTCTCTTGCGGGGCCTGGAGGAGGCGTGCGCACCCTCACCCGGGGGTTCGCCTCCACTGGGGTGAGAGGTGCTGGGCACAGAGGGGGACAGTGGGCCCACCTTCCCCAGGGGCAGGGGTGTAAGAGCGACATTGGGGGCCACCGCTTTCTCCAGACTCTTGTAGTTGTAGAAACTAGGAGGGAAAGGAGACGGTTTATGTTTGCGCGTCATGATGTTTACTGGAAAACAAACAAATCAAGGTCACGTCATTAAGAGCTGAATTCTGCATGTAAGTAAACACAGCCAGAGACATATTGAAGGGTCTGATGAAGAGCTTTCACCAAACAGGGCAGAGAAACATTCAAATAAAGAGCCTGCAGCTTTTTCCTCCCACTGTTGGAGAAACTGGGCCAGATCGACTGTGATATGGCGCAGCCTGCACCGGCTTCACTCAGCCAAGTGGGTGCCCACGGTGTGAGTGTGTGTCAGATGTGTGTGAATGGTGCTGTGTGGGAGGCTATGGTACAGTCAGACTTGACCCCCCTGATACCAGCCCACCCAGACAAGTGAGGAGCATGCTGGGAGATCATCAGACTCAGATGAACAAAATGGATGTCAGAGAAAGCAACGCAGATCTTCTCTTTGTCTTCACTGTATCGCTTTGGAAGTGAGTTAAATACATCATCCTGGTGTCCTGTCCTGTGCTGGTCTTACCTGTCTCTCAGCAGGGCCAGAGGGTGACTGGTGGGCTCCTTTTCACCGGCAGAGATGTGGGGGGACCAGGGTCTAAAAGCAGAAGCTCTCTGCCTGGGCTGGATGCAGTTGAGCCCCTAAAAAAAAGAAAAATGACATTTAACAACTTCAAACTAAAACAGAAACTGGATGTAGTTTCAATACAGCCAGAGAGCTTTTCTTTTATAGTTTTTAATGCTTGTGAAACAGATTGAAATTTATATTTTTGCCTTTTCATGATGTACAAAAGCAAACAAGACCATCAGCAACAAGACTGACAAGTTTTACACTGTTATTTCTAACACTTTAAATCAGTGAGGGGGCAGGTGTCAGAGGAGCTGAAAACAGCCATGATTTGATCATTTCTGCATAAAATATTCAAAATAAATGATATATTTGACTGTCAAGAGTCAGAGGGATCAGATTTTATTGTCAGAAGACTACACAAGCATGTGGAGGTGCTAAAATAAAACAAACTGAAAATTCCATTTTAAAGAAAATCAACTCTTGCGTCAACTGTGAACACAGAGAGAGGTATATCATCATAACTGTGAAGCTTTTAGCATCTGTAGGCTCACTGCAGATGTTTTCATGTTTTGCACTTTCAGGTAAAAGTGCATTAAGTTGCATTAACTGTTTCTGTGTCCATTGATTAACAGGCTGTGAATAATCCTGTCATTTGAGTTAACTGTCATGGAGAGAGTGGTGTGTTATGTGACCAGACAGGTCAGTCAGATGATAAATGTTGAATGCTTTTGTCTCTCTATCGCCATGCTGGACTTTTTTTGGGAAATATTGATCTTTCCGGGAGATATTTTAGTTAGATTTTGTTTCACTTCACTCCCTGTCAGTCCTCTCCTCTAGAGTTACTCCACTTTGTTTGCACAGCTTGCCAAATCTAAATTTACCGACTGCCCTCATCTGAAAACTTGTGTATTATATTACATCTCACCCAATGCATCATCATCTCCTTCCTTAACTTAGCAACACCTACCTTAGTGGAGGCGGAGAGGGACTGGAGCCAGTCGTGCTGCTTCTCTTTGTCAGACAGCGGGGACTGTGAGGGGAAGTCTTCATGCTTGGACTTTTTGAACGGGATAGGATCAGACACCTGGAAGACAAAAAAAGGATTTTTTAAGTTTAAAAAAATATGCACAAAAGTGGAGACAAGTTGCTTGATTATTTCTCAAATGATAAATGATGTTTAAATGTAATCTGATGTGTTTTTGTGCTGCAGGAAAGTTGTAAAAACAGACTTTAAATCTCAGCAAGATTTAAATCACTGCCAAATTAAGGTAAAAATGAGCAATTCTGTACAAAAAATCTGTCCCACACTCAGTCTGTAAGCAGAGAAGTAAACATTGTGAGTCTTTAGAGAGGTTTTTCTGTGCAGACACACCAGGCACAGGTCGATTATTTTTCCCACGTGATGTAAACGCACCACATGTTGCCCACTTGGCAGCGGGCTCAAGCCTGTCACAGTGAAATGTCAGTGAACTGAAAATGCACCCAATAGTGTCAGACAGACTGATAAGCAAGTGTGTGCACGCGCGTGTGTTTGTGTGTATTTAGTCCGATAGGGGAGTGCCAGCAGAGGTGTCTGATAGCTGGAAGTGGGTTTAAATGTAGGTGTGCTGTTAACTTTGTGTGTGTGTGTGTGTGTGTGTGTGTGTGTGTGTGTGTGTGTGTGTGTGTGTGTGTGTGTGTGTGTGCCTGTCTAGGGCTCAGGAAGTTGCATCAGGGTTACCAAGTTACACACACACACGCGCACACACACACACACACGCACGCACGCACACACACACACACACTGCAGGTTATGGCAGTATGTCACACACCCGTCACACACAGAATCCAATACAGCTAGGTGTGTTTGCACATGGGCAGCCAAGAGTGGAGGCAATGGGTGACTGGGCCAGTGTGTGTCTGTCTGTGTGTGTGTGTGTGTGTGTTGCTCTGTATTTGTGCAAGTTTCTGTGTGTGTCTGTCCATCACACACACAGATGCATTCACACAGACAGACAGACAAGTAAGGGTTTGTTTCTCTTCCCCTATTCGTTCGTAGTTGGGCTGGCTGTGCAGATATGACCTCAGCCTCTCCAAGCTGTGGCTGTCACTAACTGCCACACACTCTTGTGCAGCACAGACACACACACACACACAAACAGACAGACAGACAGACACACACACACACACACACACACACACACACACACACACACACACACACACACACACACAATACGTAGTCTTTCAGACAAAGTGAGTTCAGTCCTGTAGCTGAAAGTGCAGCTTTTTTTTGACTGTTGTAAAAACTACCTTTAGTTTCAGTTCTGTGTATGAAGTCAGAGCTGCAGGTGAAGGAATTCGGCTGTTATTATACCGTAAACTCAGCTGGACAGAGACTGAGAAATCTCACTGTTTTATTCATTTAACATAAACATAATGAAACATTAGTACACTAACATTTAAACATGCACAAATCTAAGATGCATATCACCTAGTGTTTTAAAAAAAAAGCTAATTAAGAATAATGAATAAGAAAAGCTTTGGAAAATGCATTACAGACACAAACAACATCTATGTGCCTGTTTAAATATGTTTATTTGGAACTCCTGCTGTCTGGTTCTGCAACACCAGCAATGATACACCAACATGACACCACTGCAGAGTTCAGTGTTGAAGAAGTGTTGAAATGTGTGATGTTGGCAGGATGTCACTATGATGTTTTTGCAGGGTTACTATGTGTTTGTGGTTAGTGTTTGTCTCACTTAGGTGAAATTAAAGACATCAATGACAAGGCTGCTTCTGCTTTGACTTAAAGGTTGGTCTCTGCAGGGATCTTTCTGTCAGATACTGTAGAAACAATGAGACACTTTTTATATACAGACTGAAAAAAAACTACTTGTTGGCTACTGAACCTGTCAGTCATTTAAATCCCAAAATATGACAAAAGCCCATGTCCAAAAACATCAGACTGTCCCTTTAAACTGCTAGAAATAATCTGGCTCAGTTTAGCAGCAGCAGAAAACATGCAGAGGAGGGCTTACACGACTCTATCTGACTCCACTTCTGGAATGATCATACATGTTGTATGTTCCTCAGAGTTTCTCAGCATGTAGAGGTCATGTGTTGGAGTACGGGTCACACACGTGACGCTTGACTTGCTCTATCAAACCGTGTTTCCAGAGGCAAGAACTCTGCTTTCTCTCTCTCTCCTCCTGTCTCTCTTCACGGTGCTCTCTCACTCTTATTTTCTCTCTGTGAGGATCTCCCTCAGGAATCTGCAGCATTCAGCCTGCAAACTGCTGCAGTGCACACACACACATACACACATACACATGTATACACCAGCCATCCCCTGCGTGGTGTCAACAGGTGGTCATTTGTAATGGGCTTATAGATTCTTGCTCTCCCTCTCCCTCTCTCTCCCTCTCTGTCTGATTGCCTCGCCTGCCTGTGTTGGCAGTGTGTCACACTCTGCCACATGTCTGTGTAATCAGAGCCGCTCTCTCAGGAAAAGTAGCGTGGCTAGACGAACAAATAGTACCAAAGTCTGCTGACGTGACAGCTGTCCTCCATCCGCCACAGCCCTGATGTACAACTCCATAACTTTCAATGACTTTCAAGGGCAAATCCAAAGTGCTTCTATGACTGGTTTGATAGTAACACTAATTTAAATGTCATAATGTGAAGGAGAATTATTTTATAGGCTTGTACATTTATTTATTTCTGAGGTTTTGGTCACTTAAGAGACACCTTGGATGAAAAGAAATTACCTTTTTTATGTTTCATTTGGAATAACTGAAATCAAATGTTGGGGTCTGATAAAGCCATGATTAGTCAAAGGTCTGAACTTCTTTTTTAAGGATCTGAATAGATCTGAGTAATGAGTATCCACACTGAGCTTTTCACCAGTTTTTCTTTACACCCAATGAAATTATGTTCTATTTAAGAAAAAAAACTGCTTCGTTCTCCTTTTGCTTTATTTGCTACAGGTCAGGGTTTTTCTGTCATAAAAAAGGTTAAAGTGCAACTAAAGTTGACAGCTTTCCTCACCTAATTAAAATCAAACCAAACAGATGAAGACGGGGTGATGGACTGACTGAGTTACTTGCAGAAAGTCAAATGGGTCTAAAGTGCATTGAAGTGCATTTAATCCAAATGAGAAAATTAAGACCTGCACATGACAGTATGATACGACACGATTCGATACGATACGATACAACACGATTCGATACGATACGATACAATATGATACAATACGACGTGATTCAATACGATATGATACAATATGCTTCGATACAGTCAGTAGGACACTTTTTGTGTTCTTGGAAATATTTGTCATGAACTCAAGTGCTGCCCGGCTGCATCCACAAAGTACCATCAAATAAGACAAATAAGTAAAACACTGTTAAATAGTAGTTTTTTTACACGAAACAGTGACTCTCTCATGTCCGTCCTTTTATATTTATCTCATTCCTTTTTTTCATTTCAACTCACTCAAGGAGACACTCAGTAAAGATGAGCACTGTGTTTCCTTATCGTGTTTGATGTGACAGAGTGATTGCACGTTATCGCCGCCTACTGTTGTGGCATGCCTATGTTGAGGCTTCAACCATGTTTGCAAATATCTTATTGCATGTGGACTGATATATCTGTCCCTGCAATTGAGCTACACTAAATCAGATTCTGACCTCTCTCTTGGCTAAAGGAAACAAATAGTATGCAGGGGATAAAATATGTTAAAATGCTGATTTAAAGTATAAAATATTAAAATATTCAGACAGTGTTACAGTACAGCGGAGTCTTGTCTGTGGTTGGCAGGTTTGCCGGTTATGAGGAGATGGAGAGATGTGGCCTACATATCAGGGCAGCAACACAGGACCCGAGGCAGGAGGCTAGAGCCTGCAGTTCATTTCCCACACACACACACTCATCGACACACACTGCGTCTGGGCAAAGTCTCTGTGCCACGTGCCCGCCCCCGTCTCGTGGATTACTCTTTGCCAACGCCGCGGCTTTCCGTCAGGGCGAGATCCGGCCCCGGTAATCTTGGACGGAGGAAAGCGTCAGGGGGTCAGCAGTTGGCAGCTGAGCTTGCAGGACTCAGCAGGGGGAGGAGGGAGGAAGGGGGAGGGAGGGCTGCAGGGAGCAGAAATCTGCATGTCTAGATTACTGAGCAGAGGGACTGTGAGACGTGAAACGAACAGACAGTCCTGGAGGGAATTCCTGCTTTTATAAAGTGAGCTGTTTCAGGTGATTCTGTGCAGAAAAAAAGGTGCAATTTCCCTTTAATTTAATTCACTGGAAATTATCCCATTAGAGGGCACAATGTATCCTGATGAGGGCCCCTGGGATTTCGAATTATCTCAGGGTGTGTTACGTAAAAACGTGAGAAATCCTGACGCACACACGTGCACATACACACACACTTACACACACAGACCCTGACCGAGGGGTGAGGGGGTGAGAGGGGCTCAACACCCAACAGCGCTCTCCTGATAAGCCTCTGACTTACAGCAGGTGATAGACCTGAGCTCACTTCAAAGACACTCACAAACACACATGCATGAGTGTTTGTGTAAGTGCGTGTTAGTGTGTGTTTGTGCATGTGTGTGTGTGCGCTCCCTTTATGATCCGGGCTGGATTACATGGCATAGACAGGAAGTCACACGTCTAAATTAAGGCCTGTAGATTAGCAGAGGTGTGTGTTAGAGGTGCACAGACCGTTCTGCTTTTGTACTCGACACCTCACTGAGAACATGACACTTTGTGGTGTCTAAAAACTAACACAACACGGGTATGAAACCAGCCTTTATCAACCCCTTAAAGCCTGAAAAAGATGAGGTCAAGCACTGCCTACATTTGCACGATTATTATAATTAAAATGATTAAAAGCCTAAAAACTTGCAAAATTTAACCCTTTCGAAGTTATACTCTGGCTTTTTAGAGTTTTGATTACTTTAATTAGTATTATTGGTCTAATTAGACAGCAATTTTTAAAAACTGTTCCGCAGCTTTGTCCTCTGCTGCGTTATTGCGGCAGATCCACTGCATGTTCTGCAACGATAAAGACACATGGATAAGATTTAATTTGCTTAAAAAAATGAAAGTTTGAGCTCTCACAGGTTTTTATAGACACTGATTTAAACATGAAGCCTGTTTGAGAGCGTCTAAAAGCCTATTTTCTGTATTATTCATGTTTCACTGATGGCTCGAGGTCCTTTGCGGTCCAAGAGTTTAGACTTTAAGCCAAGCCATGGCACAAAATATCATAGCTGGCTCTTTGAAGCACATTTCTGTCAAACACTAATTTACAGCCCCTTACTTCACACATGGCAGCTAGGAATAGCCCCTGCATGAGAAAGGCACAAAGCGGCGAGTCATGGGGCAGCGAGTGTGGAAACAGTGAAAGTGGCAGCCTCGTCTCAGCTGCCATCAGGGGGCCATAGGCGGGGAGGGGGGGGGGGTTCATGTGTGAGCATGTGTCTGAGAGCAGTGGTTGTGGTTGTTAAAGTGTGTATATGTGTGTGTGTGTGTGTGTGTGTGTGTGTTGAAGCACAGACAGGATGGGTGGAGTGATAACAGTCTTCTCGGTTCTTGAGTCCGTCTGAGCTTTTCTGAAACTCTCACAGTTTGAGAGCACTTCCTCTGTCTGCAGGATGCTGCAGTTTGTCACCCTCACATCGCCCGTTTTTATCCACTGTATAATAAAAAGGATTCTTTTAAAGTCATTCAAAAGACAAATCTCCAACCACCTCCTTACTATAAATTTTGGGGTTTTATGCCTATTATATTACACAACTTTTAAGTATCACTTTTGTTCAGCTACCATTTTTAAATTTCTGCAAACTTTCCTGGTGTTGTTAAGATCAGGTGATTATGATAAAATCAGTTCCTTATAATTTGTTAAAGAAAAAGCCACACTGCAACTATCTGATCATTAACATCCAGCTGTGGCGCTACCTGCAGACTCTAAGGGAAAGGCTGTAGGTGCTGCACTCACATTTTCCAATATCGCCTCAAAGAGTCTCATTTAGGCCTCAATAATCTATTTTCAGCTGCAGGTTTTTGCATCAGTTAAAGTAAAAATTATAGTAGAGCTTATACTGAGCACTGCATTCATAACACGTAGAACAGGCGTGTTTACAAACTGCTAAAAGCATCATTATATGACTGCACACCTCTAATCTTGAGGACAAAACAAGCTTCTTTTTCAGTCTAGATGCTCTTTTTCACGAGCTCCTAATGGATGTTAGGTTTTTATATTTTTATCAGATGCATTTTTACTATCTCAATCCGAAGTTCTGAGACTTTAGAGCTCTGCATTATTAGTCTAATAGATCTGATAGTCATTGTTTCCTACCAGATCATCTACAAGAATCTGTATCAGCTCATCAGTTCAGAAAAGTCTCCATTAAACTCCCATAAGAACAGAAAGCTGCGGTTACATGTCGTTTTAAAGAAGTTACATAACCGTCAGGGAGACAATGAGGGAAATGAAACTTTCTCAGTGTTTGACCTAAAGTAGTTTAATAATCTGTTTCCTCACTGAGCTGAAATGTTCCTCAGTGCTCCTCTTTGGGGAAACACTGCTGTGAAAAAAAAAAAAAGGAAAAAAAAAAAAACTTAAAGGAATGCATGAAATGTTCCAAATCAGCAGAGTTTGTTGGAGACACAGCAAGTCCTTTCTTCTGTGGAAATGTTTTTAACGAATTCGAAGGTTTGTTTCTGTTGGAGAGTAAACCGAGGAAGCACGAGACGGTCTGTGCACACTCATCAAGATACATGAATCAGAAAAGCGACATTTCTGCAGCTTTTCCTCCTTAAACGATTCCAAACAAGACCTCTGATTAATGCATCCTTGTTTATCTAATGAGGGTTATATATATGCAGCAGTGAATGAAGGCAGCACATTTAGGTGAAAGGTCGCCCCTGATGAAGAGGAGCTGTGACTCTGTGTGCTGCTGAAAACAGGAGTGTCACCCTGAAGTCTGCCAGCTTTGAGACGAGCCGCTCTGGTGACAGACGGCTTTACAGGAGGGAACACTGAATCTGTTTCTTGACACAACCTGTCATTTTCATCTATCCTCCCACCTCCCTGTTTCATTTCTGCCCCTCCCTCCGTCACCAGGTCCCCCCTCCTCCTCCTCCTCCTCACCCTCTCTCGCTTGGTCTATCTGTCTGAGTGTGTTTCCTGTGTCATAGATTACAGGATGTTCTCTACAAACAAGCAAGATTCCAGTAAGCAAAGTGAGTAAGACAGAAACTTCAGGATGGATTATGGGCACAGAAACACTGTGCAGACTGAGAACATGCAAACGCCGTATGACTGCAAAGCGAGCTGTTTGAACAGTATAGTCTTCTGTCAAATATGTCACTCAGGACATGCGTTTAAGGCCATGCTTAGCATTTCTGACTGACTTATAAGTTCAGAAAGATGTGCAATCATTGTATCGACTTATTGATGACTAAAAATTGCATCTTTTTACCAAAGTGCTTCTTAGAGAAATCAGCTTGGCTATTCTGCTGATTCGAGTTTAAAGCATTAATTTACAAAAACATTAATGAAGTATTTCATGAAGATTATTTACAACAAAAAATTAATGTAAAATAAACAATTTAAACATCCCCCACTCTTTCTACTTTAAAATCACGTCTTAAAACTCATTTTTATTCCTTGGCTTTTAGCTCAGCATGAGAGTTGTGTGATCTCTGTCCTTTTATCACTTTTATTTCTATTATGCTTTTGTGTTTTTATTTCATTGATTTCATTCATTTTAAATGTTTTTTACCTGCTTTTATTTATTTCATCGTGATGTTTTCTGCATTGTCTGTTCTTTTAAGATTATTGTGCCGCACTTTGATAAACTTAGATTTTTTTTTAAATGTGCCGTATAAATAAAGCAGATTGGTTTGGATTGAATTTCTTGCAAAAGAACATTTATTGTCCAAAACAGAACAAAACAAACAAAAAAGAAATAAAAACAGTATAAAGATAATTATTAGCAGCATAGTTTCAGCAAACACTGCAGTGATTTCCCAGCTACTTTACAGCATTTCTGCAGCTTGCAAACAGGACTGAATGAAAGTGCATGATCTTTAAAAGTGTTTCAAGAGCTTTGAAAAATGCATACCCCACCATGCATTTACAAGGCTTTCTCTACTGTGTGTATGTGTGGGTATTCTTGAACATTTCCTTTTGCAAGAAGTCTTCCTGCTCTGACCGCACAATGTTCCTCAATGCGAGGACCGTGCGAGACGAGAGTGAGATAAATACAATGCTAAACAGGTCGCCTACCAACCCCTCCTTCCCCAGACTAAACTGAGATGAAAGGCCAAACAACCTGTTTTCTTTGCTTTCTTCGCTCAGGAGGGTGAGCAGAGCCACACCCTGCCTGTGACCTGACTTTGGCCTCCCTGCACGTCTTGCTAAGGGGCCCGTAGTGGTGCAAAGGGAGGGAGGGGCCCCTTCCTGGAGGCAGAGTGAGAGCACATTTTACAGCTCCAACCACAAAAAGAAAGCCACATATGGAGAGAAACAAACAGGTGTCAGACAATATGTCCTGCTGTTTGTGCACAGAAACGCTGACCTGGGACACTCAGGTCTAAAGCTGAATTTATCATGTGCTGCGGAGAAATGAAAACAGGCTGAATGAGAGCTTCCTCCTGAGGTTTTAAATGTCGAGTATAAGCGGAGCGGTGTTAGGAAGAGAGCTGTTTTGTCTACAGAGTTCCTTTCTATTTAAAATCCTCAGTCAGAATACCACTTACTCCGTTCCCTCCCTCTAACTCTGTGTGTGAGCGTGTATGTGTGTGTGTGTGCGTGCATGTGTGTGTGTGTGTAACACCCAGACGAACATACAGGATAAAAATATAGCGAGTGCTGTGGCTGCTCACTCGAGTGAGATTCCTCGACTGTGTGTTTGTGGGTTACACACACACTAACACACACACTCAGAGCTCCAATTTTGGCAACTAGTTCATCCCACCATCGTCTCCTTGGCTGAGGAGTCACACAGAACAATAGAGCCTCTGTCTGCACTCAAGTAAATAGCAAAAACACTTTACATAGTTACAGTCAAAGTGCTGCAGCGCTGCACTGCGAAGGATCATATTAATCTCATTATTCAGACTGTGTGCTGCTCTGACTTTGAGATGAACTGGTTTGCTGACTACACTTGAAATGACCTCATCTAAAATTCACTTTGATACGGAGAGCAGTAATTTCTCCTGCGCTCAGCACATAAGTAACTCTGTTTGTTCACTTCAAGTTTAAAAAAGAGCAAGTATTAACTCGCAGGAGAACAATGTTAGGACTGGAAGACGCCTGCCAGGCACAAACTGGCAAACACTGTGAGTGTGTGTGTGTGTGTGTGTGCAGATGTTGAGACTATCAGGTGGCTGCACACACAGAGTCTGAAGCCCTGCAGTACCTGCCCGTGCCGCCTCCCCCCTTTATAACCCATCATTTATCCCATTAGCAGGGAAGCGTCTCCCACATTCCCCCGCTACTTGAAAGAAAAACAAAAAGTCTGACTCTGTTTCCACACTGGTTGCCAAAAACAGCTTGTATTGATAGAAAACATGCTCGCTCTCCTGTCACCTCCCAGAGCTGTCCTGGAGCGACAGCATGACGCTGATTTTTCAATGCCTTCTTATTTCAACATTTCCTTTCATACTTAAGAGACTTTTTTTTTTCCAAGAACACTGTACGGCAGCAGGTCTGCTGTTGGTCTGCTCTTCCAGGAAGAGTCCAGAGAGGCTGGAAGAAAAAACAGGAGAGAAACCTCCCAGGGAGGCTGTCGCTAGCTAGGCTAGAGGCTAAACTCTTGTCAACAAGTGCCGAAACACAAAGAAATGTTTCTATGAGTAAAATTATCTTTGCATTGACTGATGTATCTAAATAAAAAAAGGCCTCCAGTGAAGCATGTTAAAGAGCATCAATCTGTTTTATATCAGATCATATCCTGAATTTCTTGATTTATATACTGTTGTGCAGCGTTCTAGTCATGTCATATCGTATCGTGCCAGCGGAAAGTAAAGCCACATCTCAGAGAGTTTGTGGTAAAGGCAAAAACCTACACACAGAAAGAGAAGCAGAAAACAACATTTTTCTTTTCATGCTGTTTCCAGTCAGACCTTCATAAGTCTACATTACTCTGACGGGTATCAGAAGGTATCATTAGCAGTATGGGGTCAGGGAGTTTGTCGGTCCTTTACATGGAGCGTATAAGTGTTCTAACTTTACTTTAAATTATTGTTTGACAAGTTTCACATGACAACAGTGCTGTGCATGGAAAAACAGAGGGAAAGAATAATGAGAGGGAAAGCAAAGAGTGACTCCCCCTCTACCACAAGCCTTCCTATTACTGCCTAGAGGCCGCGCACACACAAAGACACACTTATACACACACTCACACAGAGAGAGGGAGAGAAAAAAAAGGGAAGGAAAGGGAAGAGATTGGGAGGTTTGGGAAGGGAGAGCAGGGTCTCCATTTCCTCTCGCCAAATTTGCTTTGGCAACTCTTTCCGTGGGAATGATGAGGGACCAGCTCTTCTCAGCCGCAGAGAGAGCCAGAGCTCGGCCCACCGAGGAGACGGAAAAGCTCAGAAAACGTAAGATGGAGAGGGAGTGAGGGGGTGAGGGTTGGAGGGGGGGTAAGTAAATACAGCTGGACTTTTCCAGAGCTTTTCCTTTTCCATCCCTTCCTCTGGCTCGTTCTGTTTTCAGAGGGATCAAATGAAAACATGAACATGCTGGACAGAGAGGATAGACGTGCACAATGACCAGTTTTTAATCAGTGTGAAATTAGCAGACTATAAAAACTTAATCAGCCTCTGTCTGTATACGAGCCTCTTCATGCTGACCATTTTCACTGTAGTCCAAATAGTCTAACAGCTACTGTTGAAAAACTATTTCTGTTTTTTGCATTCTTAATTTAGGTCAGACAGGCAAATCTTTGCTTTTCCAGTCAGTTTTAGCTCAGTAAGTGGTTCTCACAACAGCTCAAGTGCAATATGTAGTTACATATCACCAGTAAGTGTATTAGCCACGATGGATACCCGTCATTTCTGCTTCTTCAATGAGAAAGTGCTGGAAGAACCAGCACGCAAGCTAGGCTACAGTTTTCGGCAGACGGGGTCAACTCCGCCACATAATTTATCAAACTTTGAGAGACTCTGATCCAAACTCTTATCTCAGTTCAAGTGTTTGTCCCACTGAGATTTTTTCAGCACTTTGTTATCAGAAAAGTCCTGATGTTTTTGCAGTAATTGAGGGTGGGACCCGAAATTGTTTCTTCCAGCAGTTTCTTAATGAGCATCCGTTGTTGCTAATACACCTGCCAGTGACATGCAACTCATTCAACTCTACCTCAAAAATACTGAAACATCCCTTCAACTACTGCAATACTTAAAGTGTCCACTTGGGACTGGCTGCAAAAGCCAAGAAACCCAGTTTAAGCCCCCAAAGAAAAGCAGATTTTTTTACAGCAAAATTCAACATGATTAATGCCTGTTTTAAAAAAAAGTTTCAGGTTATGTGACTCATATATCTATTCCTCATACTCTGCAGGTTTTCTTTTTTTTATAATATACCTGTTGGTAGCCCGTTGTAGCTATAGTAAGACTCGCCTCTGTCCACATCTTTACCTTATTTTAGGTTGAAATTAAGTTATTTCTAATGTAACGCACACCATTATTTGGCTTTTTCAGCAACCAACATGTGATGACACAGGACTACATCTATGTTTTAAACAATCTATAGATTATTCCCTGAATGGTACGTCCACTTGTATGAACTCCCAATTGTTTGTCTCCCTCCAAGTAAGTCATCTACATGCCTGTACAATAGAAACTCTTACAGTGTGAACTTGTTATTGAGATTGATTGTCAAAAGGCTGTGACGAGTAGAGTTTCGTTTGGCATCCGAGCAGAGAAACGGCAGAGCACAGAAGAAATTCCTGCGTTTACGGCGCTCGTAAAGGTTCTCTCTCTGGTTGGAGGAAGGTTGGAGGAGGAATCTGCTGATGGCTCTTTTCCTTGCAGCGGTGCAGAGAGCTGCCCTGTTTTAAAGGAGGCCAGATGTGAATTATGGGTAACAAGGGGAGGAGTGCGTCTGTGTGTGTGTGTGTGTGTGCAGGTTGGGGAATGCAGGGCACAGGGCATATTTCTGCTTGGCGTGTAACGTGCCCTGAGGTTGAGGTTGCTTGTGAAAGGGTTAAGTCGCATGGCTGAGCAAATACATAAATAGCACTAAGGGGGTTGGGGGGGTGTTTGGCATGGCCACTGCTGCCAGCTGGCGTCGAGGCTGAGGGTGCAAACACACACACATGCACGCACACACACATGAACACAGAAACTGGCGATTTAATTTCCCAGTATTACTTACGGGGCACTGGAACACAAGCAGGCACTCCGGGTACCCCGATCCAGACTGCAGCACATGCCTCCACATGTGACAGGCTCGCCAAGAGCACTGTGCAAACATGCACATACACACTCATGTTTGCACACTAGCTTACACACACACACACACACATACACACCAAAAACAGCACAGCGGCCTCCTCCCACACATCAAAGGAGCTCACAGCAGCAGCAGCAAAGAGAAGCTGCAGAGACGGGCCTCATCCCATAATGATAAATCACATCCCAACACCTAAAACAAACTCTCAGCCCTGCTTAACAGCGCTAAGATGGACACCCAAAACAAAACAGAGGAGTGGGAGCTCCCTGACCCTCTCCTCCCTGCCCTTCAGCCTTTGAACACACTCAGGAAGTTTTCACTAATCTGCAGGGATTAAGTTTACATTCTCTGGAATTACCCTCAGATCTCTGCTGTGCAGAATCAGTTTGTTTCTCAAATTAGGGTGGAAAAGTGTGCACACAATCTTTTGTGACGAGGAATCTACTGATTCTGCCGGTTTTGTTGCAGCGTTCATGGTTAAAAAAATTCCCTCTGAAGGACATTTCTAGCAGCTGTTTTTGTGCAAAGCTAACAGAAGCTCATCTCATATCAGCCGAGTATTAATCTTCCCAACTTCCAATCAAAGAACAGAGAAAATGATGAGCGCATATTTTGCGTCAATCAGCTGGCTAAGTTGTGTGCATCTTGTTTTATCTGCAGTGTGTGTGATACGCACTGACAGATATGCAGAGAAACTGAATTTTTTAAGTGTTTTAGTTGATCCATTTAGGATGAAATTGGTCTGGATGTTGGGAAAGAGGAAGCAGAATGATGCAAAATAGAAATAATCAATAATTCCCATCAAGGGCATCAAAATGAAATGAAGGAGCCTGAAAAAACAGGCTTTGATACATCACAGATACTGAGAATTCACCCAGGTTTAGTGTCAAGTATGTGTCGTGATTACCTTCCGTTACCTGTTCATGTTTGCTGCATTTTTTAAGGGCAGACTTCTATAAAAATGACAGCTCAGTAATGGCTCGTCATGCTGTGAATGCATCATGTCCGTGCGTCTGCAGTTTGCAGTGATTTCTCTTCCTGTCAGAGAAGAGGATGAGGGGGATTTAGGCGAGGGTGGGGGCTTGCAGTCAAATCCCCTCTCATCTTACAGGCATCATTACGCCTGCTAAAGCCTGATCCCTGGAGCCCTGCACTACCAGGGACCGGGACAGACCACCAATTACAGTCTTAACCTCTATGCTGCCCTCTCTGTCTCTATCTCACTGACACCTAGACTGTAGCTGGAGGGGGCTGATAAAGATGCTGCCTCATGGGAGACGCTGAAAGCTGCCGCCATTACTGATTTTTTCTGCTGAGCCGGAGGAAAACGCTGTGTTTTGTGTTTTTTTTTTCTTCTCAAGGCCTGACCAAATCCAGAAAGATTTTCTCAGAGTTCAATCCTGTTTCATCCTGTTTCAATCCCATTTCAAACTGCGCAGAGGAACAGAAGCTACCAATCTCACATTTACTCTAAATATGAGCAAAAGTATAAAGAAGAGTGCTACCGGGGCGCTGTTTTATTAAATGGTGGCAGAGCTGCAAGGATTTTATCTAAAATTGATCAAAAGGCATGTTTGGTGCAAAAATTCCCTAAATGTAAGAGTTTGCTGCTTTAATTAGTTATTTTATTGCGTGTCCACTCTCTCTTACAAGCTGATGTTACCTCTGGCTTCAAAAACCAAAGATCTACATGGAGGTTTTAGAAAGGTAAAGTCAGGGTTTTGGTCTCATTTGAAAACTGATTAACATGCATTAATTGCCATGTTTGCAGCTGAGTGCAGCCTGGATTTGTAAGACTTGATTTTCAGCCGAGGTAAAGCTTCCAGTGCACAGCTTCAGTATAAATAAAAGGCTCATGGGATGGTAATTCACAGATGGAGTGGTCTGCTGTGACTCAGAGCCTGTAAATGAATCGTTGATAACATAAACAAGCCTGCAGCACTCCAGACAGCCAAGGTGATACGATGGTTTAGAGGATAATGGAAGGTGTGAATCTCACAACGTGTGAGACTGTGAGAGTCCTCTTATAAAGGAGCACCTGGAGGAGTGCTGTGCCGTCGTAAACAAGGAAGGTCACAGGCTCCCAGTGAATGAATAAATACAGTGTATGTGTGATTACGCAGTTCAGCCATGTGTGCCTGTGTTTACAGCCTCTGCTAGCCGTAAACACAGCGAGGATTCAAGAGAAAAACACACAGTATCTCTAAATTTGAGCTCCATCCAAATCTGGCAGAGCATGACGGCTGCAGGGACGGACACATCAGCTAGAGGGACACGAGTGGACCCAAACTTTACATACATGTAGCCCCAAACATAACTGTAAGAGGGACTGACACCAGCATGGTCAACTACAAGTCTAAAGACCAACAGGCCCGTTGACATAAAAATCATTGAAATCTATTTTGGAGAAAAATCTCAATTCTCTTGAAGGATTATTCCAAATAAATTGAAATGTCATTCCTGCAAATCTTAAGAATCCAAAATGCTTACGATGGATAAATGTGAGCAAAGCTTACATGCTGCCCTTTACCCTCTGAGCCCCTCAGCCACGCTGTTTCTCTGCAAATCCTCATCCATCGGCTGTCCTGTGACGAACCTCGCGCTGTACACAAAACAAGCAGTCTTTGAGAGAGCAGAGCTCACATGGCCACAGGCTACACTCCTCTTCCTTCCTGTCTGTGGGGAGGGATTAGGTCAGCCTGTCAGCTGGTTCAGACACCATGTCTAGCCACCACCGCTCTCCTGACCAGGCCCTGTCAGACAGGCCCTGCAGCCCCGACCTGCAGGCTCTTTAGACAAACCACCAAACACACAGGGTCCTCATAAGGCAGACAGCAGCTCCCTATGAGCTGCATAACAAGGCGGCTGTATCTATTGATGGCTGTGTTTGTTGTAGTTGGGCATTAAGTGGGCCAAACATGGCCGCACTAATGCATCTGCAGACATGGCGGGTCAATTAGAGCGCCACAGTGAGCCCATCATCTAACATGAGGAACAAGCTCTTACACATGCTGTGGTCTTCGAGTGTCATTATGTGGAGAGACAGGGAAAAACAGGAGGGAGGGAGATGAATGAGGTGTGCTGTGCAAAGTCTGACTGCCTACATGGTGGCTACAGAAAAAAAAAGGAAATGCAGATACGCATGATGTTTCTAACGAGGGTGGAGATACCACAGAGGTTTTAGGGTGTGTTCATGATGGATGTCACTGGGTCACTTGAATCATTAACGCTGTGACCTTAAGAGTATTTAATGACGCTATTGTTCGTGTAGATCGTGCAGATTAAATCTTCAGAGGAGCTCTTCTTGGCCGACTAAAACCCTGAAATTTTCGACCAAAATCGACTAATCGGCTCTGACCCTTCTGTGGCGAGGGGCATCGTTGCTCGGCGGGTGAAAATGTACTAATATCAGCACAAGATGAAAGTTGAAACGCTCAAACTAAAAACAAATATTCAGCAAACTACCAGACGTTGATTAACGTGGACGCTCTTGAAGCTTCCTGTCTTCAGCTGGTCTCGGGTGGGTTGGGCGAATCCAAAATGGTGAAAACAAGGGGGTGTTCTGAGACAAGCTGTTACCTGTGAAACGGGGGTCCCCTAAAAACATAGCCATTAGCACTTGGTACATTCCTCCTGATGAAATTAACCATAGATTGTAAATTGATGCAGAAAAAAATCAAGTCGACTAATAAGAATTTTGGTCAAATCAGCACATATGGACCAATAAGTTGACCAGTCGGCTAGGACTTTACAGGCCAAACCCTACACTGAGATGACCTTGTGTTTGTTTGTGATCACCCCTTTTCACCAAAATTGCAGTTTTTCAACCCTACATTTGCAGGTTGTCATTCAAACTACATTTATGGTAAAAATACCTGCACACCAAACATGCAAACTGTCCAAGCAGCTGACGCCAGCTCTGCGTGTGCACACGCTGTAAACACTGTAGTATCAGAGCGGACTGGAGAGGCATCAGGACTCACATTAGCACCGTTTCCATCAGTTAAAAGCTCTCGCCGTTTGAGTATCTGTCAAGTGAAAACACCTGAGCGGGGCCACTGATTGCTTTCTCTTCACTCAGACTGTCTAATGGTATGTAGATGAGAGGCTTCATGTTTTTGTTTTGCTCATATTACCACTTATGGTCTACCTGGATCTGTTGGAAAGACTTCATTTGCATAGGAAATGGTTCTGATTTATCACTTGAAGAGCAGTTTTCTGTTAAATTGATACAAAATAAGATCTATAACAGGAACAGCCTGAATTCTTTCACTGATGAAATCTAAAACTTCCCTCTTTTATATCATGTTGTTTTTAACGGTGTCATTGTTTCGTTGTGGCTCATGTTCTGCCAAATGCGGTGAAAAAACATGGGCTGTTGGGGTTTTCTGTGGCAGTCAGATCTCGTGGTTTGGTTATAAAGTGAAGAATCAACAAAAAACTTCAGGAGAGCGATCATTATTTCTGCAGATATTTCTGCAGTTGCAAAATGCATCTTGATAAATGTGGATTATTAAACTTTATTGTCACTGATGTTCAGGTCTGAATGGAGCAAACATGTTACAAACAAAGAAACATAACTGGAGGTCTGGAACATTTCTGCAGCACTACTTCATCCCGATGTTTTATGTTTTATGACCCATTTTACTCTTTACAATCAACTGCAGCTTCTGAGGATTTGGCCGTACTGCTATTTTGATTATTTTGCAATTAGTTGTGCAGCTGTGTGCTACATGCAGAATTTTTTTATGGGATCAATGATTTGGGAGGCGCTTCACTGAGCTCGACCTATTTTAAAGATCTTTTCATGTCTGGCACATTTTCAGTGCTTTTGCAGACATTTTGTTTCAGTTAAATATTCAGCAATATGCAAAAACACTTATGTGAGCACTTCATACTATGACAGCAGCAGAGTTTACTTTACATGTCATGTTAGAGAGGGACCTTTCACTTGCTAGAGAAAAGTTAAACTTCTGCCAGACTGGGCGTTAGAAAGTGCACGATAAAAAAATGTGAAGTGTTCCAGCGAGAGAAAGTAGGTCATGTCCTCCAAGTGCTGCATCTCAGGGACCTTTAAGAAAAGAAAGCCCGGCCATGTTCCTGTAATGCTGCAGCAGGAAACTGTAGCTATTATAAGTCATTAAGCAGCAGGCTGGAGTTCAGCTCACACTGGAAGGATTTATCCCATGAGAGGGGGGGGGGGGGGGCAGGGCAGAGAGCAGGATGAGCACCATCCTCTGCTACATCCATCCAGGATTTTAGGGGAGAAATCGGCCCATGCACTTCCAAACTGTCACATGCATTTTCCTGAGGTGAGAGACTCTCCAGTGAGACTCTTGACACACTCCACTGAGGTGAGAGAAAATGGCTGCCGCCGTGCACACGCTGCATGTTCCCTGTGAGTGTCTGCAGGGCTTAGTCTGCCGGCTGACGCGGCGAGCGGAGGCATAATGGTCGGGGTTGTTAGTGAGCACTCCAGTTGCGCTGTGATGGGAATGTTTTCGACAGCTTTCAGACACTTGGCACTAATGATGTTCTGTATGCCCCGTGGCCAGCTGGGAGTTTTTTTTTCTCTTCTCCCTCCAATCAGTGTGTGGAACAGTTTCACCAACAGCAACGCAAACTTGTAGAAACATGCCAGATCAGCCAGAAGCTGCTGCTAAAGAGAGTAAGGGTTTACAGTATAGGACTGTGCTTGAAGGAAAGTAAAGTTTACGTCTTTATAGTAGAACTGAAGGGCTGTTCAAACATTTAACCTCCACAGCTCTGCAGCTGAGATGGTCCACCAGTGCTCAATACACAACTACAGTGATGGTGGACATGAATGGAGACGGATTTCTCTGTTGCAAAAGCTCTAACCTGAAGAGTTTTGATTCAAGATCAAGCAAAACAAACTGAAGTCTCCTGCATGTTGTAGCTGTGAATGTCTAAAAGATCATTTCTTAACCGTTTAAGTGGAAATCTAAATTCCTGCTGACCAACTAGTCTACAGAAAACACTGAAATCACAGTCAAGCTTTGCAGCCCACCTTTGGGTGTCTTTGCTGCTGCTCTGCCAGCCTTAGCTTCTCACATAACAGCTGCAGGGGAGGTGTGCTCTACTTATACATGTGAATTCAGCATATATAACTAACTGCATGGCAATAATTCGTTGTTTAGGTCTAATGTGGGCAGTCTATTTTTATAGGGTTCAATATAAATCAAACATCATTAAATAAATGAATTATTAATTAGAATTAGAAAGGACTCTAAATCAAATTAAGAAAAAAAGTGAAAAATTGAAGTGAAAGTCCTCAAAGTTCCTGAAACACACGCCTATTAATTGTGTGTCAGTTTCGAGTGTGAGTGGATCCAGTGTGCTCTTCATTTGGGTCAGCACTGGGCTATCTTTAGTTTTTGCGGGTTTTCCCCCAGTCTGCACGAGTTTGATCCATGGAGAGCTCATTTAAGTCATGTTTTTATAGATAGAATTTGTCTTTTTTTGTAAGGGGGGCTTGCGGTTGCCATGTCTAGTCCCTACGTTCACCCAAAACACCCTCAGAGGTCCGACGAACCATTCCTGAGAAACGCCCTCCAGACTTCAATATTATATCACAATCAATTTGTCCGGGTAGCTTCCCTAAAGCAGATGACTCCGCTGAATCCTGGCTGTAAATTCAATCTCTGTCATGTTGAAGCAGAGGAGCCTTTAATAGGTGAAAGTCCAGTTAGAGTCAGGCAGACAGCGCGGACAGAAGGAACGAATCAATGAGCAGCAGAGGCTCCCTGAGGGCCGGCGCAGAGGAGGGGGGGTTATTGTAAATCAATTGTCAGCCAATTCATTTCTATTGATAGCATCAGAATAATGACATGCTGTAATAAAATGGTAATCAGGGCCTTTAGCTGCGGGCGGCCCGCAGTCGTACAGTGATTGGAACTGCAGGGAAAGTGGCCCACATTCTGCACTCTGAACATGTGTGCACTTATTCATGTGTGTATTTGTTCGATGGAACGTGTCATTTGTTTTTGTTGTGGCTGAATACATGTGTGTAATTACGTGTGAGTGTGTGAGGAAGATCTCACGTGCTGCAGCGTCTGATTTAATCCTGGAGATATGCAACCCAACGACAGTGGCAGATGGCCGGGTGAGTAGATTAAAATCTCAACAGCTCACCCCGCAACAACACAAACAGACGCAATTTAAGTAAATAAGAGGAGATGAGATAATTGCCGCACATATCCAAGCACGGTGAGAGAAAAAAGGAAGAATTATATTAATGATTTCATTCGACACTTGAGAAACCACAGACACCTTAAAGCCACCCAATCAATGGCAGAGGAGGAAAAATTAAAAGCAGGGTCAGAGCCGAGGTCAGACCTCATGAATCAGGATAATTGGATGAGAGATGGTGTTATGAGGGAGCGAGGGTCGGCAGTAATAAGCTGAAGATCTTCTTTGGCCAGAATCCTTTTTGTTAATGCAAACAAGTGCTTCCTTAGCTTAGCTCAGCTTTATGGCTCAACAGGGGAGTTAAATATCGGCCAGTCTGAGATGAGGCCGACTAACTTGTCGGCCCTTTTTGCTCAGCTGAGGTTTTAGCAGTTTTTGCATTTTGCAGGTATTTTGCATGCAGAAAAAATCTTGAAATTCCAGCTGTTGTTGGAGGGAAATGCTGCTTTTTAAACAGATGTAATGTGGTACATGTTTGCTGCAAAATGTGTCCTGAAAGTTTGTCTGCTCCTGTGTTAAATGCAAGAACTGGAACTAGGAGGTGAAGAAGCAAAGTCCAGGACAATTCCTATGTTATTTTGCAGGAGAAAATAGGTCGAAACAAAAGCCCCTCCTGTAAGTAAATTGTCCAGACCCTTACTTCAACAGTCAAGGACAGATATTTGATACAACGTCAGAAAAGACGCCGGACTTGAACCAGAACTGGCCTCTCCTCTTCATTATTCCGGGAAACCTTCCCTGTGAGAGCAGGAGGATGGGAAACACTGACACTGGCTCTGCTGCCAGGATCAGTGCCCTACTTCCACCCATAAAACACAGACACACACATACACACACAATGGATGTGCCAGCCGCCCCCCCCGAGCCAAACACATCCATGTTGGCAGAGATTCCGAGAGCAGGGCGATGCAGCCAGTCATACCAGCTCAGCCGTAATCTGTCAGTCAAACTTTATGACCTCAAACAGAGACCGCTGCCCTCCAAGGTCTGATCACATCGCTGCGGTTTCCCATGATAGGTAAGTTCCTGTTTGCAGGTCTTGCAGGGCGATCTTTTTATTGCACCACGTTGCCATGTTTTGTTCACCTTCTGCACCTTCCACATGCAGCAGAGACAGACGGAGACGTCTCACTCTTTGGTAATTTGTTTTGAAGTTGTTTTTAGCGGTCGCTTCCTGTTTGTGGTTTTGCATGCACCATTGTCAGCAAAGAATGTAAAGATGCAACATGTTTCACCCCTCAGTGACTCAACTCCAGTAAATAACCTTAGATTTGCACACAGCATGAAAACACACAATGGCCTCATCAGAGAGAGGAATTTTGTCATTGATTTTAGTGGACAACAGCCAAATCATTGCACCACCACTCTTTTACTTTTGGTCCTGTTCAAAGCTTGAAATTTTTCTTTTACGGTCACCACAATCAGTAACCTTTCCCCATTTTTTGTTCAAGGAATCTCCGAATTCGCAACCCTGATGCTTTGATTTTGTTTATTTTTAATCATTACTGTTTTATTATTTTACAGCACAACCTTGAAAACTCTCAACACAAAAACAGATGGAGAAAACATGCAGAATCACGCAAAACATCATTCTCCAGTAGGGATACAGGTTTTAATCAGACCTGACCTTTTTGAGATTGAACACATGATGAATAAGCAGAGGGTCAGGATTTCAGATGCTCCATCCTATTATTCAAATTTACTCCAGGTTCCCAGGTGATAGTAGTCCCATGAAGACACGGCTAAAGTTACGTTTAATTGGAGAGCAATAGGTTGATGAAACAAGCTCAACTGAATCAAGTGTTAAATAGGGTCTAAAGGACTGTTTGAATGGAGGGGCTGTATAAGAGTAAAAGGCCTGCAGTCCCATTGAAGCGGTCCAAAGTGCAGGTCGGGCCGGGTGAAGTTGAGGTCACGTTGTTCTGAGCTGCAACATGAGGGGACAGTGCTGTCTGTTCAGGAGTTCACCCAGAGGTGAGCTAGCAGACCCACCCCATAAACAAGTCTGAAGTTTATAGCCACTATTTGGGTTTGTTGTTCCGCCGCATTCTGGCCCTGACGACTCAGCCAGAGGAGGGGGTGAAGACACAACAGAGACGAGCAAAGCAAGGACGCCGTAAAAAACAAAGAGAGGCGTAGAGAAAAAAAAAAGCATGTGGCTCACAGGGAGGCCAACTGGCCACTAAAACGTGGGGTCATTCGGAGAGCAGCTTCAGGTCGACTCTCAGGTCAGTCATGAGGAGGCCATGTTGGTTTGGGGTTCCTGCTCTTCCTGTAGCCACTCTGCTCAGTGTGTTATTTCATCTCTGCACACATCCACACTGACACACACATGTCCAACAAAACAAGGACGAGCAATGGAAGGAATAAAAAAAGACAGAGGATGGGAAGGGAAAATAAAAAGGAAGAAAAACAAATGACAGGATGTTGCGGTTGTGTGTGTTTCAGCGCGTGTGTGTGTATGTGTGTGTGTTTGCATGTGGGGGTTGCAGTTGCTCTTCTTCTTCTCTCTCTGGAATCTGTCTTAATTAAAAGGATTGGTTTTACAGTAAGTGTGTGCCCGAGGGGAGCCGGCTGCACGGCTTGTTGTTCTGAATCAAGGCGGCCATGAGGGGAGCGGGGCGGGGCGGGTCGCTTTCAAACAAGAGGAAAAAGTTCAGGACGGAACCGCGATGAGGTTCTGCATGTTGGATTCTCTGCAGAACCGACGTATCTGCAGATTTAAGAGGCAGTTCTCCAAATCAGGGCAGACTGAATGCTAAGAATGCATGATGTAATGCTCCTCCATGAGGCTCTCTGCTGACTGAAGCACCTGTTTCTTCCAGGTGTGAAGTTTTATTAGCAGGTGATGAAAGTGTAATGAAGAGCCAGTTTGGAGGGTGAGTGAGAAACACATAAATGAACCTCCAGACAAGCTGTTCAGTGTTCGCCAGCTTTAGCTGTTGCCACAACAAACTGGAAAACCAAACAGGAGTGTGTGTGTGTGTGTACATGCGTGTGTGTGCATGTGTGTGTGTGGGTATGTGTGTGAGCACCGGACCGGCATCAGCCGTCTCATCAATCAAGGTTTGTTTAGTGGGAGGTTTGTGCAGCGGTGTCAGCTCACTCAGGCACAAATACACACCTGGAGGACGAGTCGCTAAGTCATTGTGAGCAGCAGACAGGTCTGAAGTCACTTCTTGATTGAGCTCGTCTTTACTGAGCATATATTTACTTCATCATGCACACACACAGATAAAAGGTAAACTATCATTTTCAATTCAAATAAATTCTATAATTATTTTTAAAGCACACATCTAACCATTTATTGTCACATTTGTACACGAGAAGTATCCACATCACAAGCCGACGTCCCCATAAGGTTTCTCTTCTATACCAACGATGCAAAGACAGAGAAGGTGCACATTTTTCAATTTTTTTCCTCAATTTAGACTAAATCTTTACATCAAATCTCTATTTTGTGTTGATTTTTGTGTGTGTTCATAACAGTTTATACTTTAAAGTAAAAGATAATTTAACCTCTGACGTGTGTCACCGCAAAAATTGAATCTATGCAGTCCTGTGGTTAAGAAAGGCACCTGAATGAATCTTTGAAACAGGAATGAATGTGATAAAATATAAATTCATGAAAAGTAAATCTGAGTGTCCTTTATCAGAGCAGCTGTGGCAGTGGGGTCATGGCAGCAGCCTTTGAATGTGGGAAACACTCCAAACTCACCGCCAGTGAAGGATGGAGGCGGCCAATCAGAAAGGAGAACCAGAGTAGTCACCGTGGCAACCGGTAAACCCATGGCTTTTTGAGAAGAGGTGTAGACTAAACTGTTGATACAGAGTCAAAGCAGACCCTGCTATGACTGATCCTCGGTGACCTGAGTCACCTGACTCGCACACACATACGCTCACACACACAAACACACACACGCCCACATGCAAACACACACGAAGCTTGGATCACTGTGACCTGCCAGAAATAAGACACACTGTTGTTGTTTTTTCGGTCAGAGTGACATCTGTTTGCTCATGGATTTGGCTTCATTTTCAGTGTGTAAATGTGTGTGTGTGTGTTTGAGTATGTGTGTGTGAGAGAGTTTGGGTGAGTGGTAAAGCACTGATTGCGCACACACATTATCACACACACGCACACACACACTTTATTGCAAGTAGAAGGGCAAAGACTGCAAGTGATTCACCGTGTCTGTTTGCAGACAGGCAACACCAGCCATGAGAAGTGTGAAAGTGTGTGTGTGAAAGAGTGTGTGTGTGCGTGCGTGCGTGCATGTGTCTGTGTGTGTGTGCCAGCATGCATTGCTGCGCCTCTGTGTGCCAGTATGCGCTGACTACCCTTCTCTGGACGATGCCAACACACACAGAAACGAGTGTGTGCTGGTAGCGTTCTTGTGTGGGAGGGTTTTTTTTGACTGCAGGTGAGCTGCATACCTCGAGCTGAGCCACAGATAGATGGAGTGATAACAGAAGAGCAGGTACGGGCATGAGAAAAAACACACACACACACACACAGATGTGGAGCAATGAACAAAGAGAGACTCGATGCAGCTGCACATCAGCGTTCTGGCTACGAAAGAAAAAACAAATGGCCTTTGATTTAGTCTAAACACGCTTTTTCCCACACCTGCACCTTTACACACACACACACCCTCTGTCCCAAACACTCACACACATACACACACACACACCAATCAAGGAAATGGCAGGGTGGTAGCAGCACTCACAGATGACCTTTCACTCACTTCAATCTGTTAAATAAAATGCACCCCATCAATCCAGCTGTGACACTGCTACCTCATCTCTCTCTCACACCCTCACACGCACACACACATGTTATCAATCACATGTCAGCGTGCACTAATGCACCTCATCTTTCATTTATGGGGAGGAAGCAGCATGAATAAGCAGCAGCTCTGCTCGGGCCAGATTGTGGGAATTTCAGCGTTAGCTACAACCTTTACCCTGAGAGGAAGTGTGTCTGCTAATGCTGCATTTGTAAGCTCAAATCTGATTGGTCGATGCTTTATTATCACTTTAATATTATTGGGTAACATCAGGGTTGGATATCTCTAAAATTTTGAAATATAAGTGAGGAGACTTTTTTTCTCAACACTGTCTTGAAATCATAAATTAGTGTTATTTTTATTGCAACTCTTTACCCTGGTGGTGAACGTGGACTTTGAATAAACCAAGGGGTCTTTGCTGCTGCTCTGCCTGCCTTGGCTTTTTGTGCATGCACATGAAATAAAGGGAAAGGGTGCTCTCCCTACTTCAGGCTTTAAAATAATGGTCCGCACATCAACTGAAGGCTTTAGAGTGTCCATGTATCTAAGCTTGTTTCTCTGATTAAGGATGATTTGCTCGGCACTTTTCATTCTCGCACACTTTTTAATGAAATAACAGGAATGAACTCTAATTGATCTGATTCACTCCATCAGGTATACAATTTGTTTTCTGCTTGTATACTAAGTGTGGTGACTCATGTTTAGGTCAAAAAACAAGAAATAATTCTAATAATTTGTTGTAAAAAGCCTGGATCATCATTAGCAGTTTTATTCTGCTGTTTTTGGGAAGGTGTGTTTCTTCTTCTCTGCCATTTTCTCTCTGTTTGACTCACAGTTTCTGCTCCGTCTCTGCTTTAGCAGCTCGCTCTGTTGCACACACACTTTCTGTCTGTCTGTTGGTCTGTCTGTCTGTCTGTCGTGTCTTTCTCTCTCTGTGATTCCACACCCTCCAAATTCTTGGAATCGAGTTTCCCTCGTTACCCCTGCGCCGCCCCCTTCCTCCATCCCTGCACATGCTTTTTTTTATTCCTTGTACTCGTCAAGTCTGGCATGGCTCGTGTTTTTCACCATAGAAACCGACATAACAGACCAGCACAGCCAAGCACAGGCTCGGCAAACAGAGACCAAATAAAATCCATCATTCAGCCGGTGTGTGCGAAAGTCTTTTTTCTCCCCCTCTCTCTCCTTGAAGCACTCATGCCTTATTTTAGAGCAGTTCCAGCAGGACGAAGAAGGTGGGGGGGGTGGGCTCCAAGAAAGTTTTGAACATAGACGTCATTTGGAAAGTGTCCTGCTGGAGGGAATAAGCATTTCAACGTGCAGGAATAACAGTGAGGAAACCATTTCGTGCTATGAAAACACTGCAGATGAACTTTATATAGAGCAGACCACAAAACCAGGAGAGTCCTGTTTTTGCAGCACTGTTATTTACAGCCTTGTGATAAGAGTCAGCATGTGTCGCAACAATTTTGATGTAACTGAAAGAGTTTGATCCTCATCGAATCATCCTGAGCGGCTGCTACAGACCAAATTCTACCAAAACTTGCTTTAAAAACGGCGTTGCTGCAGCTTCCAGTGCATAGACGCAACTAAAACCCCCCAACTTGATCCCGTTCTTATGATGTAATCCCCCAAAATGTCGGATATTTGTTTTAGTTATGTAAGCTCATGGCCCCTCCAAACCCTCCACTGCGTCTGCCAGATGGAACAAATGACGAATCTCAGACGTTTGGCGTTCTCTGGCCGGAGAAGCAGTGGAGGGCCGCCTTCCAAACCGTTTCCTAAGATGCAAACTGTTCAATGAAACCCACACAGACATCAGAGGGAGTCTGAATCTGTGGAAAAAGCTGCAGATAAAAGAGGCGACTGTGCACGTCGCAGTGCCGCTCTGCCTTCGTTTCTTTACTGACTGTAAGTGGGGAAACACATGCGGTAATTCCAATGTAACCATCACATTATTGCAGATTACTGTAAGCTGCCAAAGGCTTTGGAGCTGCAGGTTTCCCTCAGCCAACTGTAAGACTTTTTAAGACCTCATTAATGCTGGATGGGATTGAGTTTAAGACCAATTTGAGAGGAAAATGGATGAAAAACGCTGATGAAATATAGCTCTCCGGCGATGTATGTTTTTGAAAGTTTTGGCATCAATAGATGGATTTCCAACCCAGCAGAATGAGTCGCTGCTGGTCACCACCAGGCAGAGAGAGAAACGTATCATTACACGCTGAAAAATACGGCCGTTAACTACAGAAGGAAAAACTTTCAAAGAGCTGTGGACGCCCTAGAACATTTTAAGTATTTACTGCAACTTCCTGGGCTTCAGGGAACCTTCAGTATTAAAGCAAAGCCTCATAAATAATGTGCTTTTCTTTGTCCAACACACACACACACACACACACACACACACACACACACACTGGTCGCTGTCAGCTGACACTGACCAGCACCGAGCCAACCGGCCGGCCGTCTGTTGCTCTGGACAATCAGCTTAGCCGCCCTCAGCCAACCCCACGGCCCTCTGGGATATCTGGGCTGGGAGAGAGAAGAGGGAGGAAGGAGGGAGGGAGGGAGGAAGGAGGGATCAGAGTTGGAGTCTATAGGAGAAGTATACGTGACACGCAGACAAGAGCCAGAGAGACAGAATACGTCACAGCCTCCATCAGCTGTCTCTGGACTCTGTCAGCTGTCTCTCTCTCTCTCTTTACATGTCCTCTAACCTCGATCGCTCATCTCTCTGTCCGGTCTGTCGCAGTCAATTTTAAACCCGGCGCAATGACAAAAGCCTGCAGCTACGATTGCTCTCTTTGAAAACGACAAACATGAGATATAACAGAAAGCAGCTACAGACAGAAAATGTCACTTGGTGGGACTTTTTTAGCTGCTGCTCATTTCCTAATAAGATTTCCTGCTTTGATTTCGATTTTTTCCACCATATAAAACAGTTCATCCAGACTCTTTAAGCCCTAGACTCATGAGAGAGAAGTTTGGGTCACTTCAGAGCTCATGCACTCCTTGCCACACTCTCAGGAAGAGCCTAACTCGGCTTTTGGACTGCACCAGTGCTGGACGCAGATTATCTGATAATCTGAGCTCAAACAGCTAGCAGATTCTTATAATTTCAAACATGTCATACATAAGTGGGATTTCATATCTGGACGGTTGCATCAGCACTTTCTGAGCAGGGAAAGGCAGCATCTCAATCCCAGCTTCTGCTCAGAGATAGACGACCTCTTTGACAGGGTCTCTTGTCTCATTTTGGTTTTTCCCTCCTCAGAGCATCACTAGCCGTCTTCATTTTGCTTCACAATGCAAGTTTAAACAAGATCCTGCTCTTACAAGATCACGGGAGACGGTTTGATGCTCTCTCCTGCGCACACACACAGTCTTAATAACATCCTGCAGTGAGTAATGCATCCGCCTTTCCATTTTTAGAGTGCGCTAGTTTGAGTTTTTAGAGGAGGTTATCTAAAGTTCCTCCCTGCGCCCCTGATTCAACCTGGTTTTGTAAAAGGGGTTTGGGATTTTAAACCTCCTGCAGTCTGATCTGGGCCTGAGATCGTGTTGTACTTGACTGCTCTCTTCTCAATGACCCTTTTCTTCCTGTTAAGTATGAGCTCTGTTCCCTGGTCCAGACGCCTCCCACCCTCCTCATTTCCCCATCCTCATCCTGAAACCATGACACAGTTACATAATTGCATTTGGTAAACTATGTGACGCCCCCCACCTCCTCCTCCTCCTCCTCCTCCTCCACCTCCTCTGACTCCTTCCAATCTCACATCACACTCATCTGTTATGTCTGAGGCTGAGAGACGAGATTCCCAGACAGACTTATCACAGTCTGTTTTGTTGCTGCGCAGAGGAACACACAGTTACTTTCATCTGTTTCTGCAGAGGAGAAAAAAAATAATAAATTCCTCCCAATAAAAGGTTGAATTTTCAGGCTGTGGTTTCAATGCTGAGAAAGTGCAGATAAAGTCCCCCTCGCTGCAATCGGACTTTTATCAGTTAAAGCTCAAACTGCGGGACTTTTCATATCAGCTGGATGTGTGTTTGTGTGCAGTTTCCTCTCAGTGAGCTCATGTTTTTGAGCACATGAGGATTAATCTGAGCTGGGGACTTGGCCGGCCTTCTGCTGCGGGTACAAAAACTAAAGCTCATGATGGGGACACAATGTGCACAGACAACTGGACGAAAAAAAAATGAAAAAAAGACAGCGCGTGTAAAGACCCAATGGATCCAGATCGCGCATCTGTTGATATGTAAAGCGGCCAACACAGCTGATAATGAGTGAGAAAGTAGAGTCACAGTACAGATCCACCAGAGGAAGCTAGAAAGGCCATCTTTGGTGGCTTCACTTCTTACCTTTTCAATTGAATCACCATTTTCATTGTTTATGTACTCTTTAGTAAACCAGCGTTTGCATTTACTGCATGATTTCTTGTGATTTGCATCACATTAATTCGATGCAAATTTTCAGACACATAAAACTGCTATAGATGAGGATGCAGCTCAACTACCACAGTGATCAGTTTCAGCCCTAGACAAAGCAGAATTCAGTGGTTCTGTTTTCATGGTGTGTTCAAAACCAGGGCTGTCATCAACCAAAGAAATTCTTGACTAAATCCCTGAAATTTTCGACCAGAAATCGACTCTTGGTGGGGTGAAAATATACTGATATTAGCACAAGGAGGTAATGCCTTTGTCTTTGACGTGGACGGTAAAGGAGGACTCACATGAAAGTTCAAAATAAAAATAAATATTCAGCAAACCACCGTATGTTGATTAACGCTGGCACTTTTCAATCTTCCATCTTGAAAACCAGGGGGGTGTTCTGAGAGAGGCTGTTCCCTGTGAAACAGGGTTGCTCTGAAAACACCCCCATTAGCACTTGGTATGTTTCTCCTGATGAAATTAACCATGGACTGTAAATTGACGCAGAAAAAAATCGAGTCAACCAATCTGAATTTTAGTCGACTCAGCAGTTATCGACCAATAAGTCGCCCAGTCGACTAGGACTTTACAGCCCTACTCAAACCAAGGCTGTGTTATTATGACTTTTTCACACAGATTAAAAAAATAAACTTATCTCATGCATCAACTTCCTGAAGTGAGGCGAAGCTTAGATTAGTTTCCTTTTGGTCTAAGCACAGCATCGGCCCCTCTTATTCCCTGACCTCTTTTGTTCAGTTTTACACGAGGCCTGGAAGTTGCAGAAGTGGCGCCAAATATTCAAGCTTTTGGGGGCTAATTCGCCCTCAGAGACACCTCAAAAGGTCACACACAGAGGGGAAAGAGCTTAGGCCGGAGAGCAGAGCGGCACAACATCTGTCTTTCTCTTAGAGGATGAGGGGAATAAAAGAGCTACGTCCAGAGTCCAGAATGTACCAGTTAAAACTGGCAGGCCTGGAGATTTTCCACAAGCTCCCCCTCCTTCCTCTCTGCAGCTCCAAACTCTTCAGTTTTTGTCATTGTACAGTCTCATCATTTAATCTGGCCCATTATGTATGGAGGCTAGTCTTTCATACAGAGGACAAACAAAAAGAAGAGTATGGTGAGATGGGAAAAAAGAGTGCGCAGCAGCAAAAACCAGAAACCTACATTTCCTCAACTTCACCTTTCCCTTTATTATGTTCCGTCATGCAGGGAGACTCAAGTCCCAAAAGAAAGAAGCAGGAAGACAAAAACTCAGAGGCAGAAAACATCACAATGAAAGGAGAAAGGGGGAGGGAGAAGAAAGGCACAAGAAAAATGAAAAATGTATCAAGAGCCGAGGCAGGAAGGAAGCTGCCTGTGGGCTTAAGTGCAGGAAAATTAACATCAAACTGTCTTTAGCTGCACAGCTCGCCACAAACAAGAGCCCGGCCTCCTCTCTACGTCTCTGCAGCCCATAAAAAATACATTTAAAGGAAGGGAAACTCGCACGTCTCGCCGCCGCCGTCGAGGTGAAACCACGCACAGGTCTTAGCCTTACAGAGAATACGTTAGAAAACTGAGTCAAAGTTCAAAGGCGTGCTCACGGAGGCGGATAGGGAGTGCAGATAGATGTGTGTATTAGCACAAGCCAAGGTGCTAATGGTCCAGGACTAATAAGACCACTTAACTCAATTAAAGGGAGAACAACTACCATCCTTCAACCGATTTATCCTTTCACTTTTCCTCTCCTGTGTTCACTCTCCTACAGCACACAGCTCTGACTTCTTAAACTAAGACTCAATGAAGACCAGACCGTACAATATCTTCATGAAACTAGTTATTGTACAATAAAATTGAAATTAATAATTTTTTTGTGATAATTCGGGTCATGAAATATCATCAAATACAAAAAGTATTATCCTCATGAAAACAGTGTTTCCTCTTTTCACAGAAACACTGCGAATCATTTTTTAAAGTTTTTGCCACGATTGATAGTTTAGATAGAAGGAAAATTACATGCAAATATTCTCGATAAGCTCTCTTTAATATTCCCATGCATGGCTTTGGTCTATCCCTATAATACAGCTGTGTAAATTGTTGAAAACGTTGTTGTTTTTTCCCTTTAATTGGATTAGTCATGAGAAACAGTCTTAGACTCTTACAGTGTTCAGGGCTGTGTGCATAAAAGCATGTGTCAGAAGATCATCAACCTCTGAAAACTGGCTGCACGCTCGCTGCAGATTTGTCGCTTCGCTTGCAACCGCTGCACGACCACACACACCAAACCTGGGTTTGTGCAGCCACAGTTGGATGTGACTGAGTGAGTGTGTGTATGCGAGTGTTTGTGTGTGTTGGATAAAGTCCCCCAACGTGATCTGACTCAATCCTTTTCCAGCTCTGGGTAGGGGGGCTTAAGTAGGCAACCCAACACTGGTGAGTGTGCAGCGGCTGCAGGGAGCAGTGACGCCGATCGATTTCAGTGCGTAGATTTGATTTGGGGATGGAGCTGATGGTGCTCTGAGTGGGGGGTGGCAATCATCGAGTGCCTTGTCGGTCTTTTTGGAGCCAATGCACATATGCAAACACACACACACACACTCAGAGGCTGAGGGGGGCGATATCAAGGCAGGCTGGGGGGTGCAGTTAGGCAGCTGTTAGCGTTTCAGAAAAAATTAGCACCAGGTTGGACTGTAAACAATGAGCTCATTCTCTCTGAGAGAGTGAAACACAGCACATCTGTTTTGGAACAAGCAGTCTTATTCAAGGCCCACACTGAGGTAATCCAACCCCCCCTCCCAACAACACCACCCCCACCCCATGTAAAAGTGTAAACTGCAAAAAGGACTCGAAAGGACCTGAAAGACTCATGAGAATGAAGTTTGTAACATGCTTGACTAGCATGTCAACATGAGATACAGATCAGTATTCGTCTAGAAAAATGGGCGTGTAAAGAAGGAACTTCTGTCGGCTAAGAAGACAAGGACGATGAGAGTTGTAGGCGTACACATCTTCGTGTCAGACCGAAGGTTTACACAAACTTCCTTTGAGAAAATTCCTCAAGACTGAGATATTTTCTGTAAAACCGCCTTAAAAAGCTTCATCTCCTAATTGTTTTCATCATCTTAAAACCTTTTAAATGTTATTAACGTCAGGGTATATCGTTGAGAGTTGTGAAAACCCTCCGAAGAATTTCCCAAAGCTAAAAGAGATGTCAAATTTTGCATTTCTGAACAGTTTAAAATCCGAAGACTTGAAGTAGTTTGAGACTGAAAAGATGCAAGAACTTGAGCTGAGACCGAGCCAACACAAACCAAAATGTGAATTCCTTATATGATTGCAGTTATGGTCAATTAAAATACCCATTAAGTATAAAAAACTCGGCATGAAGGTCAGAGAAAATCCTCAAGGCCGTCATATTATTACTCTATTCTGAAAGCTCTCCTTTAGTCGAGTAGATATGAAAAGCCAAGGCAGGGAGAGCAGCAGCAAAGACCCTGTTTTTCTCAATGAATGATGGCTGACAGAAAACTAACCAGCAGTACGCCCTTTTATGTCTCACTATATGTGCATATGCAGACGTCTCCCCCTCACCCTCCCCTCAGAGTGTGTAGTTTTGTCGTTGTGCGTGGAAGGCAGATGTCATGATTGTAAGTCTCATAAAGGACCCCGGTGTTCACTATAGGGCTGTTCCTGGATGACAAAGCCTTTAAGGGGGACAATGTGTGAGTCACAGACAACATGCACATCTACTCATCACTACTGCACACTATAGCTACTGTAACTACTGTATATAGGTCATCCTCTAAGTCTCCTATAGCAGCATGTGTGTGAGGCTGCAGCACAGACAGCTGCTGGACACGACCGCAGGCTGAGCAGGAGTAAAAGACCAGAAATGTGGGAGAGGGATTTCTTTAAATTCAACAGTTTCTGATGTGATGATTTAGAGTCTTTTGTCTGCACAAACTTTTTAATTAAAGCTTCTGAAAGAAGAGTGGGCAGGATGGTTGGTGGAGCCTGGAAATGAATAAGTGTATAATCTATCCCTCGGCTCTTTAGTCATGTACTCTTTGGTGAGTGTGTGAGCGTTTCAGTGTGTGTGTGTGGATGGCAGGAGGGTCAAACAGACAAGAGGAGCAGGTGGCACCCAGGTGGGGGCTGCCGGGTTGGTGGGTGCTGCCCTTTCACAATCCACGTGCCATCTGCCTCGGCCAGCAGTGACATAGACAGAGAGAGGGAGAGAGAGAGGGAGAGCAGAGGGACGGAGGCAGAAAAATGAATTTTCAGTCTAAAGATGCATTTCCTCCAAAATGAGCAGGGACTTACAGTGTAAGAGGCCATTTTTCAATAAATTAAAGGATTAAAAAAAACAAAGTCCAGCTCAGCCCACAGTACATCAGCTGATCTCTGAGCCAGCTGACTGCTCAGCTGATTAACTTTGGAAATGTTAGTCCTATTTTAACTGCTTGATCCAGCCTACTCTTCCCGCTTCCTCTGCAAACCTGCCTCCACTTCAGCTCCTCTTTTTAAGGCTGATTTCGCCGGTGTGATATGGCTTGTCGCTGATGTCTGCTCAGTTCTGTAACCTAGGAGTCTTTGCTGCTCCTCCGTCTGCCTTGGCTTTTCATGTATGCACATAAAACAGGAGTATGCTCTCCCCTCCTCAGGCTTTCGCATCCCACATATGCTTGATTAAAGGCAGTAGCTCTTAGAGAAGATCCAACTTTACTGCATGCAGATAACTATTGACGTGATTGATCCTCACTGAGTTTGATTTGATTATTAGCATCCAGGATGTCCTGTCACAACCACCTCTCCAACATGCAGACCCAAAATGAGAAGAACTCGGTCGGTCTATGTGTGAATTTAAAACAGGAAATAAAAGTCTGCCAAGCTCCTGACGGTCTACGTGCCTTCGGAAAGAACCTCCCCTTAGAGCTGCAATCATTTGGAGGTTCAAATAGAGCCTGAGGACTATGTTTAGACCCTGGTCCCTGCCCTGTTCATGTACAGAGTACCGTCTAAAGTCCTGAGTTCCTGCGGTGTAAGTGCAGCATTTAAAAAACCCACAGATCGTTTCCACCGCCGTCCTCCTCAGGATCTGCTCATACAGACTTGGCTCTGGCCGCTGCAGTAAAGTGAAGCTCTGTAACGCTGCTGTGATATGATGCCAGCCTGCCTACATTAATGGCAGCTGTAAATTTGGAGTGCGAGAGCTTGATTTGAGTCCAGCTCGTTTCCACTTACACAAACCTACATCTGTTTTGCAGCGGGGAGTAAAGTGAAGGGATCGGCCCGTCTCCATGGAGACTTGATGTTACACTCTGCCAATTTAATTTGGCAAACCAATTTATGGAATAGTTAATTGCAACACTGCTCTATTTAACAGTCAAATGAGCTCTGGAAGCTGTCCTCGGTCGTTGACCTTAGAAATGTCACATATTTTAATCAGCCCTGAACCCTGAGCGATGAAAAAAAAACCTTCTTTATGTTGACGTTTTACAAACACGGTTTCTTTTTTGCAGCAGCTTCTGCAGCTTTTCATCTTCCCAGTCTGAACAGGATGAATGGGGAGGTCAGGATGCTGGCAGCTTGTGTTTATGAGGGTCTGCTACACCTGGCTTTCTTGTTATAAAAAGAGAGACTGACAGAAATAAAACGGGGGCTTGTTGCGGTGCTTAAATCCATCTCAGCTTTCTCTATATTCCTCCCATCGGAGCAAAAAGAGAGGAGGGGGGTAAAAAGTCATATGAGCTATTTACGAGGAAGGTCACAGTGAGAGGGCATGGCAAGGAGCCAGCAGTCTCTCTCCTCCTCCTCCTCTTCCTTCTCCTCCTCCTCCTCTTCCTCTCTGTGTCTTTCTTTTATCCTCTCAACTCTACCTCTACTCCTGTAACCGAACTGCATGCTAAAACGGACTCTTTTATTTTGGGACTGAACTTGTAGGAAGTGAATATTTTGCAGCAGCATTCAGAATCTCACCACAGAGCATAAATATAGAAGTCTTCTTAACACTATTTGTTCTGCAGCTTCAAATGCCAGAGTGGAGACAGAGATCAGGAAACATCTGTCACATGCTCTCATTTGCAGATATCTGTTCTTGGATATTAAAAATTAGCTTGATTAGAGTCAGGCATAGCCACTGGACTTCTAGATCACAATCTGCACTCCACAGTCTGGTTTTTTTTCTGCATTTAACTAACCATTTCCTCAAACAAGATTATTACAGATGATTTGGGCAAAAAAATAGACACTGTCAGACTTTTATTTCTTGCTGCAAGATTCTGTGTTCATGTTTAAATATCTGTTCATATTTAAATCCACGTTGAAACTTTAAAGAGAACTGACAAACCTGCACACACTCATCTTATGCACATTGGTTTTGAAACTGAAAACTATGCTCATACAGCTATACTCCTACAGCTCCATTTACCTGAACATAAATACTCAAGGATAGGCTGCTGAATAAAAGGAAGCAGAGGCGACCTGTAGAGACCTTTTTTATCGTGATGTTTGGAAAAGACAAGGTCGCTTTCATTTCATTTGGATAGGACACGATCATGCACGTCATTCACGTCCATCTGAGGTCAATCATTCCTGTAAAAAGTCGTCTTCACTTGGTCTCATGCTGCTGACCTGTTCGGTTTCTCTGCTGCTGCTTCAGTCTCCTTCCCTTTTTCGCGCGGACAGGAATGAATGGATGAAAGATGGGGGGGATGATGGACAGAGTCTCTGGTCTGGAGTTTAACAATAACTTTTGGCAGTCTAGCCAGGAGTGCAGCTGTTCTACCATCCTGCCTTCCCCTCCCTCCTCCACTCCTCATCCCGCTCTCGCCCTCCCTGAGTGGCCAGCACAGAGCTCCAGTTTATTTAAAGCAAACCACCATCAGAAAGTGATCACAGACGTTCAGTGAAGTCTTTCAAAGCTGGTTAATAAAACCGATTTCAGTATAAGTGGAAAAAGTGGAAAATATTTGCATTCAGGAAGCTGAAATAAGAGAATTTTCACATGTTATGCTCTTAAAAATGGACTCAACCCCTTATGGATTACTTCACTTGTTTTGATGGGACGTATTTTCTATATGACACCAATACCTCAGTCTACGTCCAACATCATGAATGCAGAGCTGAGACCCTGATGAATTCTTCCTCTCACTCCTCAGGTCCTTTTACCTCCGAGCCTCAGCACCCCCCCCTCAGCCCCCCCATCCCTACTCACACACTTGAAAAGTGAAGAGAGCACTCGAGCAGCAGAAGAGGCAGAAGAGGGTGAGATTGGGTGTGAAATACGACTTTCAAACAAGGAAAAAGCACCGTGGCATCGCTGGCGTTGCGGGCGAGTGAGAGCACCTAGTGGAGGGCTGTCCTTTGATGTTTAATTTAGAGAGAGAGAGGGGGAGGAGGAGGAGGAGGAGGAGGAGGAGAGGGGAGAGAGGATGGTGAAGGGGGGATGGAGGGAGAGATGGTGGAAGTGTGGAGTGTGCTGAAACTCCACTGTTTCCCATCAAAGGCTTTGGGTTTCCTGCTTTTCATTTATTCACCAGCAGTGATAAAGGAGTCCAAATACAGCAGAGGAGAGAAATGGGCTCAGGGAGGATGAGGAAGGAAAGTGAGGAAGGAGGGAAAGAAGGAGATAGAGCAGAAGGAGGTAAGGAGGAGCAGGAGGACAGTAAGAGGTTTGATGGAGACTGGGGCAAAATCTGGCTCATTTTTTGGTGACATTTCCTCTCAAATTCACTCTGTCTTTATCTCCCCTTCTCTCTCTCTCTCTCTCTGTCTCTCTCTCTCCTCTCCCTCTTCATCTCTCCTTCCCCTCTCCTCTGCTGGAGAGTCCTTCCTCCTCCTTTCTGCTCGCTGAGTGAGAAGTGGAGCTGTGTGCCAGGCGGAGGAAGCAATTAAAAATTAATGGAAGCTGAGTGATAGAGAAACCTGCAAGGGCGTGCCGCCCGCCACACACACACACACACACACACACACACACACACACACACACACACACACACACACACACACACACACACACACACACACACACACACACACACACACACACACACACACACACACAGTTTCCCTCCTCTTTCCTGCCCTCTCTCTCTCTCTCTCTCCTCCCCAGCGTGTCTCTGCTGGTCGAGCTGGAACAGAAACAGTGAGCACAGCAGACTCCTGCTGTCTGATGGAGTTTACGCTGCTTTGGTTCAGTTTTTTTCAGGGTTTCCCACTGAAATGTCATGTCCAGTCATGTGTGATAGATATGAACTTTTATATCATGTCTATAGTTTGTGTTTGCGCAGAGCATCAGACTCAGTTTAATACACTTTACTCTGAAGCGAAGCCACAAAAACATCAGATTTGCTGTGATCAAAATAGCAGCTTGTAGTCAAAACAAACTTCTGCATCTGGTTTGGTTCAACCTCGACTTGACAACACTTTCAGACACGCCGACCGCTCCCCAAAACTCAGGCCTGCCATGCAACTGTCTTTTGTTCAGCCAATCAAAACTATGAAAATAATCTGGCTGCTAACCCAAAAATGTCATATCCCAGAATTACTCAAGATGCATCATTTGTCTTGTAGACTTTGTGTCCTAGCAGCATGGCTGATTCACGTTTGAATTATGTGTTTGAAAAGTTTGCTCAGACCTAGTGCAGAGCCAAAAGAACTAGAAGCTCACGTGTGATTCTTGCACTTTGACATTTCTGTTGAAGAAGTGTACATTATGCGAAATTTGATTGGCGCACTACTACAGCAGTGCATGGTGTGAAGATGACAATATATCCATATTTGTGGGATTTTGACTATAACTATGAATGACAATCCCTAGAAAAGGTTTTCGAGAAAGTCTCGTCTTGCACTAGCTTGCTCTTGTTATACATAAATCAGATGTTGGTAATGATATCTGATGACATTTACAGTGATTTGGCTCCATATACTTTGCAACATTACTGGTGCTTCTTAATTCTTGCCATCCGTTTACTGACAGACCAAACCAAACTTCTTCTGTCTCATGGCAGTCGATCCCTGACTCCTGATGCTTTTCATCTTCTTCATAATCTATGCAGAGGTTAATATGCAGCGGGTGAAATGCATTGCAAATTGGCGTCTTGAGCAGCATACATCTTTTGAAGCCGAACCTTCGAGCGATCCACATTGAGCAGTTAAATCGCCAGCTTAGCTTGTTATGATGTGTGCATACTGCATGTGTTCTCTTGCACAGCAGTCTGTCCTACAAGGCTTGACCACATTCAGCAAATGTGTGCAGACTATCAAGATATGCCTTTAGGAAAATGAGTGACTGCTGATGTTTCACACATTTAAGATTTATCGTAGATGTTATATTACATATTAACCATACCCAAAGTAAAATTTACAGCAGTCCAGGACACATTAACTGAAAATTCAGGCGTGTTGTGAGTGATATGATTTGAATGAGGATGGGTCATTTTGGAAGATGTACTTATTGGACATTCCCTTTCATTTAAAAAGGTGAGAGCCAACTGAGAAATATGAATGTGCCCGTTGGCCGTGACTGTTTCTCACCTTTCTCTCTCTGTTCCTGTTCGTCCACAGAAAAGGACATGACCTCTCACCTCTGTCCTGGGGAAGCCCCTCCCATTCCACAAACACACACACATACACAGACTTGCATACACACACACTAGAAGTCCTCGGGCTCAACGCAACCAGAACTCATTTGCATTCCTTGGAGGAGGACGCAGACCACTCTACGCCACACACACTAGAGCCTGCCTGACCCTTGACCTCCGTGCCCTCCTCCCCCCTCTCACAGATGAGCCGCTGCATTATTCCCAAGTGGTGGACGGCTGGGTCTTTGTTCTGAGGGCAGCAGCCATCCACACTGAGAGGACAGCGTCCACTCTTTATTCTTCTTCTCCTTCTTCCTTCTCTTCTTCTTCTTCTTCTACTACTTCCTTTGGTGCAGAACCAAAAGGAGGATTTAAATCTTAAACAAGTCTGAGAAAACTTTGTTTCTGTGCAGAGGAGGTGACTCCAGCAACCTCCTCCCACAGACACACACACTGGAAACCCACTAAAGCAGAAGAGAAACAAAGCATCGATTTCTTCCTCTCATGTCCAGGTACTTGAACATAAAAGTTTCCTAAATATGGATTCTGTAAACTCAGTCCCCTTTCTTACAAAATCTAACGCCTCTTTAAAGGGGCGCTCCGCTGTTTTTCAGCTGTCTTATCCCAAAGGCTGAGACAGCTCCACCTCTGTATGTCTGCTGCATGGAAGAAAAGCTGAGAAGTTGTGTTGTGGGAGTTGTAGGAATCAAGATTTCTGACCCTGGTGTGTACTTGTAAGTTTAGGAATTTTTGCATTTGGACCATTTCACACTTTCAGGCAAAAATCTGAAATATTGCTGCTTCCAGGTCTAGTGTGGATTTGACGCTCTACTTCTGCATTGTTGGGGAAAATCAAGATTTATCTTGGTTCGAAGCTGCAGATTGGAGGGAAAAAACTATTTTAAGATATCAGTTTGGGCTCTGGGAAAAGGTGAATTTAATACTAATGAATGACTAAAAGTGAAATTGTCATCACATTAAATATTTTGGTGAGTAAATCTCAAGATAAAGTGTGTTTTCAGGTCAAAGATGAACTTGTGTTCCTCTGAAATGTGGAGAGCAGAGGCGAGAATGGACGATAGGTGAGCAGGAAGGTTACTGAGAAGAGAACAAAGCACAGCTTCATAATAATAGTGACTGTTGGCTGAGGTGCAGAGCTCTGTGGTTTTTTTGGAGCTGGCTGACTCAAACTGAAAGTTGATGTCTTGTTGAGGTTGCAAGACATGAGGTTGTTCTCAGCAAATCCCCGCTGCGAGCACAGGCTTCAGTTTGTAGGTTGCAGCTCTGCTTTGTGAGAGCAGCAGAGTGGTTACACCCTGCTCCATCTCACAGAGGCCTGTGGTGGGCGGCCATTTTGGTTAAACCCACGTCGGTCTACGTTGGGGGTTTCACTACCGCACCCTTCCCCTCCCTGTGATAAAGCTCCTCCCTCAGAAACAAACCTCATCTTACAGCGGTACCCTGCATGCAGGAGAGTGGAGCTGCTGCTGCCGTAGAATTGCAATTATGCAGCACATGTAACATGACTAACCTGCACAGACTGAGTGTGTTTTTACTGCAGCTGCATGTAAGCCATCATCGTGTGAAAGGAAGCATGTGTGGTGTGTTATCAGGGTGAAAAAAGGACAGCCGCTGTTGTGACGGCAGCTGCTGATACATGAAAGAGACGAGAAGAGATAGTTCGACTCACCTACGGATGAGAAACAGCAGCGGCAGGAAGCAGCACGGAGACATGAAAAAGAAGAAGAAAAAAGAGAGTGACAAGTTAGTCAAATAATCTTCAGTGGTTCATAAAATCATAGAAACATAATTGCACAGTAAAGCTTCAGTTCACAAAGTGGTCGTTTAGAGGATTCCAGCAAAATGAGGAATGGCTTAATTTCATTTTAATTGAAATTAGCCTCGTTAGAGCGTGTGTGAGAGTTACTGCTCTCATCATTACTTTCTCTCATCATTTGTAATTCCCACAGAAACTGTAGACAGTGTGCATACTGGGCCTCCGCAGCTCGGGGGGCCCCAAGGTGTGACTGCTCAGGAATTCATGACGTTAAAACACATTTCAATTTCTCTTTAAAGCGTTCAAAAAGCATCTTATGCTTTGTTTAGCTCAGAGTTTTCTTGTTTAGGGAGCAGAGCAGGGGTTTTAATAGTATTTCCGTGAAACAGCACAAATGTGAAAGGTACTTTTTTTTTTCCTCCCATCTAAAAGGCGGGCGGCCTCCGCTCTCTGTAGTGGTTTTATATTTTTCCTGAGCTCGGCTTAAGTGACACAGCGGAGGGGGCCTGTGAAATTCCAGACAGCCTCATTAAAGCGCAGTAATTGTTTTGTGAACAGCAGCTCATAAAAAGGCCCCGCTGCCCCATCTCTTTCTATAAAAGGAAAGGGGGCACAAGGTGGGGCGGTAAGGTAGGGGTGCAGGGTGAAGGAGGACCCTACTGAGGAGGAGAAGGCAGAGGGGGGTGTATGTTTGGGGCAATGATGCCTCAAATTACCTTCTTGCATCTTTTAATGAGACTACATGCTAGCCTTCAGCTACTCAGCCTCTGAGGCTTGAATGACTGACACATATCATAGAGGAGGCTCAGATATAAATCTGAAGTATCTGACACCTTTAAACAGAGAATATGCACAAAGATAAATCTTTCTGCAAAAGAGCTGGACACAGTTCTTTGACTGGAATGTTACTTTTTTTTTTTTCAGACTCCAGACTGCACAGGAAAGAAGTCGTTTTGCATTTCAAAACATACCAGTTTCTGTGCAAACACGACCTTGAAAACTTTGTACGATTGTATTATTGTTCTTAGCCCAAAATCTGAGAGAGTTGCACAACTATATAACCACATAGGGTTTTTCTCTTACTTTAGCCCAATTTTTATGCATCTGAACCCTTAATACAGGGCTGGGCGATATGGCCTCAAATCAATATCACAATATATTGAGCCATTCACCTTGATAACGACAAATGAACGATAACTACTCCACAAGCTGCTCACCCCCTCCCACATTAACTTTGTCTACTCCAGCCGCCACTACAACTTTTGAACTGTCCTCCATCTCCTCACCTGTCTTTCCCGCCTTGTTACAGACTGGATGGGGTGGAGTCACATCTCCGAGGTAGGACGGCGTCTTAAAGGAACATGAGACCATAGCCTACCTACACACATCCAAAAACAACTTTTATTTAGTTTTTTGTAACCAAATATACCGATACGGGCAAAATGATTGGTTATTGTCGTAAATTTAAGAATCTGTAAATTTTCGGTTTATCGCCCAGCCCTCCTTTATTATGACAACATGAACCTGTCAGCTACTAAAATGAGAATATAAACTGAATGCTATTTAATTAGGTGCAGTTGCGCATGATTCACACATTTTGGGCCGTTTCTCTGCTGCAGCTTGGAGAGATGTGAACGAGCCCTTCTTCAATGTTTGATACCCCAGTGATCACATACCTGATTGCATTAAAAATGCCCTGGTTTTAAAGGTACTAAATTGCCCCATTATATCAGTGGATTATTGTCACATAAGTCGTCTTCAGGAGACAAACTTTCTGCTAAAAGAAGCTTCACTCAGAGACGCATCAGTCCTCGTTGTGGTATCAGCCTTCTAAACACCCTTTTAACCCCCTGCCAAGTACCCACACATACCCACACACACAGGCAGATACCCACATGAGTGTGAGCACTAATGATTAATCATGCATACTGAGTGCAAGCACCCACACACATTAGCTTCTAGCATACCAAACTAACTCTGCCATGACTTTATCTGCTCTGTGAGAGGTTGTGACCCCCCGGCTCAATATGCCTCACTTCTGTCTTTCATTTTTATGGATTTCGGTCTCGCAGAGCCCCGCTGACATCGCTCTCTGCTCATAGCCAGAGGCCTCGAGGCAAAAAAAAGCCTGCTCCTTCACTGCACCACCTAATGAGGTAATAAGGACGAGGCTTCACCAAATGTGTTTGTTTTTCACACCCGGGTCTGCTAATTGCCTTCTCCTGCAACCCCACAGTGTACATAATGATGCCAGTTGACGAACAGCTCTTGCCATGCTAATGATGACTAAAAACAATGTCAACACTTAGTGGCATAAAGTGCATCTTTGTTTCTGCAAGTGCTTTTATGAACTGCTCTCTGAAGTGGAAAACCTTCTTTAGCATTCCTAACTTGAAGTGGTGGAAACTTTCTTTATAACTTTCTATTAGATCAGATTCGGCTGTAGATTCTGCACGTTTTCTCGAGCAGAGTGACAGCCGTTGATGCGAAATTCGTGCAGAGCAGAAGAAACATTAAAAACTAAAAGGGTGAAGATTCATTGTGGAGAATTTCCTCTGCAGGTTTCACTTTCACATGCTGATTAATCACTTAAGAAGATTGTCGTCCCCCCCCCATGATCCCCCCCTCCCTCCCCCAGCACTGATGCTCATAACAGGATTGGTCTGGCTAATGTCTCTCTGCTTAACATATTTCAAGCGTGAGCTGAGAAGTGGCACGTTTTCATCTGAAAAGAGAGATGAATCGCAAAGACAAAAGACAGATGATAGTTCTTGACTCTCTCTACTCTCTGGTGGGCCGGCGGGGGGTCGGTTGCTCCCCTCCCCCCCTCCTCACTTGGCTTCTCTCTCTGCATAGCTTCCTCTGTGTAGTGAGAGCTAGCAGGGGGTCCCCACTTTCTCTGCAACTAAAGGGATTAGCTGTAATTGGGACAAAAGCACTGTCCTCCAGCTTTCTTCGCCCTGGGCCTCCCTCTTTAGCGCGCCGCTAACTACAGTCGGCTCCTCCGCAGGCGTCTTATCAAATCTGACTGGTCACATTTGTTCTGCGTGGAGGACTTCTGGGTGAAGGAAAAATGTACTCTTAGAAGCTCGCAGGCGCTTCTGGAAAGAATCCTTCAGTAATTTTATGTCTGAGGTTAAGAATACATGTCTGACTGAGGAACTGCTTCATTTATCTGCAACCTTTCCTCCGGCCCGGCTGTTATTTCTGCCTTCACATGGTCTGGTGGCGCTGAGAAGTCTCACATGTTTCCTTTCTCACTCTCTTATCTGACATGTAAGGTCTCGCTGCTTCTGAAACTGATGCTGCTGAGACCTGCGTGGACTGAGGGGAGTAGATGGGAAAGCAGTAGAAAACATTAAGAGGGACCCTGTCTCTGCACATAATCTCCTCCACGTCTCTGCAGCAGCTCTTCACTGTCGTCAGCTGTTTCTGCACAGCGTCAAAAAGAAACTGGATGCATATTGAATATTGCAGCAACATCCTCCATGTAACCTTCAGCACATTTTCTGCTGCAAGAAATCAATAAATGATGAAGGAGAGCCGGCTGTTTGGCAGGTTACTACATCTGTGAAGTTGCTTAGGTCAGTTGCATTGACAACCCACTGACACAATTACAGCAGCTCTTATCATCAGCGACACTTCATGCAAAATCCTCAGTAACCCCCGAGCGGACACTCAGTCAAACTTCTGACATTAAGGAGGAATTCATCTGCGGTCCTGAGGGGAGGAGCAAGCTGCAAAACAGAAGTCAAACATCTTCTCCCGGCTAATCTGGCCCTCAGAGAGGCCCATTAAACGGTGTAACAGCCAGGCTTGCTGGGCCCACTTTATGGCAACCAGATGGCACGAGAGGGGCCTGGTCTGCTGTGAACTAGCCTCCACCCCTGTAAAACAGTGACCAGCTGACCCTGGAGCCATATAAACCCTGCATCTAAGACAACAAGGCTCCAACCAGCGACACACGGCGGTCAAATCACCTGAGGAGGCTGGCCTGTCCTTTAAATCTGTTCCCGCCTCGCGTTTGATTTCCAGTCTCCTTAACAGAGACTTTATGAGGGTGAAATGGCTGTGTGATAATGGCAGTGCCTCTGTTCAAAACTAGCCTTAAATCTGACTCCAGGTACAGCAGACAATCATGGCCTTTCTATAATGATCTGAATTTACTGTTAGGGCTACGCACGACTTTTCAGATTATAAAAGGAGCCTGGAGGTAGCAGTTTAAGGGTTGAACTTGAGGACAGATATTTTTCCCATGCATTTCACACATCTTCGAGTTGATCACTTTTACAGAACTTTTTTAAGTACTGAAAATGTGTCACCTTTAAAAAGAGTGAAACTCGGATGATTTTAGACACACGCAGATCATCTGCAGTGGCTACAGGCTGAGCGGCTGCTAGCTTTAGCTGAAACTTTTCATACGAGCTTAGCTTGTTTTAAGGTTTTATGAAAGACAGTGAGCTCTTTAAACAGAGTCTTGTTTTTGTTTTGTTTTTTGCTGTTGCTCTGCCTACCTCTGCTGCAAAATTAAACTTACTGCATGAAATGAAAAAAAGTCAATTTTTTTTTACTTAAGTGGTCCCTAACTAACACATAAGTGAATTTAAACTGTTAAAATGTTCCTTAAAACTGTTTAATGTTAAAATTTGGTATCTTCCCAACTGTCTTTTTTAGGTCATGCAGAAACTGTGGGCTGCTAGCTAAACTGTTGCTATACATTTCTTAGCTAGCAGTAAAAAACATCCTATTACCATGTTTGTGTTTGTATTTCTGCAGTGCTGCTGTTGGGAAGGTTGTTTGATAGAGATTACATTCAGTTCATATTGTTTTACAGCTCGAAATTTTCTTTTGAAATTTTAGCACCTTGCGGACTTTATGCTAGTTCTGATACTTTCTCAGTTAGTAACAAATAAGCCTCAGGTAATCACGTAATAATGACAAACAATGAAGGTGGGTTTGTACCTTGTTAAGAGTCGTAATGACACCAACTGATAAAGCAATGGAGTGGACACAGACTTTCCTCTGAGGGCTCATTTTAAAGTGTCACAGAGGGTTCATGACCCTTAGTGACCTCCCCACCAAACAGCCGAAGCTGTCTCCTGACTGACTTTACGGTCTGAACTGTAAAAATAGAACAAAAAGGGAAGGGGTGGTGTCATGTGTGGGAGGGGTAGTTGCGTCTGGCCTTCAGAAATGCAGGCTCTCTCTGCAAACACTATCTTGAGAAGTAATCAAGGGAGGGACACTTACAGGTTTAATTGCCCCAAATGTGTTTTAATGACCAGGAGTCACAGCACTCCTTCTTTACGTCTTGGGATTTAATGGCCGGTCAGAGAGCCGGGCCACAGCGGGGTCAGGGAGGGGTCAGGTTGAATAACAGGCCAACAGAAAGTTTGGGCTGCATCCAGAGAGGCTAACTGCAGGACGGCCCACTCTGGAGGGGCTGGGAGGTTTAAACTGAGCGCCTTAGAAAGAAGCTGTTGTGGCCTCTGAGAGAGGAGTTTGTTCTGGACAAGGAGGCGAGGACCAGGAGGGGAGGGGGCAAAATATTCAAGGCCAAGTGTACATGCAGAGAAAAAAAAAAAGAAAAAAACCCAATAGTAGTGTTTACAAAATGGATTCCTGTGCAGAGCGAGCAAATGAGGAAACTGTGGTCAGAGGAGGGTGTCAGGCGCTGCTGTTGGGCAACATCTGATCTCTGTGCAAGCCAACAAACACCAGTGACCACGAGACAAACTGAAACTGGAACCAGTATAACTCTTTGCTCATTTGTCAGCTCTGTTCTCCTCATTTCCCTCCTTTCCTCTCACATCTGGAAAGCAGTGTTGGTTTCCCTGCCATTCCCAATTCCTGCACACACACATTCACATAACACACACTGACGTCATGTGGATGGCTGTGCCTGATGGGAAGCATATGAGCTGAGAAAGGAACATTGGAGGAAGGGGGTGTTGTCACCAGAACAGGAAAGTTATCTGCCAGAACTCCACTAAAACTCACTTTTTCCAGGACTGTTTTTTCTCATCGTACAGGCTGCAGATACAAGCGTTTCTGCCTGTACTTCTAATCCTGATTCAGTTACAAAACAAGCAGCTCCACTTTGAAAAACTCTTTCTAAATGAAGACTGACACATGCTCTTGTGCAGCCTCTCTTTGCATCCCTCTAATGGTTGGACAGAGGGATTTTACTTAACGGCTTTCATAAAACTCCAATCACTGCACCCCTTGTTGGCTCTGCATGTGGAACTTCAGAGTTATTCTGCACTCCTCCCTCTCACAGATCTGTGCAGGGGGGGATGTTGGAGATCTTAGCTCTGGCAGGACAACTGTAGCGGACCTCCCCATCATTTATTGGCTAACTCTTTCCATGGCTGCAACAAGCATCTGAACCAAAACAAACCCCCTCCTGTGCCGCTCTCCACCACCATCATCACTTCTTCTTCTCCTGCAGCCAGAGTGGTTGCCATGAAGGGAAAAGAAAAACACAGAGGAAGAAGAACAAAACACAACTGGAAGTGGTCTGTGTGGGGGATCTGGATGGAGGTAGTTGGCAGCGTCTGCACCTGATCTGTTACTGATTTTCCTTCAGTGTTACAAGATGCTACCAAGAAACCATTGACTTCTCAGATGTTTCCGTTTGTTCCTGACACTGCGGGGTGTGGTAGTAACTATAGCTTTTTAGCATTTCTGTCACCAAATACAAACCCTTATTTTCCGTAAATGGGAATAAAAATGCTGCATCAGAACATCCGAACAGGAAAGACTGGTACGATCCGGCCTATTAGGAAGGACATTTCAATCTAATCAAGACAAGGCTGGTTTGTGCAGGGATTTGGATAGATGGTCACGTGATGTTGCAAGTTTCTGCTTCTGCTATTGATGGCATTAATAGAAACATGGAAGGGGCTTACAAAATTTTTTTATTGGAGACTCTAAAAACAGTCAGGAGTGTTGATGGTCGATGGTTTTCCTGCTCGTGTCGACATAGAGGCCCGTTAAACGGTTATGAAATGGTTTGTTTCAGATTAAATGCTTCATGCATGAACTAAATACCGTAATACTTCAATTTTGTTTGTTTCAACTGGCAAACCCATCCTGCGTTTATTTTGGACAGACCTCGCTGGCTTTGTCATATAGTTTTCCACAGCAACTTCCACTCCCTAGACACCCAGTTACACCTTGTCAGAAAGGTGCCAAGGCAGTCAGGTGGTACAGATGAGGTATCAGAAATACCTGATAGACACTGTGATTAACAGCACCAAACTTTATTTGTGGATCATTTCTCTGAACATCTCTCTCTTTCTTTCATGCATATTTGCTTTACATTCAGCAGTGTAACACCATGTTGGTGCCACCTGCCACCAGGAAAAAGCTGAGAAGGCTCAAAATGAGCGGTCACGCAAACACACCCCACTTTTTACACACTCCCACTCTCCTATAGAGCCGCCATGTGAGCTGTGCATCCAGCGAGAATGAGACCTAAACAACAGCACCCACTCGCATAACACTGAAAACAAAACAGAAAAATACAAGAATCCGATTAGAGCGGCGAGCAGGGTGAGGTGGCGCTGGAAATGAATTGTGCGTACTTTGCAGTTGGTATATAAGCCCTTTCGTGCTGAGGGGCGATTACCTAGTTTGCAGCGCTGGTAATCTGAAAAGCAGCTTGGAGAGAGTTTTCAAAGACGCAGCAGTGGTGGCAGCCGGTCCTCTCTCCCCCCTGACCGGTGTGGGCCGGCCTCACAGGGCTGCTAAAAAGATCCACAAAGAGGTGCAACGCACCAAATTAACAATCCAACATGAGTGCAGAGCGCTCTGTGAAGTAGGTCAGCCGATAAAAGTAGGTCCCCCCCCGACGCATGACGGGCCTCCCCACAAAATGAGCATCATACGTTCGGCAAACACAACTCTTCCGTCGACTACCAGATAACAGTTTGAAGGAAACATAATGAGCTTGTCAGAGTTCTTGGCAGCTGTTTCGGTGTTGTTTCCAACACTGCAGACAGAACCAAATCACTGCTCTGAGCTCCAACAGGGCATGCCCCGAGGTAAGAGAGAGCAGAGAAGAGCAGGAAGGACAGAGAGAGAGGGCGCTGCTTCGTTTCAAAGGCTGCTGACCCTCTTCTCTGTGCTCCTCCTGAAAATAAAGACCAGGCAGGGCTGGAAAAGACACCAGACTCTCTTTAAGCTCCCATAGACTCAAGGGAGAATTAACCCGCAAGACGGCATTCACGTCATCAAGTTTTAAGTCTGTCAGAAAACTTTGGGATGCAGCCAAATCCTCCAGTGGCAAACAGATCTCACAAACACTTCGTTGAAGCACATTAAACTGTAAAAACTGTTTCCTAACTGAACCAGAAGCTCATTTTCACCTCATGTTATGATGTAAGTCACATAATGTGGTCTGGTGTCGTGGCACAAACAAAACAACCATAGGTTGCTGTGATTTAAGTACAATTAACAGGCCTGATCAGTCATACGTTATTATTTCGATTCTTGCTTTTTCAATGCAGTTTGGATTGACTAATACTGATGCAACTTCATGGCCACAGGAAATGAGTGTATGTAGTGACACCTCGCTAAAAGTCTCACACTAAAAAAAGAAATCGCTGAGAGATTAAGATCTATTTAGACACCAGTAATTTTAGTATTTTGCTCATGCTTTAAGTCAAACAGAGGAAATATTCTTATGTCTGGTGGGAACTGTTTTCAAATCACTACATGTCACAGTCCCAGCTTTTTAAATCTGCATAACGTCATCTCAAAGTGCATTTCTTTCACAATGCTGTGGGTAATTAAAGACCCCTGAATCTTCCACATGATCTCTCTCATAATACCCCTCTAACAGCTATGACAGATATTTATGTTGTACATTATAATAAAAACCAGGTGATGACCAAAAACCTCCAGCAGAGCTCTATAGCATGCATACTGTATATGCTTTAATAACCCTTACAGACCCTCAAACAATAGCGCTGCTCAGCCTCACCCCGCTCTCTTTTTGTGTCCGGAGCAGAAGAATAGAAGAGAAAGAGAGAGGCAGAGAAAGGAGGGATTAGCGAGAGGGAGAGCGGCCGAGGCCCACATCTGGGTAATTGGGGATGACAGGCCTCGGATCATCCCTCCCCACAACAGAACCTCTGAAAGATGGTGGGGGAAGGAGGGGGGACGGTGAGTGAGGGTTGTCCAAACCCTGTGGAGCTGGAAATGAGGCACAGTGTGGAAGTGGCAGCTTAGAGGGACCGCAGATATACAACTGTACTCCAGTTTTTATGCATTCAAATCAACCTGTGAGGCACATTTAGAAAACTTATATCAGCAAGAGGTTTTGGACACACTGTGCTAAAAAGAGAGTGAGTACTATCATGATGCCACTTCTTTCTCGCAGAAGATTAGGTTTACAATTTAACCCTCCCAAGGGATTAATACTCTGAACAGGTGTTTTCAGGCTGCTGCTGCTACCTTTGGCTGCAGAAACCTCTCCAACAGAGACGCATGCATGCTGCTGCAAAACTGACCACACTGAAAAAGAGGCAAACATGCAAGCAAGTGGGCCAACTTTAGAGAGCTGGTATTTGTTTTCTAAACCTAGAAACACAGAATAGCACTCTCATGTTAGCTGAAGTTTTGCAGCATCTAAATCAAAGCTTCAGTGTGGTAAACATGAACCTCTAAAGCCCAAACATTTACATTTTTGCACTCATACATTGCACCTTGAAACTGCATGATAACGGTGTCCCAGTGCAGAAGCTCTACACACACACACAGAGTGGTTCTGCCCTTTCCACTCCAACACTACCTATCACCAGTGTGTGTCACCTTGTTGACAATTTCCCTAAGTCTCTACATATTAAAGCAGTAGGACTTGATTGGGTTTAAGTATAACTGTCCTAACTGGACTTAATACTCTGTTGCTGCACTTCTCAGCCAGCTCGTCCTCTTTGCACTAAAGTATACAGTCCTTCCTGGATAGCACAATTACCATCCCTCCACCTGTCCACTGAAACATAAACCTTGGCTGAGTATTCACACCCTCTGCTCCATGTTGGCTCTCTTCCAGCTGCAGGATGACAGGTCAAACTCAACCCTTTAGGACTCTTCAATCATGGCGCTTCAGCATCCAGTCAGGCACTTTGCAGGAATCAGTTTCTACCGAGTAAACATCAGATGCTTCCCAGAATACTTATTTCTAAAGGAGTCGATAAAATAGCCATGTGGTTTGATAGCTAAAGTGGAAAAAAGAGGATTTCCTTTCCATGCCAAACTTTAACCCAGATATGTAAATCTTTATTCCCGTCCCGCCACTCAGCGTGGAGCAGACAGTGCCACTCTCATTTAGTCTGCCATAAAGCTGCTGTGAAATCGTTCCCTTCAGTTCCACTGAGGTAAGCTGGGAGCCTGTGGGACCCTGTGTGTGTGTGTGTGTGCATGCGTGCGTGTGTGTGCATGCATCAAAGAGTGTGTCCAAGTGAACTGTGCAGCATGGGCGGTGAGGCACACTGTAATGCGGGGAGAAAAAGCAGAGAAAAAAAAAGAGCGACAGAAGAATGGATGAGAGAGAGAGAGAGAGGGTGAGAGAGAGAGAGAGAGGGGATGGGCCGAGCGGGGCGAGCGAGGGAGGGATGGATGGATGGGAAAGAGAACGAGAGAACGAGAACAGAGAGATGCTCTGGTCAGGCACGCGATGCTTGGCTGGAATCAGGTCAGGCCCACATGAGGCCTCCCACACACACACACACACACACACACACACATATGCACGCACACACAGTCATGTACACACTTTGTACAGAAAGGTTCCACACAGCAGCAGAGGACACTTCTGCAGGGTCGCACCACATTACACGGTGCTGTTAAGACCCATTTAAAGGAACAGTGCCACAATTTTTATACCATGGTTTCCCTCGAAATAAGGAGATAAGAAAAGACTGACGGAATTGCGAATTTCAATGCAAATCTGTTACAATACTCAAAGTCTGCATGAGAAGGAAAAAGACTTCCATATACCTACAGAGAACACCAGCAGGCAAAGTCATAAAGAATTGGACTATTTATAAGTAACTTGGGATAAAGTCAGATTCTTGCAGACACACTCCTCGAATTTGGAGAGGCAAGGAGAGCAGCAGCAAAGATCCACCAGGACAGACCACAGCAGACATCAGTGACAATTAGCAAAAATGGATGAAGCAAGCTGAAAACAGTCCAAACAGAACAACCATTTTCACATTGACCAATTGATGCATCAGAGGTGATCAGCTGATATGAGCTGGCGTTAAGATCAGCTCCTGATTACTGATGAGAAATCTGTTTCGAATCATGTCTTAAAGCGACACCAGTTTTGGTTTAGTCTCCGAGTAACACTCCTCTGAATGATGCTACAGGACCTACTTTCTTCAGTGTGGGGAAAAGAAGTGTAAATGTAAGCTCCACTATTCAGTCTCTCACACACCAAATACTACCACACACAGCTCAGAGTTTGTCTCTGTTGCATCTTCACTGAATGAGCAGTTATTTGTATTCAAATGACAAATTATCCACAAACAGACAGAGCAGGGTTTTAGGGTGTTTACTCCTCAGACTGCCTCACAGACACACTGTGAGAGTGTGGTAGAGTGTGTTCTGTCCTCAGTGGAGCTTCTCAGACGTAAGCTGAGGAAATGTGACTCTCTGTGAGTGAAGCTAAAAGTAGATGACACCCTGTTCTTACGCACAGACTCACATACACACAACGACAGCTCTACTACTCCAAACATGCTTGAAAGTGGATCCTCGCTCCACGTCTCCACCCCCCCTGACTTCTGGACGGGCTAATTGTCAGCCCCATCGCTCTTTTAGGTCAACTGATGAGTACGTGTTGTTCTAACCGCGAGACAGACTTTAATTAAAGCCGTCCTCAAGAAGTGACCTCCCCCCATCAGCCCTCTCGCCGCCTCACACCTCCACCTCACTCTTTGACAGACAGCTGACCTCGAGCTGTCGCCTCACCTTACAGGAAACAGGAGCCGACCACTGGCTGACAGAGAGGCTCAGACCTGACGCAGGGCTCTGAGGGAGAAAATGCACCAGATTCCTGCAGGTATTTGGAGATGAGATGCTTTATTTGAAGGGCAAGGTTTGGCTCTGCTTCAGTTTTTCAGACCAGAATCAAACGCAGATTGAGAATACAAAGAATCGGTCAGAATGCTAGAATCTGAGCAGGTATTAAAGCACTGATAGGCTGATATTTTTGTCAATGGACTGAAAATTTCTCCATTAATTCTAACACGAAACATTCCTCTGATTGGATTTGTCATACAAGAACACCATTGACTCGTTCAGAGGTCCAGATTGGGTTTGAGTCATTAATACTAAACCAATAAAGACAAAAAAAAACCGACCATGTGGAGAATCTTTCTGGACCCACTGGCCAAGCAGGTTGTAACAGTGAGAAAACTCCACTTTTGAGTTTGCATGTCTTCTATTATCTGAAATGTGGGACATTTGTGTGTGTGGTTCACTTTTAAAAACACAGCGTCTTTGGTTGAATCATCTGAAGTCCTTTGTTGTGGCCCACCACTGTTCTGTCACTCGTCGGACTCATGGTTTAGTCATCGTCTTCTCGCCCTCAACCGCTAAAATGACAAACCGTTAAAAGTCAGCTATCTTTGGGAGGAATTTCTCCCACTGCTTTGATTTTGACTCAGCGAAACAACAAAACACTTGGACTGTGATGCTTTCCCCGCTGAAACACAGAAAAACTTCATGAAGTCTGTGGAATATTTCTGACAAAGTTACAACGAGAGAAAAACAACTCCAGACGAGGGAAATTTACCACAGGAATTCAAGACAAATTCAACTAGTGGAAGTTATAACTTCTAATGCTTGGTCTGTTTCCTCTTCTTTGTCATATCAAAGCACATGGGGGTGTTTTGTGACCTTTTGAGCCCCAGGAAAAGTGGGATACATTTGGTACTTTTCAGTGCAAAACTGCTCAATTTAAATGCAATTTCATTCTAGCTAAACAATTTCCAAAAATTGCCACCATGTCTTTAAAACAATCATTCTAAAAACATCACACTGGTTTCAAAAAGTCCAAAATCTGTCGTAAAAGCAGCAAGGCGATGCCATTCAGTCTGATATTCAATTACCAAAGAAACCTCATTCTGAAAATCAGGTCTTCTTGTTCCCAACACATGCAGGTAAATAAAAGAGAGCCCACTTTCTGATCTTTGTCTGGTTGCTGCAGTGAAACATCTCCAACATGCGCGTGTGTAAGTCATGCTAGCACGCAGCAGCAGCAGCATTAGTGTTGGAGTCGCTGAAGCCCGGCCCACCAGCCAACCAGCCAGGAAGCAGTCCTGCCCGCTCCCATTTAGTCCAAGAAAACTGCATTTGCTTAGCAACCACATTACCGCTCCAATCACAGCCGCAGCATTTGGGATAATGTAGGGGCCGGAGCGCGCTGTGTGTGTGCTGTACTGTGTGAAGGCGGTGCATCACGCTCACACGCACACATATTCATACACACACATACACACACACACACACACACACTAGTCTGATGCCTCTCTCACTTAATGCTGCAGCTCTCTCCAAGCATGAAAGGAAGAGGAAGAGTAGTTTTTTTTTCTGCCTCGCCTTAATGCTCGAGCTGCTGCCTAGCCCACTTTGAGATGTGGGAGGGAGGCGGGAGGGAGGGTGAGAGAGGAGGGAGAGAAACACTGTCTGGCACCTTGAAACACACACTAAAGTAAATCCATTAGCGCTTTTCCCCTCCTTCGCTCCAGCAGAGAGGTGTCCGACTGTCTGCTACCCCACCGCATCAAACTAATAGACTGAAATAGAAATGGTGGCTAGCTGGCTGTGCTGTTGTATCCACGCACACATGCGCACACACACACGCACACAGGAACACGACACATTTTATGCACTGCTCTCGAGGACCTCAGAGTTATTTCTGTAATGAACCGCCGGTCGCTGAACTTCAGGTTAGCCTCATTAACACTCTGAATGGGACTTTGCACAACGCGCCCTGCAGTCAACAATAAGGTGGCCCACACTCAGTATGTGTGTGTGGGTGGGTGTGTGTGTATGTGCCAGGTATCTCTGTGTCTGTGAAGTCAGGTCACAGCGCTATCAAGAGCAGAAAACAACATTAACCCTCCTCCCGACTCTGTCTTCACTATCAGAGGCGGCTGCTGAGGCCTGAAGACGAGGCTCAAAGTTCATTAGCACTACTGTATGGAAACACAGGCACACACGCAGAGTAAATAAAGGCCGGTCACAGCAGGGTGAGCGGAGACGCAGCAGCCAGCAGATTGTGTCTGACTATCTGTTTACGGCTCTCAGAGACGCTGATAGTCATGAGTTTGTTATTTCTTTAAAACACTGTCCCTGTTTGTCGCCGGCGCTCCTGTAAACCTTGTTTACTCTGCGGCACAATTACCTGATGAGCTCATGTGACCGAGGGGTTTCACTAGACGCTCACATTCAGAAAACCACAACCTCTGCGTCTTTAACAGCCAATTAATCACTTGATATAAGTTTGAAAAGTGCAATCAAAGCTGTCGTTTACATAAATGGTTGTGAAAAAATCAAAGTAAAGCAGCATATGGCAGGGATGGCTTTACATTTTTTTTTTTTTTTAATTTCTTAACCAAACTTGAGGCAGTATTTAAGTTTGTAAGAACAAAAATAAGATTCTTCTGAAATATCTGAAGTTTGATCTGAACTAAACTGCTGCCATGAAGTGGCATATCAGATTTTCACATCAATCGTCAATATTTTCACGATATTCATGAACAAGATCAGGATGGTGCAACCCATCACTTTATAAACTTACCTGTTTATTATCCATCAATTACGATGTTCATATTAGTATTTTATCTGCATCTGTAACAGGTACATATTTACAGAGAAGACTGTCTAAGATGTTTGTGAGGCTTTTATTTTGAAATTTCACAGCCTCATATCTTCTGCACTGTAAAATCTTAATTTTTATTTGTATGTGTGCTCTTCTTATGAAAATTACAAATCTGCAGTGCTACAGCTAGCTAGCAGCAGCTGCTGATGCCTCTTCTTCATCTTCCCTCCATTTTATGGCCAGTAGCAACCAACGTAACGAACCATAATGATATATTTTTATATATTTCCCAGAAGGCCTGCTGTCATTGGCCCCTTGGTGTGAGCGTGCGCCTCATTGTCAGTGGTTTCGACACATAATAATCTCATGAAACCCTGCCACTTTTTGAGCAGACTCAAGATCACACAGTCAGTCCTTGCTGCCCTATTTTGGTCAGCACATAAACACACTGAGGTTCAATCCCCAAACCTTTTACTTGTGGAGGAAAAAGCAGATTACAGCAGATCACCACAACTTTTACAAGTATTTTCCCAGCAGCTTTCAGCGATTGCAAAATGCTCAGCCATCATGGGTTTGCACACGAGGAAGAGGAATGAGAGGAAGCCGACCACGTGGGGCCTTTTCAGCTCTGATGGAAAACTTCCTTCCTCTGTTTCTCTCCGGCCTTTTCACCAGGTTTTATTTGTAACCTCTGATTCTGGCAGCTCCTCCTGGACGCTGCATGTAGTCCTACAGGCAGCCCCCCCTCCGCTCTGGCCTGGACGCTGCTGTGGGTTTTGTTTTTGGTGGGGTTTTTTTTTTTCGCTGCCTCGGGGTGCATCTTTGTAAGGCCAGAGCACAAAGAGGCCCTTCTGGTCGAGCACAGGGAGCCGGGCAGCCTCAAAATCGAGCCGGCCGGCCAGCCAGCACATACTGGCGCTTTCCACCTCGGAGCCGGACATTTTGTTCCACTGGTGAACTCTGGGAGAGGCTGAGCGATGGAGAGAGCCGCAGGGAGAGAGGGAGAGTGAGAGGCTTCACTCTAGAGCCAAATCACATGACTTCCAGCAGTGAGGGAGGAGGGTCTGCAATTCAGTCTGACACAGATGGAGAGAGACTAGACATGAGCTTTCTTTAGACTCTATTTTATCATAAATAATGTCTTTAAACTGACTTTTAGCCCATCCTATCACAGCTCAGTGATTGTTTTTCCAGTTTCTGTGCAATTATTTTGCAGCACGCTTTTACTTTCATCTATAAAAGTGGGTCTGACTCCTTTGCAGCAGTGCAACAACTCTGATTTCCAAGCTAATCAGGCATCCAAGATAATCTAGACCCTTTACAAACATGCTGCCAGTTTATACATTTTCACTTATTGTGGAGTTATTTCCAGAGAAATCTTCAAATGCTTCATATCCCTGAAATATGCATATCTAGCGGGTAATCTAACATTCAAAATGCGGGTTTTGATCTAAATGACTGTTTCTTTATTTTATTTCATTTTAGCAGGATTATGCAAAGTGATACTTAAATTGCCACCCCTGCAAAGGTTGTGACTTAAAATAATGACTTTATCAACATTGACCATAGAGCATAATGTGTGTGAAAGCTTTCTGTTGCAAGAAAATGTATAGTTGCTTGTTTTTTTGTTTTTGTTTTAATTCTAGTTAATGATCTTAAGATATTTATCTTTGTCTTCATTTATTTTGAAATTTGTGATTAAAAATATAGAATGTGTAAAACATCTGGTTGATTTGCATTTGTCTAAATATCTCAAAGGTTGGAGGAAATCAGGGCTGTGAGCTTAGATTACGTTTATCCAAGGATGCAAAAATCAGAGTCGACACCCTGCGAGCCGTCCACCGTGCATTTTAGGAATAGGACATTTTGGTTCTGGGAGAAGACGCTGCAGACATTTTGGAGTGTTGCATAAGGAGAACTGATGAAGTTTCCGACAGCAGGGCGGAGGCGCGACAGGAAGCCGGTGTGGTGTCGAAACCAGAAGTCACTGGCTGCCACGACTCTGCGGTGCAAGTTCAGACTGACAGTCTGCAGGGTTGTTGTGGCCGACAGCCGACTCTTCGCTTGCACCGCTGTACGCAGAAAAAGGGAAGTGGGAGGGCCGGCGGTGCAGCAGCAGGTGAACATGTGACTCTGCAGGGCTTCACTTGTTCACATGTGCTGTGTTTTCATTTTGCACAAAAAGGCCCATCCCTCGGCTTCTGGCTATTGTGCACTGACAGTCACCCCACATGGGTCACATGATGAGGGGGAGGGGGCTTCCATTGGAGCAAACTCTGGTATCAGCAACCTCTCTGACCCCCACTGATGAACTGTAGGCCGGGTGAGGAACAACAGGACCCCCCCACAGCAGAAAACATTTACACAACCACAGAGACGCTCCCTCACACAGACCCATGTTGTTGCAAAAATGTGAACTCACAAAAGTTTGATTCTGCTCTTCACTGAAAAGTTTCTGAGCTCTGAAAGTGGGACAAAGATTTTTCAGATAACACTCACTTCTTGTTATGCTTGGATTCATTTTTCAGCCCAAATATTGGACTCAGATAATCGTTCAGCCATCTCTTTCCAAAAACAGTCTGTGCTTTCTGTTTCATCCCCAAAACATTTACGCCAAATTACAGGGATGTAAAACAAAGGACCAAAAAAAGCCTCTTAAAAAAGAAAAGTCATTTTGCATTAGAGGGAAAAACTTATTTCCTGTCCATCGTCTTCCCCTCTCTCTCACTCTCTCTCTCTGAGTCAGGTTTATTTCTCCTCTGGCCGAGGGAAGGCTAATGGACACATTAGCCGCCGGCTCGTCCCTGCGCGGCGATTAGGTGGCTGTGAGGTCATCGCTTCACTTCTGCTCCATCCACATCAGGGATCTATCATTTCATTACTGCTGCAGGGGAGGAGGCGTCCAGCTATCCCTCTTTCAGTTTGTTCATGTCTCTGTTTCTCTGCTGCTTCTTCTTCGCATCCAAGACAACCACGGTGCAGCAGCAGGAATTCACAAAGACAGAATCACAGATTGAGCTGGATGATTTATAGATCTGTTATATACTTTTATCTGCAGAGAGGACCATTTATGAACAGGGAAAATGTTATATGGTTTAATTTGGATCACTTAAGCCTAGTTAAATATCATAACTCTTTATACTGTACATTTATTATTTTATGCAACCTGCTTATCGTTAAGTTTTCTCTACCTGCAAGTGTGTCTTTGCACTTGGGTTGACCTACCTCCGCCTTCTTTCATGCCTTATCTTCGACAAAGATTCCTCCATTTGTCTCCAAAAGGCCAATTTAAGTCTAAGTTTAAAGTTGAAATCGTCGTACGTTGCAGCAACCTTACATAACACATGCAGATGTTACTGTTTCTTGCGCAATTGACTGTTTGCGCAGAGTAGAAAAAGTGTTTAAACACCAAAGTTTGCAGAATGTAAGGTGTAATAAGTTCATGTTTCAGATACTGAGCATGTCTGTCAGTGGGGTGGTTCAGGAAAACGCAACAAAACTGATCATGCCAGATCAAGATTTATGGTCTTTCTTCTGGTACACTGTGCTCTTCAGGACACTGGTAACACATGGCTCAGATAAAAATCCAGCCCAGTATAAAAAGGAGGAGCTGGGGTGGAGGCAGGGAGAGCAACAGCAAAGACCCCAGCGTACAAAAGTGTTGAACTTAGAGGTCAAGCATACAGCAAAATGTCACATTAAAGGAGCTAATGAGATCAAATTATGTAAAACATTCTGCATACTTAACTATTTTATAACTGATTCTTGTCTTATTTTTATTTAATGTAGAGACAGTAGTCAAAAAGTGAAGAAAAATAGCTCTAGCACCAAACATGGTTACCTGCTTTGGTTCTACCAAATGATTCACCATCTCCTGGAGTCATCTCAAAGACAGTCAAACCAGCTAAGGTGTCCACCCATCGCTATAAATGCTTTTCAGACAACACTTACAGCTCCACAGTATGAGAGTTTTCAGATTGTAGCTCCAAAACTCTTCACTCAACAGCTCCTTGTTGAAAACTTGCAGGTCATCCAGGTGTTTGAAACACAGTTTGATTTTTTTCACTGTACGTTAGTTTGAATTAAAGCTCCTCAGTCATGCATAGTGTGAAATCACAGCAGGTGTGTGTGTGTGTGTGTGTGTGTGTGTGTGTGTGTGTGTGTGTGTGTGTGTGTCTGTGTGTGCGTCTGTTGGACCTGAGATGTATTGATTGCTGCAGGAAGTGGAATCTGATGTTTCACAGCACTTCCTGAGCTGGATGCCTCCACCGAAGACGGTGAGAGAAGAGGGGAAAGGAGGGGAGGGGTGAGGGGGTCAGAGAGGATGGAGGACGAGGAGGAGGGTCTGAAAGAGGGGAGAGGAGCCGGTTCATGGAAACATGAAAGGTTGAGGGAGAAGAAGAGGGAAGAGACAGAGAGACATAACACTGCCGGCTCTGTCCTTGAGACCAGACTAAACACTGTCTCCCCTCTCCGAATAAATTCAGCTCTGTGGAAAATCAGAAGGAGCCTCACTGTTCTCCTCTGTCTGTGTCCTGAAGCACTTCAAAATACCCAGAAAGTTCACAGATCTAGATATCTAAAGGACTGCAGGACACCTCAACCTGACGTCAGCACAGCAGCCAAGTGCATCTGCAACCCAAACTTCATTTAATCCCATTTTGCATGAATTGATTTAGTCTATCAAACCACTTCTGCAGAGGGAAAAACAATGCATTAAACATTTGCCCACGTTTAGGAGAGAGAAGGGTGAAGCCGGTTTCTTTCCTCTGATTATAATCTTCTTAACTGTGACCATTTTCACAGCACGCCAATCAACTCTCATCAACTGTGTTTACTGTTCTCTGACTGGGCCACAAACAGCTCTCATTACATTATTTAGATTTGGATGTTTTTGCATGATGTTTATGATGCTTAGGCTGATGGAAATCATGTTGTGATAATGTGCACAATTACACTTTTTCTGTGATGGAGATGGTGAATGGCTGCAGTAGCTGTTTGAGTCCACCCAGTATGGTTAACAGGCAATGATGAGTGAGTGTCATGATGTTTCTGTAGTTTGCGATCCTGCACTAAAATGACAAAATGTGATTTTACTGGCTGTGCTGCAGAGCTCTTTCAAGCATATGCCACAGAGATGCTGTTAAATCAGTGCACTGAGGCATGTGGTCGCATTGAAGACGGCATATCTGCAAATCAACACAGTTTCACACCTGCTTCAGGAAGAAAAAGCAGCCCAACAACAGATGCCACATCAAGAAATGTGACCAAGAAACCAGGTTTAAAAACAAACATATGAATTATTGCAAAAACAGAAGCAGAGTGAATAAAAAAACTTTTGTATTTAGAGACTAAAACAGCTGAAATAAAGGCCTTTTTATTGTCAGGTAGAAGGAAACTTCACTTGTTTCAAAAATTATTTAGATCATAGATAAATCTATGAAAACAGCTGATCTGATTTATTCCATAAGCGAACATTTCAGTTGATCATCTCATCTCATCTGAAATCTTTTCAGTGCAGCATGATGTAGTGAGGTGAAACTTTTCTTCTGCTCATCGGCTGTCAGAAGAAGTAACAGAAGGGAGACAGAGGCAGTGTAAAGCATCAAGAGTCTGTAGGGCAGAACAGCACAGCGTGTGTCCGTGTGTGTGTGTGTGTAGATTCACACACACTAACTCCATGTCTCTCCTGCTTCTGCAGGGCCATAATGAAATCTAAAATTACACCGGACTGTCAAAGACGCAATCACTGCACTGTTGCAGACTTGCGGTAAGGATTAGGGTGAAGAGCTATTATCTTTTTCACTCACTTTGACTGAAAATACAACATAAACATGGGCTGGACATCCACACATACGAACTAATAAAGAGATATCAAGAGTGAGGCGGCTGCATACAAGCCAGCGCCCCCGGCTTCTTGCTCAGGGCACCTCTGTAATATCCAGGCTGTTCATTTCACCTCTAAAGCAACTAATGGGACTTGAGCTGGTGACCCACATCAAGTCCAGACAGAGTGATGCTTGCAATAGCTAACAACTAAGCTCTTCTTGAACCCTCCCTTCTCTTGCATCACTCTCTTTTTTAAATAATAACAGGACAGCGAGGTCTGCTGGATTAACAGCAGAATAAAAAACTATTCTTAACTTGATTGTCTTGTTGTCTTCACTGTTTAAAGTAGATACAATCTGTAAATTCTCCAGCTCTCTATCTGTAGCATAAATTAGAAGATGAAAAAAACTGGGATGTGGTGTTATGGTCTGAAGCGGCCCCCTCCTAACTGATGGTCCTGCTGGTTGGAAACATGAATCAATGTGGCGACAACACTGGTGGGAAAACTGTGAATGATATGCAAGCCATAAGTGCTCACACACATATCCAAATACACACATATTCACACACACGTCTGGCCTAATCCTCTGCAGAGTCATGCAGACACCCAGCAGAGGGAATTTAGGGAGGGGAAAATCGGGGGAGGGAAGGGAAGGAGAGGGGAGGGGGTGTCATGGCGTGGCAAGGTTCAGCTGTAGCCCTGACCTCTGTGTGTGTGCACGCGTGTGTGTCAGTCCATGTGTATGTGTGTGTGTGTGTGAGAGAGAGAGGAGATAATTAAACAGGGCAGACAGATGAGCCCAGTGAGAAGGCAAGAGGTCACATGGGATAAGTCAGCATGTCCGACCCAGCTCCTCCCCCTGCTCGCACACACACACACACACAGTGACAGCAGACATATATAAATGCTGCTGGGCTTTATATTAACAGATGTCTTGTAGCTGAGTTTAGCTTCAGCAGCATTTCTTTGAAGGAAGACGGCAGAGAAAAGCGTCTTTGTGCTTGCCGTAGGTCGGAGGCGGTTACACACTCCACATATTACCTTGTCTTTGAGATCTACAATTACATTAATTATACTCTGAGGGCTTCAAGAGGTCTATTGTCTGCTCAGCAGGAGTGGACTGAGTGTGTGTGTGTGTGCAGAAATGTGGTTTTCAGTGTGTGAGTAGTACAATAAGAGATGAACAGAGAGTGTGTGTGTGTGTGTGTGTGTGTGTGTGTGTGTGTGTGTGTGTGTGTGTGTGTGTGTGTGCAGGGGGAGGGGTAAAGATGTTAAGTCAAAGGCGGGGGTTGATTGGAGCAGAGGAGCGAGTCTGGGCCTGGTGGAGGCTCTCTGAACCTGAGACTGCAGCGTCTGTGCCAGAAGTTGGGATCGCCTTTCAGCGTTTTGTTTTATTTAGCATCTGCACGGCCGCCTCATCAGCCAGAGTGCGGCCGGGACGATTCATGCAGCAGATCGGTGACTTGGAGAGGAGGGAGTGACCGAGGCAGTCTGCAGGAAGGATGTTAACCACATTATAAGTCTTTGTTTCCAACACTTCATTCCTGAGGAGTAAACTGAGCCTGCTGAGGCCTACCTACCCCTTCACTGCCCCACACACACACCTCCACTTCCTGCAGAGGTGTGGCCTCACTCTTCTCGCTCTTTTTCTTGAACCCTATTTCCACCAAGTCAGCTCTAAATGCTGTAAATCTGCCCTCCAAAGACCAGTTCACTCTAGACCCTGAGATCCAAACCTCCAAACTTCTGACTACTGAGGTTGAGAGTCCAAGCCCAAAGAGTAGACCCAGTCTAGACCGATTACATCCCGAAATGAGACCTGAATTAAAGTCCTAATTCATCCTCCACTGATACCCACAGATGGGCTCTTTCATTTTGAAGAATCAAAGGTGAAGGTTTGGAGAAGCTCTTACAGACACTGCTTTTATTAGCATTACTTGTTCTCTGATATCCCCTGTTATAAAGTCACCTATCTGAACCTGCAGCTGCATTCAGATCATTTCTCCGCGGGTTTATTGAGGGATATAAAAGAATGAACAAGCCTCGGACAGCACTCCAGATTCAGGGCTGCGTGTTCTGAGAAAAGGTGTATCCTCCTGAGTCAGTAAAGTCCATAAAAACCTCTGATCTCTCCTTCTGTTTGGTTTGCTGTGACTCACACCAACGTCTCAGTCACACTGAAGCAGGTTTAGTTAATCTTAAACCGGACTAATCAGGAGGTGGACCGACCTGTCTTTTTGATACAACATGACGGCTCCGAGCTGAACTTTGCCTGACCATCACACCCTTCTCCTGTTCATCACAGCTGCATTTATAGGAGGTTCTGTGAGGCCAGCAACACTGGACACTCTGAGCCCGTGAGCTCCAACCATGAGGTCAAAAGCTGCTTAGAGAAGTTTGCTTTTTTCCTCAGCACCTCAGTGAGACTACAATTCTTTTAAACAGGGCTGGGCGATAAGGGAAAAAGTTTATCATAGTCTATTTTTTTTCATATCAGTCGATATTGATATGTATCACAATATATATAAAAAAATAACTTGTCAATCTTAAATGTTTCATTACTCTTAAATGAAATTTAACATGTACTCGACATAATTTGCAGTGCACATTACTCTGCTTCATGTCCGACCTCAAAAAAACCAAAATGTCTCCACACCATCAATGTTTTTGTCGTCATCTATTGAGCCTTCATCTTCTGCCCGGGGTAGCTCTCATTTTCTTTTCTTTTTTACCAACAGTGCTGTCGGCTTCACATGTTTAAGTGCTATGGTTGCGTGTAGCTGCAGCCTGCTACTACGCAGTTGTTTGCTACTTGGTTCTGATTCAGCACATGATTGGTTCAGTGCAGTACAACCCGCAGAAGCTCCCCTTTTAATTGGCTATTTGTATAGTAGACCAAAACATGGCAGAATGCCGACTATTGAAAAGCATATTGACCATGTTTCATACCGATATGGCGTGAAATTAATTTTTTGATCTATATCCTTACCGTTTTATCGCCCATCCCCACTTTTAAGGGAGCTAAAGCCAACCCAATAAATACATAGTGGTGCATTCCCATCAAAAGGTCCACTTTGGTTTGATACCACGCCTGATCTGGCCTCCACTTCCTCAGTAGACACCTCATGCAGGAAACATGTCGGCTTCAGAACGCATTACATGTGAAAAGATAAGTTTTAACGCGGGAGAGGAGCAGTTTAAGCATAAAAATGTGGAAAATAACTCTGATAGATTGTTCATAAAAGCTGACAGTGTCTCTTTGTTTGTGCTGGATGGCAGCCGCCATGACGCTTCCAGAAAAGATGAGCAAACAGACGTAAGAGGGAGGACGGAGGATGGAGGAGGGGGAGGCAAACAATGAGCACTGGTCCATGACTCAGGCGCTTTGGGAGCGCTGATCATCCCACAGAGGAGGGAGGGAGGGAAGGGGGAGGCGGGTTATCACCTCTATCTGTCCCACAATCACAGATCCACAGCTGATACCCGCCACAAAGAAGGTGACAATGGCTCGCCAGTGGACAGCATCACCACCCCCACTGGCTGTCCCACAACAATACCTCACAGAGCTCCTGGGAGCTGCCCTTCCACATGGCTGAGGCCAAGCCGCAGTGACCCCCCCACTCCTCCAAGAGACGAAAAGACAAAAAGCACGACAAAGAGGTTTCCCAGGACCCGGCCCGCCTCACAACAACAGAAAACAACACCTCCAGTCCCTTTGGACATTTTTCAAAGTCCGTCTTTGGATCCTTCTTTTTTTTTTACCAAACCCTTTTATTTCAGAGCTGGACACCTTCATTTCAAAGAGTTTAGCCTCTCCCACAGATTGAGCGCCCGTACGGTGAAGAAGTAAACCTAATTCAGCCTGAAAACTGAAAAACTGTGAGACTGTCACACCTCCAGGCGCTCAATATTTTGTAGGGCAGAAATTCAAATGGAAGCAGACGTAGAGAGTAAACTTGGTGAGCGTTCAGTCTTCTTGAATTCTGCCATGCATCCTGATATTAAAGCCAGGCCAGATGGTAAAAACAGTGTAGGCTGATGCTGGCTAAGGTTAATCCTCTTTCTTTTTAGCCGTGTAGATTATGCACCACATAGCTGGAACTGTCATGAATTTTAAGAGTAGAGACAGTGGGACTTCATTTTCAGATCCGGCTGTATAATTTGGATAAAAAATCTCTGTAAATGTGAGCAGATGACTGTGACACTTGGTTGATTCTTCCCACAAGATTTATTTTTATGGTTCTTTGAGCTCTGCAGAAGAAATGAGTCTCTCTGCCTCTGAATTTGGCATTTTTTTCTGATTTTAAAGTCATTTCTAAGAGAATCTGCTGCGGATTTAGGATCCAAAGTCCATATGGACTCAAAAGGACGAATTTTTTGCGAATAATGCTGCAGCTAGTTTAGATTCTATTTAAGAATAACTTCAAGAGATTATTGGGATGATGATTCCTAACATCTATGTTGCAAAAACTTGCTGATGCAAAAAGCAGAAGTCTGAGTTTTCAGCTTCTCAAAAATGAAAGTTTTATCTTTTATAGTTTTGATTTAACATCCTTTAAATCTGAGACATGTCTTCAACTATCTCTCACTCTTTCCAGCAGGTGCTCCATTTTCTGTGGTTTGATTTTTGCAGAACTGAAGCTTTGCTGTTGTGCTTCTTAAACTTAAATCTCTCTCCCCCTTCCTCTCTCTCTCTCTCTCTCTCTCTCTCTCTCACTATCACGCCCCGTCCTCTCGACAGAGATCTCACAAAGCTGCTGAGTCGACTTGGCAGCTCCTCTCAGAGGAATCGTGCCAGTTCAATCAGAAATAAGATTAGCGCGGCTTATTATTAGCTCGAAAATCTCCCTGTAGCTGCCGTCTCCGTCTCTACCTGTCCTGCTCCCAAACTCACACAGGATCAGCCACACACCTGCAGAGGAAACAGACCAACAAACAGTCTGTGTGTGAGTCTGCCACAGTCTGAGACAGACCTCCGGCCCCTGACGGGACGACGCACAGGAAATGTAGGCCATGCCTGGTAGATGTGCTGCTACGCACGCTGATCTGTCTGCTTCTGGATTCATTATAAGACTAAAGAGGCAGCGCGGGGGCGGGATCCGCTGCTGTGTGGATGTCTATGCTCGTGTGTGTGTGTGTGGAGGGGGAGGGAGGGAGAGGAGCGAGAATCACTGTGGGAGACAGGCAGATGGGGATGGAAATGAGTAGGCAGTGAGCTCATGCTAATCTCCTCCTACAGCTGATCCAGGCACCAAACAAGAACACACACACACACACACACACATGGCGGCAAATCATACAGTCAAGCAGCCCTTCGCCCAATCACACACCAAATGAGGCAGAGGATGCCTTCACCGAGCCAATGTTCCCACATCACACACACACACATTCTGCCAGGTAAACCTAAAACCTGAGCGCACCGTCCATCACGCAAACACTCATTATATATATCACCGTGTTATTTCTGTGTGTGTGTGTGTGTGTGTGTGTGTGTGTGTGCCTCCGTCAGACAGCCATCTGCCCCCATGGGAGCGGCTCAGCAGCACGCAATTGGCCGTCAGTGCCTGTGGAGAGGCAAAGGGTGAGGTGGGTCACCTCTTTATTTGGGGGGGAAAGGTCGTGCGGAGCTGGCTGCTCTCCCAAACACACGGCTGCACCAGGGGAAGCAGGAGGGGGGGGCGGGCAGGGGTAACACCAGAGGCCAGCAGTGTTGTCATATACAAAGAGTGCTCCTGGGCTGACACAGCAAAAAGAAACCCACTCCTATCCCCCTCCCCCACTAACATCCCACTAAACCAGCTCAGGATGATGCAACCTCTCTGAGTGGGTTAAAAGTTGAAACCAGCACCTTTTATTTACCTGCAAACTTTTAGTTATTATGAAAATTTGATCTGACCTTCCTTTTCTTTGACAATGAGGCAGAATAACACAATTTATATCAAAACGTCTCTAGAATATGATCTGAATATTCTGCAGGTTTGTGGAAACTCCTGATAACACTTTGCAGTTTTGGACAAATCCTGTTGTTTCTATCTCATATTTTTTACACTGATTCCTTTTATTGGGTGTGAAGGAGACATAATATGAATGCTACACTGTTGGATGTCCAGACAGATCCTTAACAAAGTCTCAAATCATCTCCGTGCTCCTATTCCTCCTTCTCTCTGCACTCTATTGGCTCAGTATGGAGCTGGATTTTTAGTCTCAGCGATATCTGTGTAAAAAGTAGCAACCGCAAGATAGGTCGAACTCTCTATCAGTGGAAAAGCAGCCATAAGAAAAGGTTTCAGGCAGAGGGTTTAACACAGATGCCAGACTAAGATGAATCTATCGTTTTGAGCTTCTAAATTCTTCAAAGTTACTATGACTTCACTCAAAAGAGCAGAAAAACAATAGTGATAAATGTTTCATAACAATGAATATTTGCAGAAGACAGCCTGAAATCTGACTGGCTTCTTTGGACAGCACTTCTCCATCAAGCCCTTATTCCCAGTCCACCTCAAGAAAGACAGAAAAAGTGCCTCTTTCAGTCCGATCAGAATTTTATTTATGAGATGCAGCTCTTTTAAAGGCTCCCCGAAAGAAAGCTGAACTTCTCGCTACTGTTATTTATCATGCTAACAATCCAGACATAGAACCAGAGGAGCCGCGAAATACCTTCCTCAACATTTCTGATTTCACATCTTTGACATCTTTTCACCTGCAGGTTGCTCATGAATCAAGTGAACTTCGTGGCTTCCCTGAAAGTAAGTCTGTGAGTAGCTCGCAGCGTTCTGCCACTTGGCAAACATAAAAATGCAGAAGTTCAGCCTGACTGTGGCCTCACAGCGAGCATTTGTGCACCTCGCCGGTGAAGGAGCTTCAGGGCGGGTTAGAGGAGGCGAAAGGTTAGAGGAAGCTGCTCGGGGATGTGTAGTTAAGACAATAGCAGGGAATCCAGCGCCATGTGTGTGGATGAATATTTCAAACACCCTCTCATTAAATAAACATAACGGACCTCGCCGCCTACGGTAACCTACCATCAATATTGAATGCCCACAAAAAAACGGACACAGTGTCGTTCAGGAGCCAGCGCTCAGGCCAGACGGCGAATAAAACCACAGCTCCTCTTCCACGCAACACCTGCGAGAGGTCAGCGGGTTCTCCTGCCGTGCCGCTCTGACAATAATCCCGCTGAGACGCGCTCAGGGTTCTTCCAAGACTTAAGAATAGCTGCAGCATGATGTGTGTGCTTGTTAGTTTCATGCTTTATCGGCAGGCTATGAATATTCTGACAGGGATTTCAGCGAGTGGGAGGAAATACTTCATTTCCACGCATGCTCCCGGCTCGGAGCATTGCGTGCTGCAGCGCTCTCTCAGACAGCTTACATGCATGGTTGCCTACAACAACGTGGACTACTTCTCAGGAAGCTTTTTTCTCCTCCATCTTTGAATGGATGGCTGGTTTGTAGGTGGGAGGCGGCACAGGAGCTCCAGAGAGGTTTGTCCTCCTCCCTCCGTCTCCTCCTCCACACTCTCTGACAGCCGGCCAGCTCCGCATGAAGAACTAGGTTGGCTGCTGCTCCGTCCATTTCTCACAAAAAAGACTCTGGAGGAGACAGACGGAGACCTTGGACCTCTCTCGTCTGTGGTTGCTCTCTTCTCCTGATTGAGACCTCTGCTCGGTTAAAAAGTTGCTGCAGAATGAGCATGTGCAGAAAGACAGATGAGGGTTGAAAGTCTGAGAGCTGCAGACTGACTTAACATAAATCTCTCCTTTAGATTTGCCCTTTCAGAGTAAAAAATATCCAAAGTTCAAGATTGATACTGACATAAACACCCTCCAGATTTCTTCATCACTGCCTTTCTTCTACTTTTGGTGCAGTCAGTTAGAATCCAGACTTATTTGTGCAAACTATCAGCACACCAGTTACAGTTTATATCTTGATAAATGGACCACACCAGTCAGAGCACACAGAGATCAAACAGGATAATTTCATTTCACAGTCACACAGACTTTAACAAGGCTTTTCCTTTCCTTTCTCTGCATTATCAAGCTGAGGGCATTCTTTCAAATCCAGCATGAGTCACATTTTTGCAACTTAAAATCAGACTTCAAGAATCAGATTTTGGATATTATTGTCTGGAAAAGCTTTACAACGAGTCCTGATAGCAGTTTCAATTAGGGAGGTCCCAATACAACCTTTTACCTCCGATACGATATTGTAGCCTTCAATACCGATATTGATCCGATATTAGCACAAACTTGTGCTTTAACAAAAAATACTGCCACAGGGCCAACATCATCCCTACTCCTTGGTACTTTGTTAGTATCTTAGTACACACTGTTGTTGGGCTCTACATGCTGGATCAGGGCGCTGCAAGATAGAGGTGTTGTATCGGAGTGCTGATATCAGAGATTTTAGATGCAGGCCGAAATAATATGTAAATTTTATTTATTTTTATATCGGACTGATATCCAATAACAATATCGTATTGGGACACCCCTAGCTGATATAATCCGATATTTGTTTTTTTTTATTGATATCGCACCAATATCCAATAATATCATCATATCAAGCCACCCCTAATTTAAGTCTTTTGCTTTGGGAAGTGAAAACATTAAGTGTGCTCATAGCAAAAGCAGCTGCTGTACAACTCAACAGAAGATCAATCTAATAAGGAGCAGTTTTGGGTAAGGAAGAATTGGATCAGTTTTCAGTTTTAACATTGTTCAGAGTGTTTCAAACAACGCGACTGAAAACAACAGAATATTTGAGCAAGCACGGTTGTTTTTCCTTTGAGGTTATCAGCCTGTATTGTAAATGTTCATAAAAACACACACCAGGTGCTCACAGCTGCAAAGTGACATTTAAGTCAGAAACCCCGCAACAACACTTGATGTTTCTACGTGTTTCAGCCCTCGTGCACAATCAAGCAGCAGGCAGGAAAATCCCCTTTTTGTTCGCAGAACTTTGAAGGCTTTGAAATGAACAGCTTCTGGCACAGAGACACTCTGAATGAAAGAATCACTGCTCTTAATTCATTTTCCGCCGCTACTTCAATGGCAGCCTTCAGAAAAATGTTCCAGACAACACAACAAGCTGTGTAACCTGTGATGCTCCTCCGCTCTCTCCGCTCTGCTATCCGGTCTGCACACACACAGGCTGACGTTTAAAAAAGCGCATCAAATACATCACTCACTTCGCATCTCGACACACAATTGTTCCTTAAAGTTTCTGTCGAGGAGCCTTGAAGCAAAGTTGAGCTATTTTTTTCCCTAAAGAGCAAAATAAATGTGGTTTTTTTTTGCAGCAGGATTTCTGCAGAGTGAGGGAAAAATGAAAGAGCTGTGGAGAAGCAGCAGCAGCAGCAGCATATGTGGAAAGTAATTAGCTGAAGTTTCAGCACACAAACTTAACTACTAATTAAACAGCCTCTTTTTAATTGACTTTAATTAGCATACCATTCAGGCAGAGCGCATTCACAGTCCAAATCATTAAAAAGGTGGTTTCTTTGTGCTGTTTTCTCTGAATGCTCTCCATGCCTGCAGGTCAAATCCAAAATGTATATTTATAAGGAGGTTTTTTGGCAGGAAAACACGACGTGTATTTCAGAGGCAACCGGCTGCCAAGCTGCACAGAGGAGAGACTCTCTGTTTGAGTGAGCTCTGCAAGTGATGGACTTTTCAATCACACTTGACATAAAGACGCTCAAACGTCAATGCGGCATTGATCTGTCGACCCTCAGCCGTGCCTCCCAGCGTGGACTCGCTGTCCTCCATTAGAGTCCAGACTGGCAGCCTGGCCCGGCAGCAGAGCTCATTAAAGCGGCGTAATTGAATTGGTGGCTTCCTCCTTTTCCAAACACAGAGGACAATTTCTAAATTTAAGAGGCATCAGGATACAAAAAAAAACAAGCTCTGCATCTAAACAGAGAGACGTGAAATATTCCCCAGCAGCCTCTGACCTGCAGAGACCAGCTGCTGTCCCGTCCAGCGAGGGGGACATGGCTGGCTGTCAGCAGGCTGAGCCAACACTGCGCCTTGCATATGAAACAGGACATTGGCCTATATCCCCCTGGGGAGTTCACTTCCTCCGAGCCGAGCCCCCGCCCCCCCTCCCTTCTGAAACAAGCAGCCCCTTCAGCTGGAGGCCAGATATCCCGAGCAGCTCCTCAGGGTGGGGGTGGATGTGGAAGTAAAAGGGGAAGTTTTGGCTCCTGCACAGCAGAGAGTAGAGGCCAAATATTTCTCTGCAATAAATTGGATCCAAAATATTTGAAATTTAGTCTCCTTTTTCCGTTGAAAAGACCAAATAGTTTTACGTTGAAGCTTTAGTTTAAGCTTCTTCTGCATGGAGGCCACAGGATGAAGCATGGAGGCAGCGTGCAGGAATGTGCAGCACGGCACAGTAACGCAACACGGAGCATGGACACAAAATGGCTTCTGCACACGCCTCATTGTTCTTAACACACATCTGTTAGGCTGCAGAGACATTTTCACTTTCCATTTGATGTAAGTGTCTAAATAAGTCTTCAAAAGACCCTGGAGAACTTCGCAGAAACAAAAAAGGCATTTTCATAGTTTGAGAAAAAATCCAAAACCAAAGAACTATTTATCATGAGCCAGAAATAACAAAGAAAGGCATTTAATTCTCAAATTTAAGAGGCTGCAAATAACACATATTTGAAATCTGTCTGAACTGTAAGCCTTAATCCATGAAAGTTGCAAATTAATTTATCAATTAATGAACTCTGAGCTGCATGTTTGAGAGTCTGAATCAGAAAATCCTCTTTGCACCATTTTGTGATTGAAATAAATGTCGGGATGAGGAGGAAATCTGGATCTCCTCTTAGTTCAAAGCTGACTGCGAGCAGCAGCGTGCACACACCGGGGCAAAAACCTTCTACTCATGAATATCAGCAGTGACCTGTTGTCTCAGTACCTGCACTCATCTGTGAAAGTCAGAGAGAGAGAGACTGAACAGGATCCTCGCCCTCTAGGAAGGCACCAAAAAAAGAAAAGTCTGACGTAAACTTGCTGGTTTTGAACCAAGCATGAGTCAAGCTGGAGCTGCTGGCTCCTCTGTGAGCTCCCTCCTCCCTCTGTCCCCATTTATTCCTCTGTTTCATATCTCCCCAAAACAGACGGACTGAGCAGAAATCACATCATCTTGAGGCGAATTATAAAGTTAGCAACATTCTAAATCTGCAGCCGCAATCCTTATCTAAACATCCTGATGCGGAAAGCCGCTGATTATGAGTGCCACCCACATGTGCACCAGCCAGAAACCAGAGGACTCACAGCCAGAAGTGCTCCACACCCTGCTCATAAACTCATTTCAACAATTCAATAGCTCGCTGCCTTTCTGTTTACAATCAGCGCCGCGGCTCACATCCTCCCGATAAGAACTCAGAATGAACTTTTACTGCAAACTCTCACTTCAGGCACGCTGCAGAGAGCTGTTTTTCTTTGAGATGATGTGTGAGTCAGATACGAGCATCATGTGTGCGTCTCAGAAGGAAGCTCTTAGAGGAGCGTCTGCGAGGAGGGAAGTGTGGCAATATCACTTCCTGTGTCTGTCTGCATGCGAGACTGCTGCTAACACTTCTGTAAAGGCCTCATTAATATTCACAGAGCCGTCCGGTTCCTTCGCTGCCAGCACGCACATGATGGCGTTTTCTTGTGTGCTGAAAAGGTAGAAGGCAGCAGTCTGGCACTTCCCCTCACATCCTGCAGGAACATTTTCTGAGTGCCTCTGCTGAAATGCTGAAACACGCTGACAAAGAGCGCCATAAATTCTGAAATATTCCTCTGCTCCCACCCGGCATGTACTCGCTCATTAGCGTTCCTTGAATCGGGCTACTCGAGGGAAAAAAAGAGGAGTCGAATTAAAAAGCGGACTGAAATGAGCCGGGGGCTTAACACTTGGGTGCCCCGTCGGCACTTATAAAAATAGAAGAGGCCCCTGGAAGTGGGGGTCCTCGAGGTGTGCCCACTCGAGCCTGAATGAAAGTGTGTGCCAGGAGTGGGTATTCACCAAGCATGGCAGGACTTTGGCTCTCCTCAGGACTTCAAGAGTCCCTGATTTCTCTTTCTTTGGAGGGTTTCTGTGAAAGAAGCTTCAGATGAGGCCTGCAGGGATGTAAACACTCTGCAGAGACTCTCTGAGCCTCATCAACCCAGGTTGTTCAGATACAGATACCAGAGTCAGAAAGGCCTTCAACGTGGGCCTAGAAACTGAGGACAAGGAGTTGGAAAGTATGCCAGTCCATCTCTTAACTTTACCAGAAGAGTTTTGTCACAAATCTGTGTCACCAGAAGAAGAACTGACCTCTGATCATACTAATCATGAATAATCTCTGCAAAGTGAATCATAACTCAGATTTATAGAAATGTTGTCAACATTTGCAAGCAGCACCTTTAATTTTTAAGCTTTTCAATGAGAAGTTGTTAAGCTGTACTTTGTTCAAAACTTGTCTTAAGACATCACTCTCCTGCGGAAAATAGATCAAAGAACTCTTCTCTACACAGTTTTGTTTTTGCTCAGGATTTATATGTAATCTCACTGATTTTAAAAAGACAGACTAGTTACCTAAACTAGTTAAATCCCACCCGTAGGCAGCACTATTTCATCCTCACACTGATTTGATGAAGTGTTAAGTTCTAGAAAGAAAGAGAGTGAAATTAAGTGCAGATTAGAGTAAAGCAGAGTGTGAGTGTGTGTCAGAGGTGGGTGGTTGGCCTGGGTGAGGTGGATGTTTGAGGGTGGGGGGAGTTCTGATGTTTGCTGAATGCTCCTCTTTGTTGGGATCATATTATGTTTCCACCACAATACTTCTAAACCCTGCTTCATCAACTCCATTCATGTGTAACAGTTCATGCAAATGGCTGCACTAGCCTTTTTTTCAAGGGGGAGGGGTGAGGGGTGGGATCCCTTTTATCAGACTACCACCACCAACTCTGCAAACTCCTGCCTGCCTGCCTGCCTGCCTGCACACACCAAAGCACAGATTATAATCCAGCTTCTCACTCAGTTCAGTCCAAAAATACAAGCAGGGCAAAGCCGAGCGGAAGCAGAGTCATTCCTAGATTCAAAGACTATTTTTACCAGGATCAACTCATCAGTCTGAAGGTCAATGAAATGTCAAAAAAATCAGCTAGAGTTTCCAAAGTTATGAGCCATGCCCCTCAAATTGCCCTTTTTTCCTACTTTATGTCAAGATGCCCAAATAATCTCCATTTCACAACACATCCATGCATCAAAGACACTTGAACCTGCTCAAAAATGACTGTCAGCATGAGTCAAATTTTTATCCATCATTAGTCTCCGGTCAAGCAACTGAACATGGTGAACAGACCAGCAGGGAAAATCTGAATGAACGCAGAATTTCAGACGCAGCATGAAGAAAAAAAGCAGATAGTAACACAAATTTAACCAAGAGAAGGAGTGAAACACAGCAGCCAGACAAACACAACAGTTACAGTGACACCAAAGCCCCCACAGCATAAACAAGTCGAACAGTAATAATCCCGCTGCTTTGTGCAGGAGGAAACGCTTTAAACCTTGAGAAATGAATGTGAATGTTTCCCTCACTTACTCTGAGCTCGTGTTTAATCTTCACACTCACACTCACACACTCCCCCTCCTCTCACTGCTGTTTCCCATTGAGCCATTTGTTGGTAAATGAGATTGTATTTACAGTGGAGGCTCATAAAGAGCAGCCTGAGAGGTAAATAATGGCTTTATGACCAGCGGAGGTGTTCTGTTGTCACCGCTGGGTGAGGCTCAATTAGTGACAACATGTCAATGATGACCAAACACTGACTGCTGCTTGACTGATACACACTTTTTACACTCTGACAACAGCCTGATAAGACGGAGCACGAGATGCATTCAGGGAAATGAGTAAGAAGTCTGAATTAACCCTTTTATCCTTTCTGTATCTGGGATACTTTCAGTTCTTGGAGGGAGTCCCTTGTGGGAGAACCTCTGCCTGTGGGCACCACTTCTAGGAGCATGGAGGGAGACTTTCAAGGACCCTTAAAAACCCAATTTTAAGAGCCAAAGGCGTGCTTTAAGAGTGCACGGATGAGTGTCAGTGTGCTTAAATTCTAGATCTGTGCTATCAGAGGGAGGGAGAGAAGGAAGAGGCGGCTGGCATGCACCTTCAGCAACCCACAACGAGCTGCAATCCATAATCTGATATGAACGAGGGAACACAAACTGAGCAGAAAGTACAGACAGAGAGGAACAGAACCGGAGCTGCGGGCTGACAGACTCACCCTGGATGAAGCTTTCCTCTTGTACTTGTTGGCGAAGTCAAACTTCTCCTTGATCTCGTCCAGGAGTTGTTCCAGGCGGGCCTTCTCCTCTTTCCCCGTGTAATCCTGGCCCAGGAGGATGTACGCCCTCCAGTTGGCCGAGTCGAAGCCCCAATGGCAAGTCCTGTTCTCCTGCGCCTTGTGGCTGTGCACCACGAACTTGTGCGTCGGGTACATGAGTCTGCAGTCCATGCACTGGATGCACGCTGCGTTGGGGCTCGTGTACAGCTCCGGTACGAACAAGCCCTTGCACTTGCCGAAGCACTCGTGGTAGACTTTGAAGCTCCTCTCGGTGAGCTCCAGCTCCAGCGCGCCTCCGCTCAGCTCCTTCTTGCAGCGCGGCGGGTAGGCGCCTCCGTAGATCAGGGCGTTGCAGAGCCGCTCCGCGTCCGTCTTGGTGATGAGGCCGCAGGACGGCGCGGAGAAGGGCAGGATCCCCATGACTTTGAGGATCTCCAGCTGGTCCGCCGTGCACCTGGAGCAGTAGATGTGCAGCTCGTCGCACACTGAGTTGATCTGCTGCAGGGTGAAGTCCCGCAGCACCGTGTTGAGGATCTGCGGCAGACACAGGCGCTTCTCCCCGCCGACCACGAAGCACGAGATGGTCTCGGCTTCCAGCACCGTCTCGCACCTCTCCGTGGAGCGGTCCGACGGGATGAAGAGCGGGCCCGGCATCACCGGCGGCGGCAGATGCTGCAGGACCGGCTCGGGCTCCTTACCGTCCTTCTTGAACAGGAGCTCATGTTGCCACCGGGCAGAGAAAGCCGCCGGTCCGCCAAGAGAGCTCATAGAGCTGAGGTGAAACTGCTTCAGAGTTTGTTGCAGTCCCGGATGAGGCTGGAAGCTTTGCCGACTTACAGTCTCCATGTTTTTCCTGCAACTTTAGAAGCGTAAATCCTTTTTGGCGTCGACCGGGAATCACGAGTATCTATCCGTTCCTGAACCTGGTAAATCCACGGCGTCCCAAAAGTGAGCGAAAATGCGAAGCGCTTCATCAAACATCCAGAGAGAAAAGTCCCAGATTACAGTTTTATTCCGAGCCTACAGAGTGAACAGCGGCCAGTCGCTCCCTGCAGCGGGGCGCAGACTGTCCATATCCGGAGAAAACCCGGCTCTCCAAACTCCACAGCGGAGAAAAGTTCCGTTTGTTGGATTCCAAAGAGAAGTAGGCGAAAATGAAACAAAAGCAGGAGTTGTGGGTCGATACAGCTCGATGAAAAAATCCTTATTTGCGGCTCTTTCCGCTGTCGAGGACTGCAGCAACCCGCTCCGTCTGCCCCCGCAGTTCACTCTGACTGTATGGAGATGAGAAGTCTGAGAGCCAGCCTGCCTCTCTCTCTCTCTCTCTCTCTCTCTCTCTCTCTCGCTCTTGCTCTATCTCTCGCTCTCGCTCTCGCTCTCTCTCTCTCTCTCTCCCCCTTCCTCTGTGTTTGTGTGTCTGGCTCAGTCATTGAATCCCAGCCAGGAATGTGAGTGACTCTGCAGGCAGGCTGGGCTCTTCCAGGAACAAGCCATCACCCCCTGCTGCCCTGCAGAGAGAGCGCAAGAAAAGTGAAGGGAGAGGCTGCGTTCAGGTCCCGTGGGAAAAAATCAATAAACACAGAGTTTTAATGTTTTCCAGTTCATTCTGCAGAGATGGAAAGTAAATATAGATACACAACTCTTTATTTCATGCCCTTCTGTTGTCTCAGTTGTCCTGGAATTTAAAGGAGGAGTCCGCCATTTTTAATGAAGGAGATATTTTACACTGAGGAAATCATTCTGCAGATTCAGAACTCCTTCAGAACATGTAACATAATCTAAAAAAAAAAGTGAATAAATGACCCCCCCCCCCCCAACATCTATAAAGACATTAAAGCTCATGTTTTGGTCTATAGACAAAGTAATTACTCTTTGTTCTTTTCTGGGGTTTTTTTCCACTTCATTTGTTTGTAGTACAGAGTCACTCAAGTAAAAGAAACAAAAAAAATCTCAAAACAAAACACACCAAAAAAACTGAAAACTGAAAGACACACCAAAGAACACATTAAAAAAAAACAATCAGAAACACAGTAACAAATTAGATCACACAACAACAAATAGCAGAACAAAATAACAAGCAAGAAAATACAAATTTTAATGTTTTGTAGTTCTATTTGCTTCCTCGTACTGTAAGAATATATTTTAATTCACAACAAGAAGTGAAACAGCAAATCAGAAATCATTATCACAAAGGAAAAAATAACAATAAAACACAACAACAACATAAATCATTGTTGCTTTCTTGATTTCTGGTTGTGTTTTTTGGCTTTTTTAAATTGTTTTCTTACTCACCATCTTGCTGATTTTTGTGATTTGTTGTTTTTCTTTGCTTATTTATCATGGCATGTTGTGATTTATTATGGGGGCTTGTGATTTGTTTTTTTTTTGTTTGTTTGTTTGTTTGTTTTTTTCTTTTCTTTGAAATGTAACTAGATTGATTGTAGCTTACTGTAACTTAATTTGGGTTTTACAAACTGTCATATTTTGCAATTTGTTTCTTTTTTTGTTTGTGTGTTTATTTTCTGATTATTTTTGCAAAATATTCTTTCATTGATTTTTCATTTGAATTGTAGATGTTGAGGCTTCCGCTATTCCCAATGCTCTCCAGATAACAGACGTCATTTATGCAAGCAAAAACAACAGACAAATGGCAAAGGTTTACTCAGAAAAGTAGTTTCACTGTGGGTGTTGTCACATCAGAAAATAACAGGTCACAATGATATATACTAATAAAACTGTGCACAAAGGGGCCTGTCTATTAAGTTGTAGCTGTATTTTTATCACTAAAGGAGGGTCATGATAAATTGATGGGCCTGAAAAGCATCTTCACTTTAGTTCTTGTATTCTGCTTAATTAGTTGCGCAATGTCTGCCTTTCCATCAAGTAAAAGAGACATGTTGTATCTTAAAATGTTCAGTGTCAGGCAGTTTTGGAATCAAAATGCATAAGTTTTTAAACATTGATGTGAGGATATTTCCAGTCTGTTTTGCTTGTATCACTGCTACTGGCTGAGACAGACAAAAACCAATTTAAATCACACTAAAACATTGTACCTGAACAAATAATTGTATTTACTTTAATTTTTCCCTCTCACAGCCTGTGTTGGTGTATGAATAAGACATTTTCACCGTTGATTTTTTTAAAGTTCCATTTCACCTTCTTGCACTCCCCTGCTTGCCCCTTTCACTCAGTTACAGCAACTGTTAGAAAAGGCCACTGACTGCTGCTAAAATTCCCCCAAAGTCAGTGCTGCATTCATGTGCAGTTGGACAAATGGTGCACTGCCAACCATCTTAAAATGACCCTCCAGTGACTTACTGATTTAACAACCTCATGCAATTTTCTCAATGCCTCACCAACTCAAACCTGCAGTGAAGAGATTTAAACACAGTAGGGATCCAATCCCCATCTTTCCTGCAGGCCTTGAATGCAGCATGAGAGTAGAGAGAGTTCCTGTGAATCATTTGGCTGCAGAGAGAGAGAAAAAAAAAGTAGCGTTAGGAGGTGTTTTGTGAGACAAGACAAATTTAGCTTGCAAAGGGGGAAAGCAAACTCCTCGACTGACTGTGGTTTATTTATTTTCCTTCAGCATAAACGTGTTAAAATTGTTTGGCAAGAGGCGGCGAGTAAACAAGTTTCATGTGTTAAAGACCTCGAGAAAATCCTGCTAATGAAATGACGAGAGAACTGTTTATTCTTTTTGTTTCTCACAGATTAAATAGTACAAACTGTTAAACGGCACTCACATTACTAGAATAAGTATTTTAATTTGGATTGTAAAGCAGCTTTTTCAGTTCTGCTTAGGCATACTAATGTTGAAATGATCTTTACAAACAGCAGAGCCAATCTCATGCAATATTCATACTTAACATTCAGAATGCATGGTTTAAAGCGTTATATAGCCACAAATTTATGTCAGAGGATTGCATGGCTAACTGTTCGATAAGTATCAACATGATTTAGGAGTTGAATGTCAGGAATTTCTGAAATATCAAGTGGACTAAAGAGTTATCAAAGTCTCTCTTTTGCAAGAAAACACTTCCTTCTCTCATGATCTCACTTAACCTCATAAAATGAGGTTTGAAAGTTACAGTAAATAATTGTTGATTGATTAATGATGAAACTTAGTGATCTAACCTCAGGGGTCATGTGTCAGAGTTGAACTGATGAAGCAGTTTGCTGTTCATGTGGCGCCCCCTAGCCAAGGACTGCTGTAACTGCAGCCTGGAGGCAACCAGAGGGCAAAACATGCAAGGTTCCTCCATTGCTGGAATCGGAGGAAGGAATCTAATGTGTGAATGTATGAATGAGTGAACAGATCGGGACCTGAAATAATGAGGAGAGGGCTTTCAGGTGTGACAGCTACAACCCCCCCAAAAAGTGAAAATTTTTACAATCAGCTCAACTTAGTGTACGCACATAGAAAGACGTTAAAAAGGTTTGGATCAGCACACTGCACAGGGTTCAATCACACTTTTACTGAGGAAGCATCCAGAAGATTTTGCTGAACATTTAAAGAAAAGGGATTTAATGAAAACAAACAACATTACAACACACATCTTCAATATGCACAAGAAAGGTGTTTAAAGCTCCAGTAGGGAGTTTTTTAATTTTTTTTATTGGCTATGAAATAGACTGAAATGAACAGTATAGTGCATCTACAGAGATATCAAAAAAAGACCATGAGAAAAAAGAGTGACTATTTCTACAGTATATTGTGATATTTCTGTGCCACTTCTTTATATTTATGATGCCTGTTACAGTTGTGAGAGGTTGGGTGCCAAAACAAAGGCATTTACAACACTCAAAACGTAAAATTCCTACGTTGGTCCACTTCACAAAAACGGCTCTGAAATTGTGGCATATGTACATTTTCATCCTAGTGTTTTCTGCGGGCAGGCTTCAGTTGAAGTGACTGCCTTGTTTCTCCCTGCGTTAACAAATACCATGGAGGACATCCCCTCTGTTTTCGGTGGAAATTGCTATATGTAAAGATAGCTTGTTGCTTTAGCTTCCTTTTAATAACTTTTTAGCGTTACATGTACACTCTGGTTTCACACTATCTGTTCTGTTTATCTTAACGATTCCTGGTTCTTTCTCAATGAAAATTGTAGCGATAGTACGTTTTTGTTGTTGCTATGGTGGTAGCTACGGACACTATCAGCGACGAACCGGAAGGAAGTCGATGCACGTCACAGACCGAGTTGCTCTTAAAACATTCTTCAAACTTACGTTTGAGCACAAATGCATTTCTATGCATTAAATAATGAGTTCTGTTTGATTTTTACAACATAACTAAATCTTTAAAAAATTAATGAAACAGATTAAAGCATTTTAGCCACGATACAAACCAGAGAGTGGAACAATATTTGTACTATAATTTAAGCAATGCTGTTTATACTATAAATTATTTCTGTAATTTTATTCAATAATATAAACCTAATAAATTGATGCCATTTTTTAAAACAGGTTTGATTGGATCACAAAGTATGAGTCTATAAAGTAAATTAATGTCTGCTTAATTTGTAGTTGTAATTTTTTTTTTAAATTCAGGTGTATGTATTCACACTGCTACAACAATTTTGTTCAGCAGCACACACACCCACAAAAAAAAAGTCAAAACTTGGGGCCCTTTCTCACACACTTTAGTTTGACCTTCAATCCCAAGACATTGAGCAGTTGTGGAAAACATCAGACACTGTCACATTAAAAAACTCGATTTGTAAATTGCAGACTCTTTCAGGCTCTAAACCTTGCACATGTAGTTTTAGTGTCCGTAGCTACAACCATAGCAACAACAAAAATTTTGTCCACAGGGGGCGCCAAAATAAATACGAACGAAAGGTCCTCACAGGAATGTGGGCCTTAAGAATAAATGCATCGGTCTGACGGAAATAACACTGCACCTAAAGTCTCTTGGACGGAATAACATACCTTGATATGTAGTTAGAGATGGATTTTCTCCTTGCTGTTTTGGAAGGCAGAGGATTGGGCCAAATAAAAGCCACAAGTGATGGAATGCTGAGGCCCTGTGGTGAATTGTGGTAAGTGAACTACATAATCTAACATAATCTAATCTATTACTATTTTCACATCACACATGCTTCTAGACTAGGAGAAGGACAGCAGTCCATTTGAATTGTCTCATTAAGCTATACACTTGTTTCTACTGTGCATGTTAGTGTACTGAGTGTTGGACAAGGCCTTTCAAGCTCTAAGATTTCATATGGAAATCAAACACGCTTTATGACTTACAGAAGTGAACCAGACCATCAGGAGAAAAGACAGATATATTTTTGATGGTTATTTTCTGTACAGTATGTGATGTCACTACACTAATGTCAGATAGAGAGACAAACAGCATGCTATAGAAAGAGACTTCGTTTATCTTTTCAGTGAGTGATACATCTGACTTGTTGGAGCATGATGACACCAACTGGTTAGCGTACAATTGAGTTAGAACCTAAAGAGTTTGGTGTTTTGGCTGTAATCATAATCTGGTCTACAGAGTGAAAACACATAGCCTCACTTCTGTCTTCTTTGACAAGTGTCTATAGGTAACTGCATTTGGAGTCCCCCAGGGCACCATCCTGGGGCCTCTTCTGTTCACATCTACATGCTCTTACCAGCTTTGGCTATGCAGATGACACACAGCTCAACTAAACAATTTCACCAGGTGACCATGGCCTCATAGGGGCTCTGAGTTAAGTGCCTACATTTAGAGTTTCCTGCAATGTGATGCCATGTTTTATTTTACCCATGCTGTGAGGATGATCATAACAATGAGAAACACTGAGGGGAGGAAGTCTTGGCCTCAACTCTTGTATGAATCAATAAATTTATCTTCAATAAACCTGAGGCTTTGTTAAGTCTCTCCCAGAGGATACATCACCGTCAGATAATAGCTGATGGATCCCATGACTGACAGTCTATCAGTGCAGGAGACAGGAATGCATGAGACCTTTTCTTTCTAGACAGCATACCACAAAAACCCTGTGATGCACAGAGTAGTGACTCGATCACTTTGAGCTGACAGACAGAGACCTTTCCTGAGGAGGAGCAGACCCCCGCTGGGTTCATCAGTCTGACAGTAATCCATCCTTTAAGCAGCACTGAGCTCTGTTAGCAGCAGGCTTGATGTGAGCTCACAGCACCTTTCAGTGTTCCTGTATCACTGTCTGTGTGTACATTAAGTGGTAATTGATACAAGGACACGAAGCTCGATCTGCCTGCAGACGTTTCATCTCATCAAGGCTGGAGCTTTGAGACAGTCAGGAGTGAATGCCAGACCTTGTTTCAAACATTCAGACTACTGCCAGCATGTACTCGACCTCCTCATCCTGCTCTTACTTTCATTTACTTCTCTCTTTGCAAGTCATTTTCTTTTCATGGTGAACATAAAGATCTTGTCAGACATGATGGCCACATTTCCACAGTTCCTCCACATTTATTCTTTTTTTTTCCTGCAGAATTATTTTGTTGTAACACTGAAGTGAAAAAAAACTTCTGATTCCTCCCTTGTTGTGTTTGAAGCTGACAGGACTTATCACAGGACAAAAACTAATCAAGGCACACTAATTTCACTTCTCTGTATGACCCACTGATGTCCAAAGTGGGCGTAACCAAGATTTATCAAAATACAGCCGAAAATGGTTATTATTAAGGGTTCGATCACACTTTTACTGAGGAAGCATATTATTATATTATTATATTATTGATATATTTATTTTATCAGCCTTGAAGTTTGAGCTCTCCACCA